GATATCATAAAAAAAGTCAATTTTTCTATTAGATACACAGGATTTTTTACTTTAAAAAGAAATCCATTTAAATTAAGAACAAAAATAAAATTTACTACAACTTTGGTAAGCATCACCATGATTAGTTATTACTTGAATTCCTAAACCATTTCAAATTTTGATCACATTACAGAGAAAACTCACATAATATTTCTGAAAAAGAGTCACCTCACCGACGATCACTTTTTAAAATGCAAGAATTCTAAATTCTATTCAAAATTAAGAACAAAAATTCTCATAGTGTCAATTAAGATTACTGAAGGATACAAATTGGTGAATTTTTTTTTTTCAAAATTTCTATTAGAAATAGACTTTTTTTTTTTTTTTTTCTAATTCCAACTTTTGTTCAATACTAAGAACAAAATTTCATGTAGTTGTCATTGAAGACAATTTTTATATAGTGGAGAATTATAATTTTTTTTAATATATTTTAAAATAAAGTTATTGAGAATCTTTTTTTTTCATATTATAATAATGACTGAAAAATCTTGTTAAAAGTTGGGTTGAGAAAATATATTAGATTTGTCAGGTTAACCTTTTCCATTAGAGATGGATATAAAGATATAAATACGAAGAGATGAATTGGTAGTGTTAAATCGGTAACGTGTTTTAATCTTTCTCGTTATTAGCTTGACAAACCAAAGACACAACAAGATGAATTGACTCACTTTAAATAAAATATTTATACATTAAAATAAAAATATTATAATTAAATAAATTATATTTTTCTATTATATTATTAAAATATGTAAATATATTATAATATTACAATTTTAATTATAAATATTAATTCATTGAATTAAAAAAATTATTTAATAAAAATATTAATTAATAAATAAAAATTTAAAAATTATACATGTAATTAAATTTATATTTATATATAAAAAAAAATATTGATCAGCTTATCCGCTAAACTCTTTAACGAGATAAATTGAAATCTCAAGTCCAGATTACTACGGGTCCACCATTTTACCCACATTCTTCCCATTTTTAATGGATTAGAAGGCACTGGCCACCCTTTCGGCCATCTAACATGCATTGCATCATACGAATCAACCAAACTAAGCGGAAATAATATATTTAGGATTTTAGAGATGAATCAGGATTTTGGTTCTCATCGATGAAATGCTACTTTGTGATTTTGAAAATTCAATTTGACATTATTATTTTCTGAACTGTGTAAAGAAAATTAGAATTTGAGTTTAATCGGTATTTAATTAAGTGTACAACCTCATTTAAGAGTTAATATAGATGTGTGGAGTTTTAATGACATTGTATCATATGAAACCCCACAATCACCATTTTCATTTTTTTTCTCGTCTTTCAAAATAGAATACATTATAATAAATCATTGATCTAACAAAATAAAATAAATTAAAAAATCTACCAGTGATGAAAAAACCAATCAATAAATTATATAAAAAAAATTAGAAAAGCAATTGAGCAGGATCCAACACGTGGAAAGGGTTACACAAATCTAGAAGAAAATAAAGATGTTTAAATGTCATAACCAGCATAATTAGGGAAAAAGAAAAAGATAGATTGAGACATCACAATAAAACGATGCCACAATCTCTTTCTGAGAACCGATAACTTAATAACATTTGTCAGTTTAAATTATGGAATTTAATATAATAATCATTAAATTTCAATTACAAACAAATCATAATTCTTTTAGATAAATTATGATAAAAAATTATTAACTTGGATAAATTATAAAAATTAAATATTCTTAATTTAATATTTTGAGATTTTGAATGAAAAATGATTTTATATTCTTAAGACAAATATTTTAGTAATTTAATGAAAAAAATAATAGTTGAATAATGTAAAATTTAAAGTTTTTATTTTTTAGATAAAAATAGTTTTAACAGAAAATTATTATGTTTCAAATTTTATTTCTAAAGCTAGTTAAACTTTAAATCTTCCTAATTTTTTTTATAAAATTTTCTTATCTAATTTTTATCTTTTTCTAAATTCAAACACATTATGGGGCTCTTAATTATGAGTGAGACATTTTCATCTAATTAGAATATTAAATAAAGTAAGTTTTGTCCAATTTTAAAGTATTTATATAAATTTAGGTTAAGATTTTGCATGTGGGTTTATGACTCTTGTATTTGATCTTTGTGGGATAAAGATAAATCTTGACTAATTTAAAAATATTATCGTAGGTTCAATTTGTTAATTGAATTTTTCTATGAGTAGGATTAAACTTTCTAACAAATTAAGAATTTGAGGCTTTCAAAGTTAAGGACACCAAAATTTGAAGGTAAGGGAAACTAGTTATTCTTCAATTTTATTAGTATTTTAGGTCAAGCATATCTAAATTATAAAGATGACTTAGTCACATTATTTAATTTATAAGAATTTAAATTTTTGTGTACTGTATCTTAAATTATAATTAAATGAGTTGACTTAGAATAATGGTGTGTGTAAAATGTTAGGGTATAATAGTTATATTTGGATTAGATATGACATATTTTAAAATGAAATCGAATAATAAAACCTCATAAGATAGTGTTTGATGTCTGAAATGTGGTTTAGTACGAGTTATGTAGGTCCATGCTCTATATATTTTGCTCAAGCGTCAATTGGTCACTCAAGTAAAAAGTTTCCTGTGAAATAAGACTTGTCTTATGTGTATTTTGGCTCAAGCAAAAAACTCTCAACAAAATGAAACTTGTCTCATACTTATTTTTGCTCAAACGAATAAATTTTCGCTCAAGAAAAAGTGAGTCTTACTCAAGAAAAACAAAATTCCAAAAAAGAAGGTGATTCTTGAAACAATTTTAGTGTAAGTAGAATTTCTTAGAATTTTTTTGTCCAAACTTAAAAAAAAGGAATAGTTTCTAAATTCACGTTTAACATTTTATATTTGCAAATTGAAACCTTGGAAATAAGGAATCCAATGAAACAAAAATTAGTAAAAAAATGATATTTGTAAAAAAAATTATGACAAAAAGAATAGACAAAGATCAAATCCTAATAAATTATTTTTTTGCTATAATGTGAGAAATGATACATACATGACTTAAGATATTAGAATACTTATATTAAATAGGAAATAATATGGTTGAATGCTAATATATGCATAGAAAAATATAGTGTTAATTGAAAAACATCATGTGATACCATTACATGTATGTTATATATGTGATGAATTGATGAAAGTTAACATAGTAGTTTCCAATGAGAAAATATTATGTTGATACGTAGGTAATATATTGAATTTAGGATTCTTAAAGAGATATGCTAACTCTAATAATATTATACTTATATAGAGAAAGTAAGAGAGAGTGAAAGTTAGATGAGGTCTCCATGACTTAGCCGATATGAAAAAAATAAAGGTATTTGACAAGTTATAGGGATTTATCTTATCATATGAGAGAACATATTTCAGTTATATATTTATGTTGGAGATATCTATTTAGGAAAAGTAGTGTGACATGTGACAATCTCTAAATTCAATACATGTTAGTTTTTTAAAAGTAAAGTTAGATGTATACAATTTTGAATGTTAGTTTATGATGATATGAGATGCAACCAATGAAATATTTTATTTATTATATATGTGTGATGCTTGATTTATTTATCTATGATGTGAATATTAAGAATATTATATGATAATTAAATGCTTAATTTATTTATCATGATGTGAATATTAAAAATATTTTTTGATAATTATATGAATTAAGAATTGTATCACTAGTTTATAACTAATCTATGTAATCTGTTTCTATACATAAATATATAATAGTTTAGATGAATCATTTTAATATTACGTTATTAAAGAAGAGAAGAAAACTTTATATATTGATAATTTTGTTTTAAAATATATATAGAAACCTATATGATAATGCTTCTTTTAAAATATCTAAACTAGATGTATTTATGTCATTAAATATATTAATCTTATAGTAAATAATTATATTACCAATTTCATTAATAATTATACATTAAATATAAAAAATAGATGAAATTTTATATTCTGAAGTTTTTTTAAATGAAAGATAGTTTTAAAGTTATATATATATATATATATATATATATATATATATATATATATATATATATATATATATATGTGTAGTGAAAAATGATTAAATGACATAATACTTCATATATATTACATCGGTCTCGTTTGTTTTCTCTGTGTATATAAAAGGTGAAATTGTTTTTAATTTTCTTTGGTACATTGAAAGATAATTCATTTTAAACAATTTATATATTTATTTGATAAAAATTGAAAATAAAAAAATTAACGTAAATATGTTTTAATTATATGTTAATGTTTTACTTTTAAGGGTGATGTACGGTTAAATTTTGTTTTATTTATAATTTATTATGATATTTATAATTTATTTTCAATAATATAATAATTATTATTATTAAATTAACTAAAGTAGTTATCAGGTGTTGGCGAATCATATTTTTCCTCTAAAAAAAAATGATGAAATAGATGTGAGTTGCTTTTCTCTTTATTTAAGAGAAAGAAAAGAGTAATTATTGTTTAATAAATAAAAAAAAATGTTAGATAAAAAAAAAAATTGGATTGGTGTAATAATTATGTTGAAAAAAAATAAAAAGGTAATATATATATATATATATATAAATAAATAAAATAAAAGTTAGGAAAAGGTGGAATTTGGTAAGACAGAAAGGGACCGACTTAAAAAGGTGTAGGATGAGTGATGAGTTGTCAAGTGTTAAAAAACGTGATATAACTCAAAAGCTTAATGTGGAGACCTTGTTGTCAAAAAGATTCCGCAAAGCGATAAAGCACTTCCCAATAATGTATTGAAATTGATGAAGGAATTTACCCTAACCAATATAATATTACCTCCTCTTTTTACCCTCCTCGTCTCTATTTAAGACAAACCAACTCCGATTGCATTTCCCTGCCAACCCCACCTTCTTCAAACTCTCCCTCTCTCTCTCTCTCTCTCTCTCTCTCCCACATGGCTCGCTCTGTGCCTTTTCTCTCAACCATTTTTCTATTGCTTTTGCTTCTGCTCGCCACTGGTACGCCTTTCTCACTCTCAAAACTTCAATTTCAGGCTTTTCTATTTCGTTTTTAGTGATCTTAGTTAACAACTTCTTACACGCTTTTTTCTTTCGTCTAATATTTATCTATTCCATCTCATTTTTTTCATTGTTTCTCAAAAAGATTACTCAAGTTTGTAGCTTGGGCGTGTTAATTAACTTGTGTTGGTTCATGAGTTGAGCAGAGATGGGGCCAACAATGGTGGCAGAGGCAAGAACTTGTGAGTCTAAGAGCCACCGTTTCAAGGGGCCATGTCTGAGTGACACCAACTGTGGTTCTGTGTGTCGAACTGAACGTTTCACCGGAGGACACTGCCGTGGTTTTCGTCGTAGATGTTTCTGCACCAAACATTGTTAAAACTTTAAAGAGTGTGGTCTGGAGGAAATTAATCTCCGTAGAGGATGATAGATCTGTCATTTTCTACCGTGTTAGTTGAGTTTAGTTAAGCACCTTGTGTTTCAGAATAAAGCTTATTCTCCTCTTCTATCATCTTTTTATGTGACGGGTGTGAATCAGTAATGTAATCTCTGTTCCTCATTTAATACTACAAATTTTATTTGTGTTCTTTTTTTTCTTACCAAACAAAAAAGATGAAGGATCGGTTTTGGAGAAAAAAAGCGGAAGAAGAAATTAATTTGTTTTCTATAAGTTAATTTTTTTTTAAAACACATCTCTTTTACATAGAGACATCTAATAAAAATAAATTAAATAAATAGTAGATTTTAATTTTATCAATTTTGTTTTAAGTATTTAAAGAGAATATTATCTGATGTTTTATAATATAAATGAACATTTGAGATTTTAATATAACAATAAATTCATTCCACGACATCTGGTAGAGCACTCTCTCACTCCCTCTTATATTTTTAGTTTTTATTTATTATTAAACATTATATATTAAGAATTTTATTTTTTTATCCAAATTATATAACAATTTAAGTAAAGCGTTATTAAACAATGGCTTCTATAACTAAATTTTCTCCAACTATACCTTAGAAAAGAACACAGTTAGATGCTCTTACTTTACAATAATTTAGCGTACGGATTGAGCCAAATCTCATCCTTTATTTTTATTAATATTATTATTAAAGCATATTTTACGAGGCATAAGAAGAAAGCAAGAGATGTAATAAATAATATAATATTATAAAAGAAATAGAAAAGAAATAAATATTTAATTAAGTATTCTAAAAAGTGGAATGTTGAAAATTATTGTTATATTTCACATCAAAACTAAAGAGGGAAATAATGGTTCCATCTTTAAAAAAGAAAAGAAAAGTTCTAGCATTGAGGTCTGACACTTACCGACAGATCATAATATCATTTTTAGCAAAGAAATTTTATTTAAAAATTTTTTAAATTAAAAAAAATAAAACTGATAAAATATATTTTTTAAAATTCTGAATATTCAATAAACATAAAATCAATTTTTAAGAAACCAAAACTCTATTTAATTATTGGAAAAGTATAACGATATATTCATTAATAGAATAATTAAACAGGTCAATATAAATAATTTGAACAAAATTTTATAAGTATGATAAAGTGGTCTAAAATAGTAAATTACCAAATATCTAAAAGATGACAAAATATAGGGAATAATTGTTTGGGGTAGAAAAGAAGAAGAAGAAGAAGAAGGAGAATAATGGAACAAAGATTGTCGACATAGATGATTTGGCATGGGACTAACTGATCCAACAAATCCGGTATTTGACGGTGTTTGTTTGTTGAAGATTACATCATCACATCGTTTTCATGTCTACCCAGAACCATAGGATGAGAGGGATGGATTTGGCCCTATTCATTTCTCATTTTTCCCATTTTAAATTTATGCAAGCTTTTACCAACTTAACCTAATAGATTGATTAGAATTTTCATAAAAATCTTAAAGAAAGTAAAAAATATAATTTTATTGAAGAAATTCTTATCAATTAATTTTCTCTTGCATATATAGACATATATGCAAGAGAAAAGAAAGCTGAACCAAAAAATGAAGAAAGTAATAAGAGAAAATGGTTACTGCTGTAAGTGCTTGAATAGTATTTCCCTATTTATAAAAAAGACTTTGTTCATGCTACTTCAATTATTTTCTAAAAGGTGGAAGTATGGTTCTTAGAGAGTATCTAAAGTGATAAAAAAGATAGAGAGAAGAATAGCATGGAGGAAGTTAAAGTTGTCTTTTTTGGGATAAATGAATACAAGTTAAAGTTGTATTGTCATATTCAAAACCAAATTTCTACTAAATTTACTACCTCTTTGCACGCTAAAGTTGTCTTTCTCACTCCTCCATGTGTCACTCGTTTAGCTTATATAAACTTATTTATAATTCATGTTTGGTGTTGTAAACTTATTTATCTTATGAAATTATTAGTTTCGTACAAAACAATACATATTATTAGGTAACTCCGTTAAGACGAGACTAACACATATGTTAATGGAGTGAATGGTCGTTTAGAGAAAATTCATAAAAAAATTTAAATAAACCAAAATTCAAAGATAAATAACATTGTTGAGTATGTTATTCTTTGTATAAGCCCACCAACCCACCTTAAAATATGTAGCCTATTTTGAATTGAATAGATGAACCCAACCCAATATATGTTTTTGATGAGGCAATTGTGTTGTGTTGTGAATTAGTTTTTTCTTTTAAGTAGAAAATCTGTCACAAGCAATTGAAGAGAAAAAAGTGGGAATGCTTTCTCTCAGTTTACCCTCCTCCAAACCACCATGCCCCTCCAACATCAAACCTTCAAACACATCAAACAAAACCCCTCCATTCTCATTCCCCCCAAAACTCCACCTTCTTCAACCCCCATAAACCATCCCTACATTTCACAACTCCTCTCCACACCCAACTGGGCCCTGCTACTAAACCACCACCTCTTCTCAAAGGCGCTCCTCCTCAACCCTCGCTCCGCCGTAGCCGTCTTCCAAAACCAACACAACCCCTCCCACGCCGTCAAGTTTCACGCTTGGCTTTCGCATGTCAACCCCGCACTCGCCACTCACCGATCAGTGCAACGCGCTCTGCGGAACACACTGCACCGTAACGGCCCCGCGGTGCTGTCGCTCGAGTTGCTCCGTGAAGTTCACAATTCCGGGTTTCAGGTCACCGAGGACCTGCTCTGCGCGTTGATTGGAAGCTGGGGAAGGCTCGGTTTGGCAAATTACTGTGCTCACATTTTCGGTCAAATCTCCTTCTTGAGTCTCACCCCCTCCACTAGGTTGTACAACGCTCTTATTGACGCTTTGGTGAAATCAAATTCAATTGACCTTGCTTATCTCAAATTCCAACAAATGCCTGCGGATAATTGCCGCCCCGATAGAATTACCTATAACACCCTCGTTCACGGGGTTTGCAAGATTGGCGTGGTGGATGAGGCGCTTCGATTAATCAGACAGATGAATGATAAGGGGCATTTTCCTAATGTGTTCACTTATACAATGCTTATTGATGGGTTTTGTAACGCGAACAGGGTTGGCGAAGCATTTGGGGTTTTTGAGACGATGAAGGAGAGTGGGGTTTGTCCAAATGAAGCCACTGTGAGAGCATTAGTCCACGGGGTTTTTCGTTGCGCGGATCCAGGTGAGGCACATGAGATGTTGTTATCTAAGTTTATACATAAGGATCTGGTGCAGGAGGGCGTTCATTTTAAGTTAGTTTGTGATACTATGTTGTATTGCCTTGCGAATAATTCTATGGCGAAAGAGATGGTTGTGTTTCTGAGGAAGGTTCTGGGAAGAGGTTATGCCCCTGATACCTCCGTTTTCAATGTCATAATGGCTTGTTTGGTTAAGGGAGCTGAGCTGAGAGACACGTGTGAAATATTTGAAATTTTAAGAAACCAAGGTGTGAAGGCTAGCATTGGTACTTATCTTGCACTTATGGACGCGTTGTACAAAAGTGGACGCACAGAAGATGGGAATCGTGTTTCTGGTCAAATGATGAGCGATGGGCTAATTTCTAATGTTTTCTCATATAACATGATACTTGATTGCTTCTGCAGAGCCAAATTGATGGATAATGCGTCTGAGGCTTTCAGAGACATGCAGGTTAGAGGCTTTGTTCCCAACCTTGTTACTTTTAATACCCTTATTAATGGCCATTGCAAGGATGGATCAATAGTCAAGGCACGGGAGCTGTTGGAGATGCTTTTAGAAAGTGGGCTTAAACCTGATATCTTCACTTTTAGCTCTATAATTGATGGACTCTGTCGAATAAAGAAGACTGAGGAAGCTTTTGAGTGTTTTACGGAGATGATTGAGTGGGGCATCAATCCAAATGCCGTCATTTACAATATCTTAATTCGGTCTGTTTGTGCCATTGGGGATGTTGCAAGGTCAGTGAAACTTTTAAGGAGAATGCAAGAGGAAGGAATAAGCCCTGACACCTACTCCTATAATGCTTTGATCCAAATCTTCTGTAGGATGAATAAAGTTCATAAGGCTAAAAAGCTATTTGATTCGATGTCAAGATCTGGCTTGAATCCAGACAGTTACACTTATGGTGCTTTTATAGAGGCACTGTCTAAATCTGGGAGATTAGAGGAAGCTAAGAAGATGTTTTACTCAATGGAGGAAAATGGTTGTTCTCCTGATTTTTATATATGTAACTTGATTATTAAAATATTGATTCAGCAGGACTCTTCAGAAGAGGCACGAAACATCATGGAAAGATGCAGACATAAGGGAATATCTTTAAATTTTATTCCTAATTTGTAGACTAATTTTCTTCAAGTTTGTAGGTTGCTACTACATTATTGAGATTTTGAAGGTGAAGATATTGATTACGGCGGGTACAGGTACTTCGGATTATAAAGCTCTGTTGATATGGAGATCTTGTTATATAGTGGGACACAAGAATTATTTACGCACATGTATGTGTGTACATTTTGGCCATTTCTACACCAACAAAAAAAGGTACAAAAAAAATGTATTTTTTCCTCCTTAGTTGGTGACTCTACATCATCCTACTCCTCACAGAGAGCTTTGTCTAGAGGTTTTGATGGTGGTAACTTGGTTATCATGTTATACGATGCCTCTAGTCTTGCTATGCTTATCTTACAAATTGTGCTGTTCTGAAGTCAACAAACAACGCCCTTTTCTAATGTTTTTTCCATTTATGGAGTAACATTGATCACCTTACAAACACTATGATCAAATAGTCCAGGCTGTGTCAGCCTACGATTGCCAGAGCTCCATCTTACATCGTGACCCATTCTGCACATGGAAGAGCACGAATTTGATGGCTCTCGACTGGAGAACCTGGGATACCAAATTTCGTGGCTACAGCTGTTGCACATGATGCTAATAGTTTTATTGGACTGGGTTTATATTAATTGTAAACTAATACTTGTTCTAGACTATCTTTAGGGGTGTGTATCGTGCACATGTACCCTCTCTTTCTTGTTCTCCTTTTCACTTTCCCCCCATAATTTTGACTGTCTCCATAAAGTTTCCTCATAATAGCACTGGTCACTGGGTCTAGATGCAGCTTGTTGCATTTTACTTTCAAGGTTAAATGGTAACAAATGAATTAACTTGTAGCATATGCATTTGACAAAGGCACTCTTATTATTTGCAGTTATAATCTTATTTGTTGTGAGGGAAGGATGGGGTGGTAGCTACTTCTAGAGTTTATGTTGGCATTTTATTATGAGTTTTGGGACACTAAATCATCTAATATGAAGATGCTAGCTATAAGAGGACTTCTGAACTTCCCCAAGAGCATTTCAGTGAAACCATGCAGCCAAGTTCTATGTTAAATTACGTTATATATATTATGCATGCTGTTTTCTCTTTAAAACAGATTGAAAATTTATTATTTTTTGCTACTTGTAGACATACATACTTTTACTCTTAAAATTGTTTTGAACAAGAAATTCACTGAACACTAGACGTGACACTGATATTACTAAAACTTTCAGTGCGAGAGTTATCAATGTAACCTTTCATTTATTCAGTGCAGGTTGAGTATGGTTAGTTTCTTAATTGCCTAAATGATTCAACTCCTTTCTCAACTTTACGAGTCACAAAAATATAACGGCATTATGGACCATAAAGTCTGAATGAGCTATATTTGAGTTGAGGAGATCATTACGTACGTGACTTGCCATTGTAGTGCAATAAGAAGAGATTGGTAAACATTTTGGATTTCAATTATAATGCAATTCGTTTTTGTACTTCCATTCAGGTAATTTTGTGTCTAGCAAACAGCAATAGACATGTTTTGTTTGATATATCTTTTTAGCATCCATTAATGACCTCATCATCCATTTTTTATAATGTTATGCATAAATTTTATATTTGTAGTCCCCTAGCGTATATGTTGCCTAGACATGTAATTGATGCCTAACTTGGTGTTAATGTGTACCTTTTTATATTTCACAATGCAATCGTATATGTTGCAATATATTAAAAATAGCAAGTAGAGCATCTACCAGTGAAAAACAAACTTTTGCACAATTTTTTTATGTTCAAATCTGAATGAAATTTCTCCGATTGATATACATGAAAAATGATAGGTATTACAATCTGAACTCTCAAAAAATTTTCCAAGTTATGCTGACAAAATTTTTGACTGCGTTCTTGCACTGCTTGACAGAACTGCCTGAAGATATTATCGACCGCCAAACATGTTCCTAAAAAGTTTGATAAGAAAACATACGCAAGATCATTTCCAATATCAAAGTTGTATAGGGCTGCCCTGGAGAAGCAATAAAGCCTTGGAGTACTGCTTTCTTCTCACCCTATGACTGATGGTGTGTTTTGTTCTGCTATGGCTGCTTTGTGTGGTTTGGAGTGTTGGTGATGTTTTTGAGGTTGAATAATTTGTATTTTTGAATCTGGAGAGAAAGATAAGCTACCATGCACAAAAGATGATTTCCAGCTTAACTGAACAAAGAAAAGCCAACATAGTGTAGCAGTATTTGGTTGTGTGCTTTAAACTTCTATCCGTTGCAGTTATTTATCAGGAATTTTTGTTCTATTCTAACCGTTATACGGAAAATCCCAATGCATTTCAGTTGTACTTTTATCATTGAACTCGAAAAACACAAAATTAGAGTAACGGTATGATAGATTGATGTCAGATTTTTACATTTCATCAATAATTTATTAACTTATAATTATTTTATTTATAGAATAAAAAAATAAGACATTTATTTATGTTATTACTTTTTAAAATAATTTTTTAGGAATACAAAATAAAATAAATATTTAACTAATTAAATTTAAAATGATGAAAATAACTAAAAATACACCACTTCAGAATAAAAATTGTAAAGTTAATAAAATTGTCGTCAAGTTGAAAAAAATCCAAGTAATAGTTGAGAATAAATAAAATTGGCTTAAGAAGGTATTTTGAGATAAAGAGTGAAAGAAAAGAGGAAATTGGGAAGATTGTATGAGTAATCGAACGTATCCTATATAAAAATTGGTAAATAAAAATATATATGCATAACGAACGCCAAAACTTAATATATTTATCAATTATTTAATATTATGATTGTAATTATAATAAAGAAACATAAACCTTAATATATTTACCAATTATTTAATATTATGATTATAATTATATTAAGAAAACATAAAAAAGTCTTCTATGATACATATATAGGATGTCAGTATCCGAAGCAAATATTGAAGTTATAAATAAAAAAATTTAAAAAAATTATATGAAAAACTTTTATAGTTAATTTACGAGAGCATCGAGAAATTGGATTTCACTCAGGTGAGAGGTAGCAAATAAACTGGACACATGTAATAAATTAGCCCTTCTGAATTTTTTTTATTGGTATTAAAAATTTAAGACTTATTTGGTTTAATTTAAAAAAATGATTTTTAAAAACAAATTAAATTTTAATTTAAAAATTATTTTAGATTAAAAAAAAGAAAGAAACTAGAGCATGATTTCAAAAATTTTATAATAACAAAATCAAATGATATAACACAATTCACAAATGAAAATAAAAAATTAAAACAAAAAATATATTTTAATAATTTTAATTTTTTTAAAACTACAAAACAAAAACTCCTTTTAAAATCCGTTTAACAATATAATTATCAAACCAGTTTTAAAATTTGTAAAAAGTAAATAAAAACCGTTTTCGAAAACAATATAGAATGAAGGCATTGATGAATGGTATGATATGTCCAGTGATTTGCTTGGAAACCAATTAAAAGGCTATGTTGTATCCATCATTGCTAGCCACTAACATCATCCCTGTACAAGCTTTTGCCTTGCATTATGTACAATCACAACAGAAATTTAATAAATCCGAGCTATTTGCGTAAAATGCTTTGCCGAAAAGCCCAACATCAGCAAATTACAGAATAACTACACAAGTGTTCAAGATTAAGCACTTGCCCAACTCCAATTCCTGATCTTAATCACCACACACACATCAAATGCTATGCACTAGCCAAAAAAGTTATACAAAAGCAGGAACATATAACAGCTATTACAGTATCTTCAATACCTTCACAAAATGATCATACAGCAAGCACTTCCGCAGTTCCAATAAATTTGGTGTATGTTGAAACCTTTGCAAAACCATGGTTAAGTCTGCAAAACCAATGTTGTCAAGAATGAGATCCTACTTAGGATAGGGAGGGGGTGTCAACATCATAAAACGTAGGATCCTATGATCGTTCCAAAATGTAAAATTATACAACTTTTCTATATATAACACAGTCACACAAAGAAAACGGGGAAAAAAACCTATAAACAACAGCATTAAAGCAAGCTCAACTGAAATTTCATAACCATAACATCCAAAACAAATCATAATAACAAGTCACATAAGAACATCCAGCCCCAGCCCCAGTATCAACTTGCCCACAAGAAGCCAATTCCCAATTATTAAAAAGCTAACCAAAACACTAAACCTGCATCAGAGATGGGGAAGATGTGAGAAGACATGCAGGAAATTGACAAGGAAGCAAAAGAGAGGTCAAGAGAGATGGGGAAGGACAGTTCAAGAAGTGTGCAAAAGAGAGCAGTTAGAATGAATGCTGTGACCTGCAAAAGCGATTGGGCTCAGATGTGAAGGGCTTGGCACGAGATGGGATCTTATTTGGAAACCAGGTCACAATTTAGGGAAAGAAATTAGTTACAAATATGGGTGTATGCAAACCAGGTCATGCAACCTTGACCCAAAAGTCTCGGAGTTTTCAACACTAACATGATCTCACATCGATCATACTAACATGCAATTTCAGGGTAGTAGGACCCAAAGTAGAAGTCCAATTTAAACTCACTTACAATACATCAAAAAGTCAGTTGCTAGTCATGTGGCCACTTGAAAAAAAAGGTTAAGATATCAAAACTAAGGAAAATAGTGAAACAACCCATAAAACAAAGAATTGTACTTTTCCCCTCATGTCAGTAACTAAAGAGAACCAGACCATCACACTGAGAAAGTGAACCAAAAGCCTCAGAAGCAAATGTATGCACTTAACCATAAAGCTAAATAACTAGATAATAAATAGGTGTCCTTTGCCTGTAAAAATATATTATCATAAAAAATTATAAGCACCCAAAGGCTATGAAAATCCAACCTTAGGGCATCTCCAATAAGGACAACTCACATGAGTTGCTTCTTATCTTGAAAAATGTAAAATAGGGATTTATGATGCCATATCATTTATAAGTAATTCATTATTGATTTTACTCCATTAGAAGTTTTCTTAATAAATTTTAAAAAATCTATTCTTTCTCCTCGTTTACTTTGATTTGCTTATTTTTGTAAAGTGTTTGATGAAGTAACTATAAAAAAAATCTATTCTTTCGTGTTTGATGAAGTAACTATCAAAATAATTTAAGCAAGTATCATGCACATAGGATTCATCATATGGAAGGATGTTTCTAATACTTTATTTAAGTATCTCAATAAGCAACTCCTATTGGAGATGCTCTTAGAACCTAGCTATTAAGGGGGAAGAATCGTACTAAATACTCCACCAAGTATCCCTCTACTACTCAATGTGGGACTAAGACACTCCATAATAACCACGTCCTTATCATAACTACTCTTAGGTGTGGACATTTCAGCCACTTTCACTCTACAACACTTCACAAAACTTTCCCTTAATTACAGTCACTGCTCAATCTTAAGCCTATACAACATTATTTATTGACATAAAAAAATTTATATTATAAATGGAAAATCATAAATTTAATAACATTATCATATTTCTAATTAATAAAAAGCACAATAATATTAAATTAAAAAAAATAGTATAATCAAATTTTAAAAACCCAAATGTCAATATGTTCAAAATTAAGGTGGCCGTATCAAATTAGTAATTGATTACCAACAATTGGCAATGGTAAAAGAAAAAAGTAGCCTCAGAAGTCAGAATTCAAAACATTCCCTTGCAGAGTCAAATTATTAAATCTAAGACAAATAAGGAATAAGAAAATACAAATAGCAATTAAATAATTTTTTTTTTTTTACATCTTAATTATCGAAGAAAGAGAATTCAAAATACATCAATTTGAAACATGAATTGAAGTATTAACACATTAGTTATCCCCTCAAGATTACTTTTCCTATATCAATCATGTTTTTAAATTAGACTGAAATAAAATATTCAAATACAGGAAGTCAATCATCAACCTCGGTACAACATTAATCGCATCCAAAGTACACATGGACATGTGAAATATGACAACCTATGACTCATTATCATATTGGAAACAGAACAAAGAAACGAGCAGAAAAGTAGGATGCAGGCAAAGGAAGATAATGCGAAAACAATAAAGTTGAATGATAGAATAGAACTAGGCTTTACCTCAGTTAACCATGCCCAAAACTAGGCTTCCACATATTAGAAGTGCATGAACCTTTTCAAGCCATTCAGTTGCATATAGAGAGCTTGCCTGTCACCTCATCAGCTACACCATAATCAAGGCTGAGCTCTCTCATGGGAGGGATATTCTCCATTGCAAATAGCATAAGGTGTGGGAACATCAAGTTGTTGTGGTCATACAGAACAAACTGAACCAAAACATTTGGAGTTGAGCTATGGCTCATATAGCAAGCAACATTCCTCATTGTTGATACATCCAGAGAAAAATCTAGAGGAGGAATAGATGGATAGGACGGACGCAAATATTTTGGGTCTGCTTGAGACAAATCGCCCCATTCTGCCCATCTTTCAGAAAAGCGATTAGGATATATGGCCAAGTCACCATTCATTGCAAATAGTTGCGCCTGCTCCCTGGTCAAAACAACCCCTGCAAACTCGCAGATAAAAGTACCGGCTTGAATAAGGTCCAAGGACCTAACTCCCCAAGCTGTCTGCAGAGACCTAAACACTTCCAAACTATACTTCAGCCCCTTCTGCGTAACACGATTGCGACAATGAGGAGGACAAGAACAAAAAGGGCCACATTCAAAAATCAAAGGCTTCCCTTTCACAAGATGCCCCTGCAGAGTATAAGGAAATTCGCCCCCGTTTTTCATAATACAAAAGCATCGATCACCACAACCATCCACACAGTCACAACCAGTAGCTTGCCCACTCTGATGAAACACAAAAGGTGGAAAACTAGTCCTGGCAAGATAATCATAGTTAAAAGGACCCTGATCGTCATCTATGTCGTTAAAAAGCCTAACAGCAACACTCTCCATCTTGTTGGAAATATCAGCAGAAAGACAATGCAAATGCGACTCACTCGTCTTAATATTCTTAGCGTCCTTCAAAATAGCACTCCCCATCTTAGCCTGCCCCTCAATCCTCCAAAGCTTAAACTTGAAAACATCAAAACCAGACTTCCCCTTATCAACCCATTGATCAACAATCTTATACACTCCATCATACACATACACCCTACCAGAACCAGAAGCACTCCCCTCGTACCTCATCCCACGGATAACCCTCACCTCGACACCATAATGCATACTCCTTTCCAATGCAAGGTTCCCTCCCTCCAACTTCTGATCCGCAATCTGCTTAGACGAATTCTTCCCCTGCCCTCCATGGCCAGTGTAGATTATGACCTCACCATCATCCAAATCATCCTCATAACCCCCAGAAACAATGACACTGGTAGCTATAGGCTCCCCAGAGGGGCTCACACTTGCAGGAAGATAATCAATGCCAGCCTGTATTTGCCCGTGCAACCCAACCACACACAACTCCATCCTAAAAAGGAACAAATCCCCCACCATAATCCCGGGAATGGCCCCGACGATTCGCTGCTCGCGGTTCAGCCACAGTCCACGCGCCCGCATCAGTGTAGCAGCTCGCAGGTCACCGCGGAGACGCCGCCCACGGCCCTTCACCGCCTTCGCCGTCTCTGTCGCCTCCGCCAGGCCGGCCACCCGCTTCTCCTCCTCGATAGCGGTCAACACGCGCAGCGAGTCGTATAGCAGGCGCGTGCGCCTCAACACCTCCCGCAACTGCGCCTCTTCACTCGCCGACAAACCCATCATCCGCACCAGCTCCTTCTGCCGGCTCTGCTTCCGCCGCGTTGCCACCCTCACAGTGCCGTCCACGACGGGGACGATCGCGCGTGAGGCGTCGCTGGCGGAGGAGGACGAATTGGGCTGGGTCTGAGGCGTGGAATCGACGTCCGCAGAAGGAGAAGGGTCGGAGCATGCATTAGCACTGTTTATAAGTCCGAAAGGGGTGGAGGGAATAACGACATTGGTGTCTCCGAAAGCGAGCTGGAACAACTCGGTGACTCGTTTGAACTCAGTGAGTAGGTCGAGTTGGTCACCGATATCATCATGGTTATAGGCCCAGAAGGGTTCTGGTTTGGGAACTAGGAGTGAGAGGGTGGGTGGCTGTGGCGCTGTAGACGGTGGTGGTGGTGGTGGTGGTGGTTGTGGAAAGGCATCATCATCATCATTATGATGATGAGTTGGAGTATTGAAAGAGGGAAAGGAATCCATGAAGCAGAATCAGCAGAAGTGAAGGTGAGAGTGTGGGTACAATGAGAATGAGAAACCCTTGGAAATGGAGCGGAACGTGTTTTTGGTGTTACCAGTTTGAGAGATGTCACACAGACTGAGTGACATTTGGAATACGAAGTGGAAATCGTGCACTTTTCTCGAGACAACAACTCCAAATGGATTAACTTGGTTCGGTTCATGTCTTCCTCTTTCTGTTGACGCCCTCGTGTGGGTTTTGTTCGGTGTAACACTTCTTACACTCAGACAGACAACACCTTCAATTCAACTAGGTTTTCTTTGTTTATTATACTTTTTTTCAACAAAATTAATGCCAATGTTTTATATTATTATTTTCATGATTATTGATTTTTTACTAAAAAAGTATTATAAACAAGTTTATTTGACATGTTAATTAAGAAATTCTTTCCTTAAAATACACAACATTTTTCAACGCCTTTTCATATCAATTACACAAAATTTTCTTATTCAAATTATTGGCACGTTAAAAATGTGATTTATTTATTTATTTATTTTAGTGTTACCTGTTCTATCCATTAAGTACTAGTAACTGACACTTCAAAAAGAAAATTTTCATTTTATACGGATACAATAAAACAACTTGTTTGACTTACTTTTTAAAATAGTTTCAATAAATAATCTTAAATAAATTAAAAATTATTGTTTGATAATTCTAATTTAAAAAATTATCTTAAGAATGATAACTTTTGATTTTTTTTAAGTCCTCTGGTATGATTTCTGGTAGAAAACTTATTTTTTTAATTAATTAAATAACGTTTTAGTTAACAATACCTTTTTTTATTTAATTTTCAATCGTTACTTGTATCATTTTAATATTTTAGTAGGTACAATGAGAAAAAAAAAAGTTATAATGTATATGAGTCAAGGGGAAGTTTCTCAGTTTAGAGACTAATTAAAGAGAAATTAATTAATTAAAACTGAAAGAAATGAAATTAAAAGGAAAAGGCATAATATACATTTTATTCATTATTTTTTACAATACAAAATAATAAACAATTTATATTAATAATAAATTAAATTTTATTTATTTTTAGTTAAATTTAGTTTTTAACTTGGATAAAAGAATTCATGTAATTTATTTTTTAGTGTCCAATAATATATGTATTCTAATTATTATATATAAAAAAGGGATGAACCAAGCTTTGAATATGCAAGGGAAGAGGTATTTTTTTTAATCTGTGACATATTTTTGAAGTTTTTTTTATTAATGAAAAAGAGAATCTAACACAATAGAATATTGATTATGATGAAAAAAATAAATAAGTCACTATATTAACTTATCTAATAGCAATATATAAAATTAATCATTTCATGTTAAAAAAAATAGATATATCAAAATTAATTTTTTAGAGGGATAAACTCAACAAATCAAAACAAATGAGATCGAGTAAAAAAATTATTAATCTAAATTAGATCATATTATTTTAATTCATTTTGTTTAATTTGTGATTTAAACTAGATTTAAATCATTTCATGAACCTATATGATTTAAAAAATAATTATCATATTTTACTTTTAATTTTTTATGAAATATTTTATTATTTTAATACAAATTGATATACATAGAAAGAAAGAAAACAATATCTATTTATAATTTTTTTAGAATTATATTTCATCATTTTATTTTTAACAATATAATAATTTAAAATAAAAATTTATATTAATTATTAGATTATAATAAAAATTTATTTTAATTATTTCTATTAAAAAAATAATTAAAATAAAAAACCAATTTTTAACCCTTAATTTTAAAGTAAATGAATCATATTATATATATATATATATATATATATATATATATTTTTTTTATACTTTCATATAATTACTTTTGTTTGATAGGAGTTATTTAACTCTAAAACTTAATATAGTTATAGTTAAATATAACTTATATTAAAGTCCTATTTAATAATTTACATTACATTAGAGAGAATGGTGGTAGTATTTTTCATTTCTTAATTGTAAATAACAGTTTAATTGATTTTCTTTTTCTTTTTTAAATTTATTTCTTACAAAATGTTTATAATGGTGGATTGAGGAGAATTTATTACTTAGTGATTTCACTGGTTTCAATTAATGACCTAAACAAACTTTCTTTCTCATGAGAATGGAGCAATTCATGTATCACATAACTTTATTTCAACCAATCATGGAGTAGGGTGGGAGATTAACTCCATGTGTATATTTTTGTGAATTGACAGGGTTGAGAAATGATGATTATAATGACAAACAAGACATCAAACTGTGGATTGTAACAGTATGCCACGGTTGAAGATGACTTATCACTGCACTTATTTAGCTCTCTAATCTGCTTAACACTGCATATTGAGTATTATTCAGCTGTTTTGATTTCAGGGTAGGGTGTACTCTGTAAAGAGAAAATAAACAAGGTCACGTTCAGATTTGTTCATAGGAAGAAGCTCAAAACATAAAGTATTACCATTCCTTTGGTTATTGTATGCCAAGTTGAACTTTAATAGACTACTCACACAAATATGCTCTATAAAATTTGACTGCATGCTAAATTTGAAACTGAAGTAGGTAGTGGTTACTTACTTCCACATTTCTTTCCTGCAGGACGGTTCTTGATGTTGCATCTCTTTGGAATGGTGATGGCAGTGGCAAGGTTGATCTTAGCTTGCTTGGCCAGAGGAGACAACAGAACAGCACAGAGGCATCTTGGAGCAGTGCTGAGCAGAGCAGCAACTCTGGCACAACAAGTCAAAGGAACCTTTGCCTTCACATTGCTTACAGCACTCAGGCAAGGGCTAAGACTAGCAGCTGCAGATCCTATAGGGGTCTTTCCACACTCTCCAGCTCCATCAGCCCCCAAAATCAACACCTCTGATGCCAGCACAAACATCAGTACTGCCACAGTACCCTTCAAGTCCCTCATCTTTCTCTCACTTGTATAACAGTTAGTTGGTTATAGCACTCTGAATTCCTTGGACCAACATCACCTTGTTTATATAAAATTCCTAAAGGGAAAAAGGAGCATGACATTAGTACTAGTGGGGTGGTTGTGGCCTTGCCATATTCAACAACTAATAATCACGCCCCTGCTAGAAGGTTCACAGTTCATAGTTCACAACAAAGCTATATGCTATTATAGGGCCAAATATTTGATTTTGTTATGCTATTATGGCTTCTTATGAGTGAGCTTTGAGACTCTGCCATGGTATGGTAGATTGGTAGGTGGGTGTGAACATAGAAAAAGATGGCTAGACAAAACTTTGATACTCTAGGGACTGCCACATAATTTGCTCCACTATGCATGCTTATTTAGTTCTAGTTCTCCTTCATAAATATACTCCAAACAAACCCAACATTTTTTATTGGTAAAGCTCACTTTCTAAAAATATTATTATTATTATTATTATTGTGAAGTGTTCATAATAATATAACCGATAAAAATTAAAGTTTTATTAGATTTTCTTTTATTTATTTGAAATTTTGACTTAAATTTAAAATTTAAAATTAAGAATAGGTTAACATATTTTATTTATATATAATATTATATATTTAAATTAATTATCAAATTAATAATATATATAATTATATTTTTTATTATGTTTAAATTTTAATTATATTTTATTTATAAAATATTTATATTTGTTAAAGTAATAATAATTTTGGATTATAATATTTAATTATTAGAGCATATAATTATTTATATATTTAAAAATATAATAAAATTATTATTACAATCATAATCACATAAATTTTTTATTTTTAAAAATTTTATTATAAAATATTTAACAAATTTTATTTTATAAATTTTTTTCAGTTTTTCAAAAAAACTGTTTAATAATTTAACAGTAATAAAAATCTAAAATTAATTCAATTGCGAATATTAATTTGATTTAGTTTAAATTTATATTAAATAAAAATAGAACAAAAATATATTTTATTGAATTCTTTTTATCTAGTTTGAATAATTTCTTATGAAAAATTAAACCAAATCACAAATATTTTGATATAAATAAAGTTGATTTTTTAACATAAAAACTTGTGTTCCTTGACTGTTCTATCGAATTGAACAAAAAAGAAAACGGTTTTTAAGGTATGGAAGTGATTCTTAGGATAATATGACATTTTAGTCACATGTTTTTCTCTTTCACCACATCACAATCCAAAGATGATTTCGTGGTTTTCTTTGAACTACAGCCTTTTAACTTTTGGATTACGGACTGGATACTAGGGAGTGGTAAAGATGAGAAACATAATAGAAAGTAGAGATGTTTGGACCCAAGAAAAAAAAAGTAAAAAAAAGAAGAAAGAAAAATAAGTAAAAACATTGTAAAAGATGAGAATGATGTAATTGAATTAAAAATTTGTAATAATCATTAAAAATATATAATAATTAAAATTTCTTATATTAATAAAAGATATAATAAATATAAATATAAATTATAATATAATATAATATAATTTAAATTAATTAATTTATATTATACATAATTGATTAATATTAAAATTATATTATATATAAAGTATAAAAATAATTTGTAACATGAGTAAATGTTAAGGTTTATTATGTTAATAATAATTTATAATTTTTATTAAAATTATGAATATTTAATCACATAAAATATAATATTTAAGTTAAAAAAAAAACTAAAACATGTATATAAAATGTGCAAAGTCATCCAAAGTTAAATAGAATGGAAAACTATATTCATCATTAATAAATTTACAATCATAAAAACATCCAATTATTCAAATAATCATTAGTCATCCAAAATAAAAAGTAAAGGTAAATAAATTACAGTTCTCCAAAATTTAAAAAAATACAGTCATTAGAAAAAAAAAAAACTACAGTTATCCAAAATAGAAAAAAAGTATAGTCATGTAAAAAAAGGAAAAAAGTATAGTCATCCAAAAAAAGTCAAATAAAAAAACAAATAGAAATATACTAAAAATAACATGAATGAAATGTCTACTCAAAACTCTCACGAATATGATCAATTGCATCTTCAACCTGATCAATTCTGTGGTACGCATAATTAATATCTGTTTCTAGACTTTGATAGTTATTCTCAACATTGACTTCAAGTCTACTCATATGTTTTTGCATATCTTAAATACCTTCCCATATTAAGTTTATGGTATTAGCTTGCTAGGAAAGATATACTTGTTTTCCTTGAATAAGTGTTTGTGCTTGTTCATGTTCAACCTGCATATCTTCATCTTTACTAGAGGGGTGATTGATAGCGTTGTCGAGGCACTATCAAACAATACTAGGTTTTCAAGATTATTTTGCAAAATAGTGGGATTAACCTAGGTTGAACCACAAAGACATAAACAAATTGTATTTTGTTGAATTATCACAAACTAATAAAAGAATTGGGGGGGGGGGGATTTTATCAAACAATTTGTATGAAAAAAAAATTATAATAGCAGCAAAATTGAATCACGCTTAATGAAAATCCAATTCAAGAATCACAAATCCGCAGCAATCTCAATTAAACTGAATCCAATTACAACCTATTTCCGAATTAGGAATGAAAAATGCAATCGCATTCTATGAATCCATTATCGTATTGAATCCGATACGTTGTTCAATTAACTCGAAAATAATTTGTATTTAATAATGCATTCACAATCGTGAAACAACAACAATTCAAAGCAAGAGATGAATTCAGATTTATACCTATTTTATGCGTTTTGATTTTCTTGAATCGGTGTACCTTTGTAGTTCTCCATTTCAACCGATGATGTTGAACTAATGCGAACAAACATTTGAATTTTTTTATCGAGAGAAAAGAAAAGAAAGAAAAGATGAACAGTAAAAAGAGTATAGGAAAGTTCTGTAATCTATATTCTGAATTCTCTAAAAAAAATGGCAGAAAAAGAACCTCTTGGCATTTAATAAGGATGGCAAAACGGGCTAGGTCCAGCGGGCCGGCCCGCCAGCCCGCCATAATATGGCGGGGCGGGTTGGTGTTTTTAGCCCACCAGCCCGCTTTGGCCCGCCCCGCCAAGCCTGTCAACCCGTCGGCCAACCGCGGACGGGCGTGCCAGCCCGCGGCTCGCCTAATTAATAAAAAAATAATTTTTTTATTGTAATAAATTTAATTATAAAGATAATATATAAAGTTAAAATTTTTAAAAAGAGAATTAAAAAAGTTTCATTCTCACGGAAAATATTCTTCTTCCCGAAACATAACCTTCTCTCCTGTTCTCCTTGTTTATCCTAAGCACTGATTATTTTTATCCTTATTACTTGAATTAAAGGTGTAAGAATTACTCAACCAAGAATAACATGAAGTTTTATCAAATAAAAAAGATATAGGTATTTAAAATTTTCAATATAAAAAATATAAATTTTATAAGTTTAACATTATATATATATATATATATATATATATATATATATATATTTGTTATTATTTATTATTATGTAAATTTTATTATTGTTCTAAATTATAATTTCTTAAAATAATGTATTGATTTATATTATTAAATTGAAATAATATATATATATATATATATACATATATTGAATTATTAACAAACAAATAATAATTTTATTATTAAATTTATTAAAAAAATTATTTAAAAAAAATATTTTTTTCTAAATTATGGCAGCGTGGCGGGCCAAGGTCTACAACCCGTCATGACTATATCGGGCTAACCAGCCTCGCCCGCATTTAATGGGCCAAAGGCGGGCGGGCCAAAACGGGGCGGGCTGGCCCGTTTTGGCATCCCTAGCTTTTAATGTAAGCTACAAAAGTTTGTAGACACGATAATTGGGCCTAAACTGATGGGCTAACCCACTAATGAGTTTTTTTAACAACTAATCAACTAAAACAATATAGAAAGGAAAATTTGTAGAATCCTGCACAGGGCTGAGAATTTGTGGTGAATGTCTGGACCTTAAAAAGTCTGAACTGGGTTTTCCCTTCAATAGAGAAGTTGTAGATCTCCCTCTTAGCTTTCTAGGGACACCAAGTTTGCCCAATTCCAAGTTGTATAGTTTTAGAAATGACCTGTACAAGAATCAATGTCAAAGCAGAATTTTATTGCAGAAATTTACAAGATTTTACAACTAAATCCTAAATGGCTACCTAACACAAATCTAAACTAATACACTAAAAATATAATACTAATAAGACTAAATTTCACCAAAAACAAATAAAGACAGATGTATCAAAATGTGATTATTAGTGATCTTACTCAAGGTCAGGTTGCTGGGCATGATGACCCCTACCATGTTGTCATGCCCCATCAACATTTATGACATTAAACTTTTTCAAAGATCTCTCGTTAAATTTATTTTTCAATCCTAGGGAGTGACTTGATTGTAAAGTCTAAGTCACCGTGTAATAGAATACGAGCGATTAAAAAATTATAAGGCAGAGACATACTATTAGTCTTACATTTCCTCATATGTCTAATGATATAATAAGGTTAATTAATCTTTATGCACCATATCATAAATATATCATCTTGTAAGACTTGAGTATAATTTTCTCCTCGAGAACTAAGCATATAAATGAATACATAATGTAAAATTTTGTCATCCACGATCAAAATACCGACATTCATACAAGCTCATACTTGTAGTTTTGGTCTAACCATCACAACATCTGCCTTATCTTTATCGTATCCCAGGTCTTCAGGGATGTCAGTAAGATAAATCCAACCTTGATATTTTAAATGGGCTAGATTTAGCCAATCATCAGGTTTTATCCTGATATGAGTCTGTAAGACCTCAGTTACTAACTCGTCGGAGTCAATCAATTTTAAATTTGTGTAAAAGACCTTTATGAGGTCATCATAAATACTACCCGTCGAGGTTAGAAATCTATCCAACCCTTGAAAAGAAAGGTGATACGAGAATTCAAACTTAGTCATAAAGAAGAAGTTCAAGTCTATTATCTTTGACTACACTATGTGTTTGTGGACATAATCTCCGTAATATTTTTTCATATATCGTTCGTTACTGAAGTAACGACCATGGTCTAATAAAGTAGGAAAAGGAGGCAAGTTAGGAGGAGGGATTGATACAAGCTCCTCTACCGCCTTTTTTGCCTTATTTTATGATACATGTCTTTGTCTCTTTTGTCTTACAACGATAAAGACATAATTCAAACCTGTAAAACATTAATATTAAAACATCAAGGGGCCATTGTTCCATCAAAAATAGTTTCATACCAAAATAGTTCAAATGCTTTACGTACCATAACGATGCAAATTACAAGCTAATAACATCATCTAAGAGGAGACTCCACTAGTCATGTGCTTCAATAAATAATTAAGTCACAACTGTGGAGGCATGCCGAAAAGTTTGTGCAAATAAACTTATAACACTGAAACATCAACTGATCATCATGCAAATTAAGCTTGCATAACAGTTACCATATATTGTTAGTTGAATATTGTAGAGTTGTGCTGGATCATCACTTGTTCCCTCATCAAGTTAATTTTCCTCTCCATTACGTTGGTCTGGCGTTCGACAACAATAACTTGACGTTCAATAAGATCAGTCAACCTTGCAGAGTATCGATTACTCTCACCAATTTTGTCCACTAGATTGTGTATCTCTATGCTCATATTTTCAACATGAGCACTCAGGTATACATTTACCATGGACGTCTTTCTCTTTGATCCTCGTGATGAAGATGTTCCTATAGAAGGGATAGATGGAGAGACCCTTAGACTATAAGAGTCCATATGGAGTGGACTCGGTTGCATCTCATGAAACATTGGATTATACTCATCGTGCATAAAAGGATTTGCAACATCATCATTTAGATTGACGCCTAAGTCCATTGTGAAATCCCTGCGTCTACGGACTTGTCGTGCCGTCCTTGTAATGTGCCGAGTGACACGATCAGCTCCCCATAACTCTTTCAAAAAGTCATAGAATTTGATTGGGGTTACATGCCATTTAGCAACAAATGGTTTAGCATGAAAAAAGGAATAACATTTACACACTCGTTGATGCAACGTTTAATAATTACAAATCATTGCTAAAATATATTTTCCACTTAATACCTAAATCAAGTCATTCCAAACTTCAGACTCAGCTTCAAATCTTCTTGTGGCCTCGTTCCAAGCAAAACTGATGAGGCCACTAAACAAATCATGTACCTCCCACCAATGATTCTTAAGACTTTTTTACCTATTTTTCACTTTGCTCTTGTTTATGCCAGTATAACTTACCTGACGTAGTGCATGGACCATGTTAGTGTATGCTTGAGTGATCCAACTTCCATCTATCCTATTTCCAGCTTGAGCTTCATCAATCATTACTGTTAACAGTTGAAGATCCATATCTTCAGTCCATTTTGTAAATTCACGCATGTTTTGACTGTTAGGTAAACATTAAATGCATGTAGATGAGAGATAGTAGTTGTATTGAATGTATGTAGTTGAGAGATAATGGTTATATTGAATGTATGTAGTTGAAATGTAGTAGTTGTATTAAATGCATGTAGTTGAGATGCCATATCCAAAGGCCTATAAATTAACCATGTACCACTCATTACAAAACACATCAAGTGATAATATACAGAGTGTTTTATTTAGATACTTGTTTGTCAACAAATTGGTATTAGAGCTTGAGAGCCTGAGTGCGTTAGAGAGAGTGTTTGAGAGTTAGAGAGTTTGTTCGAGATGACCAACTTAGCTAACAGCATGCCCCTGCCAAAGTTATCGAAAGGCGTAAGCTATGATAACTGGAGCCTGCAAATGAAGGCTCTCCTTGGTTCCCAGGAAGTATGGGATGTGGTCGAAAATGGGCACCAAGAACCAGAGAATATTGAAGAGCAAACGATTTCCTAACTTGCTGCATTGAGAGCAACACGAGTAAAGGACAAAACGGCTTTGTACGTGCTGTACCAAGCTGTTGATGAGTCTGGCTTTGAGAAGATAGCAAATGCTAAATCTTCAAAAGAAGCGTGGGATATTCTGGAGAAGGCATATAAAGGGGATAATCGCGTGAAGCAAGTCAGACTTCAAACTCTTAGAGGCGAGCTTGAAAGCATGAGGATGAAAGAGGTCGAAGGGGTTGCCGAGTACATCTCCCATGTTGAGACCGTGGTGAATCAACTCGGAAGAAATGGAGAGACGTTGCCCACTTGCCGAGTGGTGGAGAAAATCTTAAGGTCGTTAACTGACAACTTTGAGAATATCGTTTGTGCAATAGAAGAGTCCAAGGACTTGTCACTGCTCTCGGTGGAAGAGCTTGTCGGGTCGCTTGAAGCGCATGAGCAGCGAAGAAGGAAGAAGAAAGAAGAGTCCCTTGATCAAGCACTCCAAGCAAAGGCCATAGTGCATGGACCATGTTAGTGTATGCTTGAGTGATCCAACTTCCATTTATCCTATTTCCAGCTTGAGCTTCATCAATCATTACTGTTAACAGTTGAAGATTCATATCTTCAGTCCATTTTGTAAATTCACGCATGTTTTGACTGAGATCAACTTGTCATTTTTCTCTGTTCATTGTAAGCATGCAAACAACTAACTTTCGATACCTTATATAATTGTTATCATCGTCATTTAATTAGAGATAAAAAGGTATCCAAATTGTCAATTACACATAAAATAAATCAACAATAATAAAAACAAAACAAAGTTGACGTCTACTTTATTGTTGATAATTTGTTCACATTTGAACCGTTATCATATCCCTCAAGTTAACCCCTTCCCTATAATCATCCTTGTGAACTTGTGTTGCAGACCTATCATCTTATCGTTCATTTAACTCTCGATCCACTTCCTCTAGAAAATATTATTCATTATCTACTCCACGTAGAAAGTTGTACAAAATGCAACATGCCAAGACTATGTTCCTTGATGTTTCAAAGCAATAAAGGAGTTCTGCCCCACTTCCTATGATGAGAAATCCTTTTTTCAGCACACTTAATTATATTTCTTAACGAAGAATGACAATGATTAAACAATTCTCGAAGATTCTAAGGACCTTTTTGTGAACTCTTTCAGGTGGTACCTTACTGTCCGACATGGAGTAATAATTTGAGTTTTCAACTTGAACCCTACATCTCCCAAGTAATATTTGTCTACCTAAAATAACATTACTTAGTATTTGCAATTAAACACTCATGTCAAGCAATAACATTATCATTTGGTGAATTCTTCATACCTTCAGGTATGGTGAGAGGATCCTCCCTTGTTAGGGCATCTTTTAAAATCTTAGAATCAAATGCAGTTTCTTCCCATCCTACTAGAACATATGTAAATTTCATGTCGAAATCACAAGCTACAAAAATATTTTGGGTCGGTCAATCTTTTTTACCACGAAAAGGGGTGCATCAGATCGTGGTACTTTGACTCGAACATGAGTTCCATCAATCACCCCAAGACAATCCTTAAAATAAGGGTAGAATTTCATATGTGGTTGGACATCTCTTCTAGAGGGTTGAACAAAAACTTCTTTCTTTAATTCAATAATTGCATTTAAGACATTATGAAAATGTCAACTGACGGTCTCATTAGATCGATGAAAAAAAAAAGGAGATAGTTCGATTTTTTACATTATGTCCTAAGATATGTAAAAATTTAGCAATTTGTTCTTATATTGTTGACCTAAACACATATTTTACAATATAAGTTTCTCTTAATCGATGACACAATTAGATGAAGGTCTCAAATCTCATGCGAATAATATCCCAACATCGCTCCGAATGCACAAGATACGACAACTCACATCTACGATGATATTTTTCAAGATCATATAAGTTAACGTTGGTAATGGTGGTAAACATCATTTGTAACATGTATAATGCATGAAAAACACTGCATAGTATCGTTAGTTCCCTAACTTTCACCTTTTGTTATATTTGATCTTGATCATGATATATTATATTCATATTCATCCCTAGAATATTAGTACTCATTTGTTGTTCATCTTCATAATCCATATAATCTTTCACTCTTGAAAGAACAATTTCTATATGCACAAAATATTTTATTTTAATTAATTATATCATATTATCGAAAATGATAATAATAATTTTTTTATTAAATATTTAATAAAATCCAACGGAAGCCAATTCTTTCACTATAGTGAATCTGCATAAACAAACATAGCCAATTATTTTAAAATATCATTTTTTAATTATAATAATATAATAATAAATAAAAAATATTAAAAAAAAGCATATCCAATCTAGAAGAATGTCTCGTGAATTTGTAAGTTTGATTATTATGAAAAAAAAAGAGATATATCCTTAAAGCATAGAACTTGGAGCTTAGGTATCAAAATCCAAAGTTACACTCCAATTATAAGGTTTCTTCCTAATACATACAATCCCACTAATGATGTTTTTCATACTAATGTGGAAGGTGTAACTTCTAACTGTGTTGGACTTTGTAACTGTGCGATAATCATGTATTAAACACAAGACCATTTTCAAGAAAGTAAGAACATACTATATAATTGAAGATAATGGGAAATATATCTAGGTGATGTGTTTGTATTTTAAAGTCCAAGAATGCCCCATGTTTTAATAAGCAAATATTTGACAGTACATGTAATGCTAAATCTACAAATAGAATGGAGTAAGCCAAAACATGATGTTGAAAATTAATTAAGTGAGAATCATTATGTACAAGTGAAATAATAAAATGGAGTAAGAATGTTGTTAGCTCATTCTGCTGGCAAGCTAGAATGGACTGACGCTATGAGCCAGTTTTAACATGCATTCAGGCACAAGGCGTCTCCTTGGAGGAGCCACAGCATCTCTGGCACGGGCCTCAGCATCACCAGCGTGGATATATGCAACTAAATCTTCAAACATATCATCTTTCCCACCTCTCATGGGATCCTAAAATTTAAGAAACTAGCATATTTAGACCTCCTTATGTTTTATTTATTTTCTATCTACTATTGCTAAAAAGTTGTACCAAGCTAGTTGAATTGTCTCGACAATAAAAAAGGAAAAGAGTTATCAAAATCAATGTGAAGCAGAGAGGTCGAATACCTGTAGAAACACATCAGTATGAGTCTTCCCTTCGTACAAAATTGCTTCAGCTGTCACTCCAACTTTTTTAAGAACTTCAGCAAATGTTTTACTGTATAGAATAATACGTTAAGAGCAGCTAAAAAATCCAAGAATTTTCTTAAAGAAAATGGTTCAATTTACAAATACAGGCGAAGTAGTTGCACTATAATGAAAATTTGTTGCTACACAAGTTAAATATCCTCTCTTTAAGTTGTACATTTCTTCTAATACCCAGTAGAAAATTAACAGAATTGAAGTCTACTTCATATCCCATTCATTTAACATGCTCACAATAACATTTAACCTAATTCCCTGCAACACAAATTAAATAACTTTGCTTGAATTGTACATTTACACAAGACTATTTTATAACCCATGCAAAAGGATAACACGCGCACAATTCATTTTCACCTAATTCGCTGCAACACAAATTAAATAAGCTATCTTGAAGTTCAACATTTCCTATACTCGTCCATCAGAGGATGGTAAACAAATTTAAAGCCTACTTTATAATCCATGCAAAAGTATAACATGATCACAATATAATTTAAGCTAATTTTCTGTAACAGTATAAAAATCTCCACGTAAATTTTACATTTCCTCTAATAATAGCCCATTGGAGGAAAAATAGGACTAAACTCTACTTTATAAACTCATGCAAAAGCATAACATGTTCTCTAGAATGCAAAAACATAACATGCTCACAATTCAAATTAACCTAAATCATTGCTAACCAAATTAAAATAACCATTTTGAAGTGTTGGATTTCCTCTAGTAACCCAGTGGAGGATAAACAAGATTAAAGTCTACATTAGATAATTGGCTGCTACACAATTTCAAAACCCTAGATAGAAGTTGTACACTTCTACTTTATAACCATTTCAAAAACATCACATGTTCACAATTCAATTTAACACTACACAGATTAAATACTCTTATTTTAAGTTGTACACTTCTTGAAGAAGTCCATTGGAGGATAAATAGGATTAAAGCCTACCTTATACGCCATAACATGCTCAAAAATAGAATTTTACCTAATTCGATGCAATACAATATGAATACACTCTCTTGACAACGTACATTTCCTCTCCATTGAAGAATAAACAAGATTAAAACCTATTGAAGAATAAACAAGATTAAAACCTACTTTAGAACCCATGCAAAACCATAGCATGCTCACAATTCAATTTAACTTAATTGACTACTACACAAATTAAATACTCTTTTAAAGTTGTATATTTCCTCCAGTACCCCATTAAGGATAAATAAGATCACAGCCTACTATAAATCATATAAAACTAGAGTTGTCAAAACGGGGACCAATCCCAGCCTGGTCCTAGCTAACGGACCAATTTTGGTCTAATTGGATTAAAAAATATATATATTGACATACCTATACAAAATCAATTAATTAAAAAAATATTTAAATAAAACTTAAAAATATATTTTAAAAATTTAAATTTTATTAATGAAATTAGTTTTTGTTTAAGATATAATGATTTAAAATATAAATTATATAAGAACGTATCCATTTAATTTCAAAATAAGAATTAAAAACTTACTTTTATTATAATTATTTTTTTAGTAATTTATTAATTTAAAATAATAAATTATTAATTTAAAATAATAAATTATTAATTTAAAATAATAAATTATTAATTTAAAATAATAATTAATCTTAATCATTAGATCATGAAATAAGTGATTATTAGAGATTTATTCCAATATTTATTCTTAGAATAATAAAATAATACTACTTTTATTTTTATTTAAAAAATTATTATTATCATAAACGGGTTGATCCATAAGCCTTTGGGCTAGTTTGGGCTTAAGCTCATATAGGTCATGACCTAAATAGGTCGGGCAAAAATAGACATGATTTAATTTAGGCCACAATTATTTTGGTCTAGCCTGACCTATTTCTCGGACCTTTTGGGCTACACCTATGTTGACACCCCTATAAAAAACCATAACATGCTCACAATTCAATTTAACCAAATCCCCTTCTACATAAATTAAATTCCATCTCTAGAAGTTGTACATTTCCTCTAGTAGTCAAATAAAGGATAAACAAGATTAAAGCCAACTTTATACGTGATGCAAAACCATAACATGCTCAGAATTTAATTTAACCTATTCCATACACAAATTAAAAACCATCTTTTGATGTTGTAAACTTCCTCTAGTTGTCCATTGGAGGATGAATAAGATTAAAACCTACTTCATAACTCATAGCATAATGTGCTCACATTAAAAATATCCTTTCTTGAAGTTTTCCATTTCCTCTAGTAGTCCATTGAAAGAAAAAGTTAAAGCATAACATGCTCACAATATAATTCCACCGAATTCGCTGCTACAGAATATAAATACCCTCTCTTGAAATTGTACATTTCGTCTAGTAACCCATTGAAGGATAATAAAGAGTAAGGCCTATTCTATAACTCACGCAAAAGCATAACTTCCTCACTAAAAATTTCACCCAATTGATTGCTATACAGAAGTTGTACATTTCCTCCGCTATTCCGTTGGAAAATAGATAAACATTATTCAAGCCTACTTTATAGCCCATTTAAAAGTATCACATGATCACAATTGAATTTAACATAATTTGCTGCTACACAATATAATTACCCTTTCTTAAAATGATACATTGCCTCTAGTAACCCGTTGAAGGATAAAAAAGATTAAACCCTACGTTATATAGCCCATGCAAAATCATAAAATGTTCAGGATTAAATTTAACCTAATTCACTACTACAAAAATTAAATTCCCTTGTTTGAAGTTGTACACTTACCGTAGAAGTCCATTGGAGGATAAATAAGATTAATGCCTACTTTATAACTCATGCAAAGGTTAACAAGCTCGCAATAAAATTTCACCTAATTTGATGTTTTACCATAAAAATACCCTTTCTTAAAGTTGTATATTTCCTCTAGCAGCCCATTGATTGAAGGATAATCAAGATTAAAGCCTACTTTAGAACCCAAGCAAAAGCATAAGATTCTCACAATTCAATTTAACTTAATTGACTACTACACAAATTAAATATCCTCTGAAACTTGTATATTTCCTTTATAGTATATTAAAGGATAAAAAAGATCAAACCCTACTTTATAAGTCATGCAAAACCATAAGATGCCCACGATTCAATTTAACCAAATCCACTACTATAAAAATTAAATACCCTGCCTTGAAGTTGTACATTTCCTCTAGTAGTCGATTGAAGGATAAACAACATTAAAGCCTAATTTATAAGTGATGCAAACACATAACATGCACACAATTCAATTTAACTATTCCACTAGTACACAAATTAAAAAACCCTATTTTAATGTTGAACAATTCCTCTAGTAACCCTTCGAAAGATAAAGAGGATTAAAGCCTACTCTATAACTCATCCAAAATCATAACATCCTCACTATAAAATTCCTCCCAATTAGTTGCTACACAATTACAAAACCGTATATAGATGTAGTACATTTCCTCTACTATTTGGAGGATAAAGAAGATTCAAGCGTACTTTTTATAACCCATTTAAGAGTATCACATGCACACAATTCAATTTCACACAATTTGCTGCTACACAATATAAATACCCTCTCTTGAAGTTGTACATTTCCTCTAGCAGCCCATCAAAGGATAAAAAAGATTGAAGCCTACATTTTAACCCATACAAAACCATAACATGTTCACAATTCAATTTCACCTAATTCACTACTAGACAAATTAAATACCCTTGTTTGAAGTAGTACACTTCCTAAGAAGTCCATTGGAGGATAAATAAGATGAAAGCCTACTTCATAACTGATAGCATAACATGGTCATATGATAAATATCCTTTCTTGAAGTTTTCAATTCCTCTAGTTGCCCATTGAAAGATAAAAAAGATTAAAGCCTACTTTATGATCTAAGCAAAAGCATAACATGCTCACAGTAAACTTTCACCGAATTTGCTGCTGCACAATTTCAAAAACCTTATATAGAAGTTGTACCTACTTTATAACACATTTAAAAGCATCACATGCTCACAATTCAATTTAAGATAATTTGCTGATCCTCTCTTGAAGTTGTACATAACAAACGTGAGTTATATAACCCATGCAAAACCATAACATGTTCACAATTTAATTTAATTTAATTCACTACTACACAAATTAAACACCCTTGTTTGAAGTTGTACACTTCCTCTAGAACTCCATTGGAGGATAAATAAGACTAAAGCCTACTTCATAAACCATGAAAAGCATAACATGCTCACATGGAACTGTAGCAAATATAAGGGGTGGGGGAAGGAACTGTCACGGGTTGTTCTAAGTTGTTTCTTTTACATGATTATCAATACCTTGAAGATGAATTAAGCAACCCATTGCTCACTAAATCCTTTAGCATTTCAGCCATTAACAAAGCTTGACACTATAATATTGCATGAAACGATTAAAAGTCACTACGCTCCCCAAATAGGGTCCATCTAGCCTATATCACGGCAAAACTAAACCATAAAAAATTAATAGGCCAATCAATATATACTCCTGGTTTCTATTGTTACAAAATATTTAAAAGGGGAACAAACCTGGCATCTGATGGTATGGAATAATCCCCAGTTCCATGAAAAAGAACTATAGGAGGTAGTAGAGAATTCGCATTTCCAATGTTTGGATCTTGAACCATTACTTCTGGAGAAAACTGTCGCAGGGATTCCTCCCCTTCCATTATGCTGTAAGACAGAAATAGTCATTTGAAAGTCTAATACAATGAAACCAGTGAATGAAAAATCACTTGAAGATGAATGAAGTGTGTACCTTAAAAAGATGGACCGATAAAGACCCCTACTGTGAAAGTGATCTACTAGGTCAAATAAATTATACCTGAATTGATGTAAGATGGAAAGAAAGTAAAAAATTATTTTAATCTTAGTGTAAAGTCAATAATCATTGGTGGGAACTGCAACGTAATATAATAAAAATCTCAATCAAATAACATTGCATTTACAATAAGAAACAAAATATAACATAATTGGAAGAATTAATAGACATTGCATATCTTCCTGCAGACAGTTATTTATGTAATTAAAATTTGAAAAGATTAAATCCATACATGATCAACTTGAGCTATATTTTCTTGGTTAACATGTTACAGCGTAGCACTCCTAACATTAGTAAAACAAAACGCTTTTGTAAAATATTACAATCAAACTTTGCATTTCTAGCATGACATCTTTCACGAAACAAACAAACAATAGCTAAAATTGTTAGATGAAAGCACATGAGTGACTTTTATTACATTTCTAACACACTCCATGCTGTATGAGTTCTTTGAGCTTGAAGCAAGGATAACACGCAGACTTGGCTAATTCTTAAATTCAACTTCTTTTTTTATTTCAAATAATTGAGTGACAAGGATCAAACCCTAGACTGGCAATTCTTCATGCTTGCCAGGAACAAACAGAATCTTCCTATTTCTGAAACCCATTACAGTTGCGACACTGAAGCGCACAAAATGGTGTTATTTCCCACCACTGAAAACCATGCTGCTATAGTGCATATTTGACCACTAAGATTGAAATAGACTTTTTCTAACACAATATACCAAGATTGAAAGGGACTTTCCGCAAGTACTTACCCTCCAGATAAACCAAAATAAGTCTTAATCTGGGAAAGACTCCAACATGTACTCTCTCCTTCACCTGCCTCTTTGATTGCCTGCTCCACAATTGCACATGCAGCAATATGTGCTCCAGCTGATTGCCCCATTAGGTAAATTCTATGGGAAAAAATAGGAAAAGCATCATGAGAAACCATTATCCTTAAAGCAAGTGGAACAAATTGGATGCCTTAATGAGAAAACTTTGGAGTTAAGAGGATGATTATTTACCTGTTGGGATCACCTCCATATTCTGCAATATTGTTGCACACAAATGAGATGCCTTGAGAAGAATCAGCTATCATATCACTGATGGTTCCCTGGGGAAAATTTCTGCAAGAAAGAGATGTTTTATAGCACTGCATTAGAAAGACAAAAGCAAGTAATACACTCAATTTTTTATACTATTTATTAATTATTAGGTGAATCTCAAGTAGCTTGAGAGCAAATTTGAATTATGATTAGTGTTTGTGATGAGTTACAATAAAAATCACTGATTTCCTTGGATTGGTTCTCTTCATCACTGTTTTCACTGCATATTTTCATTTTGATTTTGACTTTTATATTTCAACAGTCCCTATGCTTTAAACTGAAAGTGGTCTTGCATAAAGAGGCACAATAGAGATATGGAGGAGTCTCCTTAAAACTCAAGGGAAAGTCGGCAGTTGAAAGGGCTCATTACAAATAATGGTTTGCTTAAACCCTACGACTTTCTGATTGTATAACAATATTTTATATTTCACAAAAGAACTTTCAAAACAAAAAAAAAGAAGATTGAAAACTATCAGAGTTCTTATTTTGTCATCAATAAAAAACCAAGAGACATTACAAATTAAAAACATTAAGACCAGGACTAAAGCATAATAAATTAACAGAACAATTGTAGAAATGATGATTCAGTTGAAATAGAACAAAGAATAAAGAGTTTTCTTTATTACTATTTACTAATACAGATAAGTATTTGTTTTCATAATGATTTTAATGCGGCAGATAGCATGTATCTAGAGCAAAATACAGATGCGAGAATTGGGGAAGAAAATATCACCTGTAATCAATGCATGCCACAATGATATCTCTCTCTGATAACTGTTGACCTAAAAGAGAACCCCATGCTTTGTAACTACACAAATACACTACAAATACTTTAAAACTAGTAATCAAAGAATCGGTAAGTGATGAATGTGTCTGTGAGTTTATATAAAACAGACACACAGAGAAACACGTTAATCCCTTCAATAATGAAATTATAAGCATCTTATTTTGATTGCACAGGGTAAATGTGCTAAAACAATTCTTGAATTCTTCTTGTGATGCTCATTGGAATGTCACGGTTCACACCCTTAAATACATTAAGATTGTAGCACGAACAAAGGCGATATAAAGATAGTAAACTACTATTACTCTATGTTGATTGGTCAAGATTTCCATGTGATAGAGGATACACATTAAGCTATCGTGTTCTTGTAGGCAAAATTAAGACTGACTGTCAGTTCCAGTAATAAATTTGTTAACATATTCACCTAATCCCAGTTTGAAAATCTTGGTGCATATTATTTACATGCAGCAGCTTGAAAAGGAGTATTCAATATAGCACACATGCAGCAAATGTAAATCTTAGTTTTAAAACATTCTAATATGTGAAATAATAAAATTTGATAACAATTAGCATTTATTAAGGAGATCATTGTACCATTACGTAAACAGTCAGCATAAATCTTCATGTGCGGTCAACATTTGACACACAATTAAAAAACATAAAAAGTTCAACCAATTTCCTTATGGGTGAAGATAAATATAAATGAACTTCTTTTTTTATAGGAGATAAAAATAAGAATTGAAGCTCATATACGAATCAACTATTATATGGATAGGGAATATCCTCTTAATCAAAACAACAACCGAATCAAAGCCTTATTACACCTAATTCCCTTGAAATGCAATTTTGAAATGAAGCACCGGCGTCACATACCCAATAATCCAGGCTCCACCAGTAATAAAAGCTACAACAGGTTTTGGACCATTGCTATTTTTAGGTAAATACAAGTCAAGCCTGAAAAAGATAATAATCTATTGATCAAATTTGCAACAATTGAAGGAATTTATAAATGTAGAGAGACAATATCGATAAAGCATACCTATTTCGCGGTTTATCTCCATAAACTATGCTTCTGCGTATCTGATTGGAGAAGAAATAGTAATATCCAACTATGAAACAGAAGGTAGCAAATGATGAGTGATACTAATGCATATGAAATCAGAATCTGGACATAAATAATTAATTACATGTATGAAAGATGTTATAGATCACTGAATTCATACCTTGAATAAAGCCTGGAAAAAGAAGTAGTGCATAACATCCAAGGGCAAGAAATCTAGTAATCCATTTGTAGCCTACCCTGAACAGAAATAAACGATCACAGAGCATCCACAACTGGTATATGCGAAGATAATCACGTCGCACAAATAAACAGATATGTTAGTGTTGATCTTAAAACTAACTGGGATTAATTCACGGTTCTTAACAGACATATAAAATGCACACTAAAAATTGAGAAAACAATGTGGGACTTTTCAAGAGTTGACATAACAAGATTTCATATCAATTGCATTACCAATTCAAATCAGTCAGACCAAGTTATAGTGAAAAACCTCAAAAACCCACTAAAAAAATCATTGTTTTGTAGGCCCTATTTAGCAGGTTAGAAATTAGGAGGGAAGGGCGAATGGAAACAATTTGGTGTTTTCGTCGGAGAAGGAGATATAAGGTAGAAATAATTTTAAAAATAGTGTGACCCACTGCATTATTTCTATTCATTTTTTTCTCTATCTCTCTTCAAACAAAAAGCTGAACTACCATTTTATTTCTGACCTATTTTCACACATTAGTCTTAATTTCATCCATGGTAATTCCATCTTCGGTACCAAATCCGGATTGGACCCACAAGTGTCTCAGAGCCAGACAAACTAATCCCATAAGTAAAGTATCAGTAAAGCGACAACTCCTCTACGTCTACCTATATATGCATAGTGAGGGATCGATCCCTGACATATAGTTAAAGAACCCAAACTACTAGCCACTTGAGTCACACCTTGATGGTCAGAAAACAGCATTCTGTATAACATTCTTGCACTCATATATTCTATTGTGGGTGAATGCATGATCCCCAACCGAAAAAAAATGAGAAGAGGGGGATATAATACCCGAGGTAGCCAAGCATCTTGAAGCCAAGGCGAGTCAAGAGAAAGGTCTCGGCGGCGACATCGCGCCCGAATGAGGAGCGGGTGGCGGTGGCAGGTTGATCGGAGACGGAGGGGAGGGAGTCCTGGCTGGCGGCACGGCGGCGGCGTTTCTGGTTGAAAGTGTGGGGAGGGCGGGAGGGTTTGTTGCGGGAGGTGGTGAAACTGGAAGCCCTGGGCAAGGGTGGCTTGAGGGACATGTCTCGGAAGGTTGGGGGAGAATGGTGGAGGAGGCTGGCGGAGGGATCATTGTCGTCGTCTTGTTTGGGTCGGAGGAGTGCGGAGGAAGGAGTGGAGAAGGCGGAATCAAGAGAACGATTGGGTGTGGGAAAAATCTGAGATGGCATTTTGAAGAGAACGAAGAGAGAAGAGAGTGCGTGAGCGAAATCTTGTTTGTTACTTGAGAGGGTCCGAGAGTTGGAAGAAGCTATTCACATAAACATGTATACCAATTGCTCCACACACACACACACAGAAGTGGGGCAAAGAAACGATCCAAGAGAGCAAGAATTGTTCTGATTGGCTCCAGCTGGCATCTTCAGTTCTTCTAACCATCTGTCTCCAAATGTAACAGATAAGAACTACACTTCATATTTTTTATTCTTTTCTTTCAAGACCTCTTCTTAATTTAAGTTTATTTCTAAAAAATTGTTTTTTTAACTAACTAATTTATGTATCTGAAAAATAAAATGAAACATTTTTTACAATAAAAAACTAATATAATTTTTTTATTAGATTGCGACTTAATAGATATGTCTTGTTCAATTTCTTGATAATGTTTTTTTTATTGGTGAATAAATATTTTACATGGATAATGTTTTTTATATCTTTAACACATCCCTGAAATTCCTGAAACAATATGTTTTTGCGTAAGCACTGTCCAACAACTAATCATTCCCTTTCTTGGTTTTCTATTTACAATTTTCTTTATTTTTTTCCTGGAAAAGAAAATGAATGGACAAATAAATAGATAAACAATACAGTTTAATAAATATATTTTAATCATAGTTTTACTGAAAACCTGGTCGCCGTGCCCATTATTTTACAGTTGTGCAGTAATTTTTAAAATATTTTTCCTTCTCCAAAAGTATATTTTAAAAATGTATATATTGCATATTTGTATTTTTTTACAAAACCAAGTTTCCATAAAAAAAAATTTAAAATGAACACACAGTTGTCAATTACGTGACAAATCCTTTCTCTTCTTTTGCACTGAGTGTTAATAAATTTATTTATTTAAAAATTGAGTATTTGATTTTTCCACTCAATCTGGATTGATAAATGATTTTACTAAACGTCCCAAACCAAACTTAATGGTTGAATTAAAACTTGAAACATATACTCTTTCGTGTACCGTGGCATTGGAGATATCGTCCAGAAAATGTGTTTATATTATAGAAATTATGAATATATATTGAAATTTATAATTATTTATATTATTTTAATGAATTTTTATTATTTATCAACAATGATAATGATTAGCATAAATTTCATTGACTTAATTAATTCATAATTATTTATATTATTTTGATCCATTTATACGGATGAAGTACTATGTCTAACATGACAATGATTAGGATAATTATCTTATTACGTTAACTTAATTAGTTATCTAATTAATGTCCTAAATCTTTAAGAATGTCAACGTCCCAATAACATATTCATTCACTAATGGTGTAAAATGTTTAAAAACAAAATAATTACTAATTAAAGGTTGGCAACAAATAATTAGTGGTCAAAATAAATTAGGGAATGTTATTTCATTCAACTAAATAATAATTATTTTAAAAAAAATAAGGATTATTTATTTGATGTTATTAAAAATATGTAGAAGAAAATAAATACCTATATGTTTATTAATTTATAAATATATATCTTTGGGAAATTTTTATTTCCAAGAAAAGTACATTTTCACATTTTATGTGGTTTCTATTCGTTTTATGAGAAAGTATTGTATAACATATTTTTAGGAGAATCGAAAGTTGTTGTGTTGTAATAAATATTTATTTTCATTATATTATTTTGATTTTTATTTTCTTTCTAAAATTACTAAATATCTGCCAAACATATATACGGAGATAATATTATATAATATTTCACATGCTCTGAACATCTAAAATCATACGAAGAAGGAAAGTTTCCTTAGTGTCTAATTCCAATTTAATGCAACTCACGACAAGGTTTCCAAATTTTTGGGTAGCTATTGCAATGCTAAGTTTTAAAAAAAAGGTATAAACATGAAAAATAAGAGAATATGAAAAATTTTGAATTTCTACTTTTTAGTGAAATTTAAAAAATTAAATTACTTTAATATAATATATTTTATTATAAAAAAAATATATTGTCTATAAAATTAAATTATCTTATAAAAATTATTCATCAGAGCATATTGTTGATTTTGTAACAAGGAAACATGAGAGAGAGATTCTCTCCTTAAAACATGGAAGGAGTTTCCCAACTCCACGTGAAGTTTATGTTTTTTGATCCAATGATTGGTACATATCTTGTTCTTATTCATAATGTCAGATATTTTATTAAATGATGGATCTGAAGATAGTGCAATAGATGTTGTATAATCACAATTTAATCTATTTTATTTGTAGTATGAAAGTTCAGAAATATAATTTCAAATAGTAGATATGCTAAATGCATAGAGTTGCTGCAAGTACATGATTTTTTTATTTTTATTGTTTACATTTAGTGGTTTATTTCTATTTAACACACAAAATTTAGAAAATAATTAATTATCATATAAAAAGTATTAAAAGCATATAATTTAAATAATGTATATCAAATGAGCTCAATAAAATTTAACAAATATAAGAATATTAATTTGACTATAATTAATAATTGTCAACACAATAAACTAACCTAATTAAAGTTCATCAATGTCCTGATATGTTTCAAAACTTATCAATGTGATAAAAAATATACAATAATAAAAATTAAATTAAATATTTATTATCTTATCATACCAGGATATAAATATCATAACATATATATATATATATATATATATATATATATATATATATATTCCATAAATAGTACAGTTAAAGTTAAAATATACAAGAAAATAAATATTCCACTTTCAATAAATAGTTAAACTGAAAAGTTAATAATATATATTTATTACAGATTTGTATCAAGTATTTTAAATATTTTTCACTTAAAATAGTTTTGAACGAACTTAAATATTTGATCCACTTGAAAAAAATAATTTCTATAACAATGAAGTAAACCTTTCATGTAAAATCCACACACTTGTTTGCAAAATTATACATTACTTAAACTTTCATTAGAGAGTGAAAAAATGTTAAAGTTATGTATAACAAATTTCACAAAAACAAACGAACATATAATATTTTTCTCTGCCCATACACATGCATCAATTCGATTGGTGGGAGTTCCTCCAACCAATACATCTCATACAATGAAAAGACAAGATTTGAAAGATTATTAGCTACACTATCAACGCTGCAACTGTTACAGTTTCCTTGAAAGATTGAAAGATTTCTATTTATAAAAAAGAAGCACTTCTTACACGGTCTCTCTACCACATCTGAAACAAAGAGCCTCTGCAGCACTTGGTTTAGCCAAGAAGTCTGTGGAATAAAAATTTCCCTTATCATCTCAATGCATATTTTTATCTACTTGTTTTATAGAAGCATAAAAAATGCAATTTTCCATTATAGGGTGGTTTCTCGTGATTCTCCTGAATATCGTAGTTGCTGAACAAATCTGCTTTAGCGCCTATGTAAGTCGTGAATTTTAACACAAGTTTGAGTAACTTATATATTAAGTTAATGTCTAACTTTCTCTCAACACATTTTCCACATCAAACATTGGTATAATTACTACCTCTGCAGTGGGAAATCAGATTTTAACTAGTAATCACATCACGCTTTGTTAGCCCAACACGAATATTGCCTTCAGAAACTCTTTCATTAGTATTTGGAAGCCAAGAAAGAAGGACAGAAAAAATAAATAATGAGTATAATTTTTCATTTTTCAGTTTCATACATATTAAATGATGACTTTCCAACTTTTGCAAACCAAAAGGGTGTTTTGTTCAGGGTGAAATCCATGGTTGTCGTCACATGAGACTGGTATAGCAGCTGTTGCATGTGTCAAATGCTGACAGATAGAAAAATGGAAATAGCTAGACCAATACCCCACCATATCTTTTTCCCTTGCATATGGTACGATGGTGCATCGTTCTGTGAAACAAAAAAGTAAACATAAGATTTGGTTAACACTTTGGTTAGTTTATATAAGTTTTATGCTCATCCAAAAAACTTATTTTTAGTATTTGTCTATAACAATGCAAAATTGAATTAATTATCATATAAATGACTTGTAATTCATTAATCACATAAGTGAAATCTATACCATATTCAGAAAAAAGAAAAAAAAAGAGACTAAAACAAGTATGTATTTTTAAAATTTTAAAAACAGAATCAATTTCAAATTTAACTAACAGAGACAAATTTATTTTAATTGAAGAAACTAAAAACATCTTTACGACAAAATAATTATCATAATGGTTTTTTTTTTTTTTCAATGTTTAACACACTGCCCTTTGTTAGAGTTAAGTGATAATTTGATAGTGGAAGATTTTTTTTCCAAAATTTGTTCGATTGATTCTGTTATTAATTGGTAGTAGCAAAATATTCATGTGAGTGGTGTTGTTTTAGCGAGCTTTGTGAGATGTTAATGTATAAAGTAGTTTGAATGGAAGAGATTACCGCAATGGGAGGTGGTGGTTTCAAAGGAGCAGATGGTGGTGGTAAAACCTTGGTAATTGGTAATTTCAGTGGGGCTAAAGATAGTGGTTTAAATCGGGAAGTTGGTAGTTTCACTGGAGCAGGTGTTGGAGTTGTGGGTATGGAATCGGGTAATATAACAGGATCAGATATTGGAAATCCAATCACTGGAACTGGTGATTCAACAGGAGCAAATGTTGGAGATATAGCCTCAGGAACTGGTAATTTCACAGGAGCAAGTGTTGGAGATGTAATCCTAGGAACCGGTAATTTCACAGGAGCAGATGTTGGGGATGTAATCTTAGGAACTGGCAACTTGACTGGAGCAGATGTTGGAGATGTAGCCTTGGGAACTGGCAATTTGGCAGGAGCAGATGTTGGAGATGTAGCTTTGGGAACCGGTGATTTTACAGGAGCAGATTTTGGAGATGTAGGCTTAGGAACCGGTGTTTTAGTAGGAGCAGATGTGGGAGATGTAGTCTTAGGAAGTGGTGATTTAACAGGAGCAGATGTTGGAGCTGTGGTTTTTGGATGTGGTGATTTAACAGGAGCAGAAGAAGGAGATGTAGTAGCCTTAGGAACTGGTGATTTAACAGGAGCAGATGTCGGAGATGTAGCCTTAGGAACTGGTGTCTTCACAGGAGCAGATGAAGTTGGAGATGCAACTTTAGGAACTGGTGATTTAACAGGAGAAGTTGCAGGAGATGTAGTCTTAGGAACTGGTGATTTAACCGGAGCAGATGATGTTGGAGATGCAACCTTAGGAAGTGGTGATTTTACAGGAGCAGAAGATTTTGGAGTTGCTGGTGCTGCAGCAGTTGCAGGTGGTTGATTGGAGGGTAGTGGTTTGTTGGAAGAGGGAGAGGTAGCTGCTGCCACTGGTGGTTTGTTTGAGGTAGCAGGGGTAGCTGCCACAATGGTTGGATTTGTGGCAGCTGATGGTGTTCTGGGGGAAGCTGCATTTGGCAATTTAGAGGGTGCAACTGTTGTTGTGGTTGGTGGTTTGTTAGCAGAAGAAGTGGGAGAAGATGCAGCTACTGGTGGCTTCCATGATGGTGTCCCAGAAGAAGGGGATGCTGCAATTGGGCTTGAAGTTGGCAACTTTGATGGTGCACCTCCTTGTGCCTGGGCACTTATTGAGGCTAGTGGGAAGCAGAGGCTAGCCAAAGCAAGTGCCCAGAACATTGCAGCCATTGTTGGATATGATTTGGTAGAAATTCTTTGTTTCTCAATTATTTATAGGCTATGGTGTTTGCGTGTGAATTATGGTAGGGTTAGAAGGTTGAGACTTAGAAGTTAATGAGGCCATGGTTGCATGCTAATGAGAACGCAATTTTACCTATCAGATGCATGTTCTGTTATATCTGATGGAGCAACATACCAAGGTGATGTTTTCTCTTCACAACAAAATGATTTCAAAAGGACCCCTCAACATAGTTGGATTGGAAGGACTTGTTGAACAGGGAGAGGTTCTTATCTTTTTGTTGATATCTTATCCTCCATTTTGAAAAGAAAAATGACATATAAACACTTGAGAAACTATCAGATGTAATATTCATGTATATCACAAAACTAAAATACATTTGCTTGAAACTTGACAGAGAAGAAAACATAAATTTCATGATAATTACGATCTGATCGGAAGAGATAGATGACAGATGATGTATTACATTACCTTCTTCCTTCATTTTCCCACAAATACATATTCTTAGTATTCGTGAAGATCGAGATAAGGTCAATCTAAGAGAAGAACAATTAATAAAAATTTATTTTAATTAAAATCCTATGGAATTGCTCTTTTATAAGATGAAAGACAAATATGGATTTTGGGCCACCAATGTTTAAATGGTTTCGGCCCAATGAATTTAAACTTGCTGAAGGAATATTTTAGATTTTTTAATCGAAATTTAGCCCAATAATTCTAGAAGCAAGAAAGGTTTTTATTTACAAATGGGCTTTTACCCACTTTTTGATAAAAAAATAGTGATATTTTCGGAGTTAAAATTAGGTGATTTGTATTTGGTCCAATAAACTGAAAATAAGAGTCCAACTACATGCACCCCACTTATTTCTTGGACAATATTCTATTCATTCAGAAGTATAAAAAATAATGTTCAAAAAACTGTTTCAAAATGTATCAAAGGTGAGAACACAAAATTTAAGGTGCAATTAGAAACTCCCAATATAGTCAATAGTATACAAAATAATTTGAGAAATTTTATAGCTTTTAAAAATTATTTATTTTAGAAAAAGAGAAAGATAAATCAAAGGATAAATTAATGTATATCCATAGAGAGAGAGATTAATATATTTACTTTTGTGTTTATAATACAATAGAAAGTTTTAGTTTTTAGAGTAGTATGTTATCCAACTCATCATTATAAAATATTAAAATTTATTATTATCATTATCAAATAATTAAAAATTAGTTAATAATACAGTTGTTATTAGCATGTTAAAATATACTAACGAACAATTGTTGCATCAATTTATTACACCTTCGATATAAGTATTTGGGTACAATTTTAAATAAATGTTTATGAAGGAAAATATGTTTATGATTATAATTTCTTTCTTGGAATGAATGTGGTGATAGAATAGTTGATTAAAAATAGAGAATAGGAGAAGAAAGCAAAAACGTGTTAACAAAATAATGATTGACGTGTGCATTATGAGATGGTAAAAGCTTTTAAAAAGAGAATAATATATGGTTTAAGGTAGAAGAAATAGATAATAAAATGAGAAGATGGAGATACCTCATGTAATGTAATGTGTCATTGTAACCACTCCAAATAAGAGTGTGGTTTTGAAATCATGGGATTGTCAAACCTGGGAATCAACATCAAATCATGGGACCACTAATTGTTGTTCAACAACTCTTCTTTTCTCTAAACTTTCACTTCAACCCTAAAAATCTACAACAACAACCCCACAAATCTAATCAAACATGTACTATCTTTCTCACCTGTTACACATTAAGGAAATGTGAGAGAGGGTCTTAAAAACATGAGGCTCAGATCTTAAAACCATAATGACAAAATCTACCTATCATTTCCTCATTTTCTCTATATTCCCTTCATAATATCCTCCAATATAACCAAATCTCAGGTCCCACAATACTGCTATATAGCAGTAGCTCAAACTCGTTACAAATCCAAATCTACTTTTTGTTTTCTATACAAAAAAAGTTTATGATGATTCCAGAATGGTGCAGAATGTAGCAAGTGCAAGAATATTATACGAGGAATAATAGTGTTGGAGAATCAGAAAGTACATAGGATATGTTTCACTGAATTTGAATTCATTTCTTTAGTAAGTGTTGTTGTATAAGCTTTTGTCTTACTATAAGAGTGGTCCTGTGAATGATGTGCTGGTCTCTGCAAATTTGGTTTTGGTCTTATTTTTGTGTACTGCACACCATTAAAATACTAATCTCATCATGGTATTGCAACAATGGAAGACTGGATAAGCATCTTCACCAACTCTTTTTTTTTTTTATGCATAAAACAAAGTGTTGAAAAGTTTTTAACTTTTATTTTTCTTTTCCTGAAAATATTCAACTCTCAACTTAAATCATGCAATTAAACTTTTTTAGTCACTAATTACAATTGTTTTCACATCCATTTTAGTTAATTGAGACTCAGTTTATGTAATGTCAAAATCTTATGTAATAACAAAATAGTATACAAAAGCTTTTATTATGAAACCTCTGTTTGTTAAAGAGGAAGAAAATAAAAAAATGATATTTTTAAAAAATAAATAAAAAATAGAATGAAAATAAAATTGATTACTTAACTATAAATAAAAAATATATATTTTATATACAATTATTTGAGTTATATATTTTTTGTATTATTTTTACGTTTATTTTATTTCTTTTTAAAAGATGGCATCTTAAAAAAATGTCCTATGATTGACTATAGAACCATCATAATTCATATTGATGTTGACTTGACATTATTATTTTTTTAATTAAAATATATTATAACACTCAACCAAATTAATTATATTTGAGAGTATAATTATTCGATTATTAAATTATTATTCTTTGCAAATCAAGCTTAGCAAACTCTTTCTCTTTTTTTTTTTATATTAAATTATGTTAAATGATTGTGATTAATATTTAAAACTAGGTCCAAAGTCTAATTTGAATGTTAGAAGATGTGGATTTAAAAAACATAAATGAACATATTATATGACACGTTGATCCAAATCAGACTTTGACACATATTATTATCTCACTCTTCCACGACAATCTAACATTATTTTTTGGAAGCCCTACATTGACCATAATGGAGAATCAACATATATAGACAATAGATGTATGCATAGTTATTATTATTATTATTATTAAAATAATTTTAATAACTTCTATTAATACATAATGGATTATGTAAGACAGTTCTTAAATTTTAATAACTTCTTCTAACACATAAAAATACATAAATAAAAAAATTATCTCACATAAATATTTTGTCTAAATATTTTTAATTATAAAAAATCATCGCTCAATTTTTATTTCGTTATATTTTTATGTTTGAAATTTTAAAAATAAAAAAATATGTGTTTAAATATTCATCATATCTAAAATTAAAAAAAATGAAACTTATTTTTTTATAAAATTTTCTATTATAAAATATTGAAAATTAGTATACATAAAAAATAGTATTTATTTATAGATGTTGAATTATTTATTTTTTATCCTTAAAATATTGAAAATAAAAACTTTTATTTTAATATTCATCATATTAAAAATTCTAAAAATTATTAAACTTATTTTTTATAAACATTTTTATTATAAAATATTGATATATATATATATATAATATTTATTTTAAAATGTGAATTTATTTATTTTTATTGTAATTGAAGTTTTGCATGAAATATATTTGACAATATTTTCGACGTAAAAATAATAAAACTCATATATTTATTATTCTTATAAATAATTTATGAATTTTTATTTCTAATTTTTGTTATTTTTATTAATTATTTTATTTTTAATATGTATCAAACTCAATATATGAATTTTTTAATTAATTATTTTAAAGTTTTTAAAGTTTGAAATATAAATAAAAATATGAGTACTCATAAAAATTATAATTAAATCAAAATTTGTAAAAATTTAGTATAAATTATCTTAAAATAACGTGATATAATAAGTTTCATTTAAAATAAAAATGTATTGTTTTGGAGAGAAGTGTTGAATATTAGAAAATTTTTAAGCAATTTATACTTATACTAAATTTTTACAGTTTTGTTTAAATAGGTTTTTTTAACAAGCACCAATATTTTTATAATTATTTATTTAGATTTGATAACTTAAAAATAATTTATTTATCGTAATTAGATATTAATATAATATTTTAATATAAAAAATAATTTAGATTTTTTTTCTTTTGCAACTTGTTACTTCTGAATCTATTATGTAAGAGTTATCGTAATTATTTTTATACGTATAAGTGTTAAATTTGGCATAAAAAAGGAAGTTTAGGCTCTGTTCTTCATTTGTTTTGCTTCGTTGAGTACCCAAAGTCTTAGATTTCATTATTCGATGCCTTTCCTACCCAAAAAAAAAAAAAAAAAAATTCTCTTCTTCCTTCATTCACTCCTTTTTATGCTTTCCCTTGGTTAGTCTCTTCCAGGTTCCTTCCTTGGTTTGTCACTGCATGCAATCATGGATAATTCAAACGTTAGTTCGTTTTTAATAATTTTAATTTTGTTCTGTTTAATGATATTGTTCCATGTTTTGTAACTATATATGAGAATTCAAAACACAAATTATTTTTAGGAATCTATATCCAACATAAAATTCATACATAGCATGACGGCGCAACTCATGCAACTCAACAAACATACACAAGTTAAAAGCTCAACTAAACCTCTTCCATTTTGTTTTCTTGGTTCTCTTTTGCAGCTCATCACAGAATAAACATCCTTTGGCGCTCTAGATTCTCTCCCTGCTTCTGCAATTAAAAGGCCACACCGGTTTGTGCTTCATTTAGGTAAGTCAATTATTGCTTAAACAAAGAATTTAAAAATAAAAGACTTGGAAAACCCACATTCTATTTTCTGTCTTTTTGCTGCACGTTGTTATGGAGGATGACCCTTTCTCATTGGTTTGGATTTCTCACCACAGTTTTGTTATCAGAAAATGTTTTTTTCTTCATTGTTAAATTGTCATGAAGGAGAAATAATATAACGAGGAATTGGGTGTGAGTGAAAGAGACACTTAGTCGCCACCATTAACACAACACAAGCTTCACTCACAGGTTTCCCGCGAAACAGAGATATATAGATAGATATATATAAAGAATAAATTGAGCTTGTGCTTGGCGTCTTGTTTTGTCTAGGAAAAGATAAAAGGCTTTGACATGGCACTGAGCTTTCTGGAAAAATCGCCAATTTGAATTGGTCATGCTGGGAAAAGGAAATGCTTGTCTCTTTCAGATTCCAACTGCGAGATCTAATAATTGAAGACTCTGTTCAAAGTTTCTTGTTCTTCTTCGGCAGATACCTTTTCAGAGAGCTCCAAATGTGCAGATTTTTTTACAATTCCTTTTTGTTGGCTCTTCTCCGTGCCTCCCCAATAATTTCTGATGTTTTAGGCTCACTGGGGTGTGGCCTCTTCTGTGTTTTCATTGTAGATTTCATATTGGTCATTCACCACACTGTACAGATTGCAGGCCCTGTTGTGGGCTGTCTATCGCTTGGTTTTGTCTCAACTTGTGTCACCATTTTCTTCATTGCTCCCCAAGTTAATCTAGCTGTCCTTTTTTCTTTATCCCCGTAATCTCTCTCTCTCTCTCTCTCTCTCTCTCTCTCTCAATTATTAGTTTTTTTATTATTATTTTACTCAGTTTATTTGTTGCTCATTGCTTATTAAATTACTGGGATTTTGAGCTTCTTCTGGTGGGAACCTTTCTGGGGTTTATATCCGTTTCTTGCTTTATTTGTTATTTAATTTTTACTAGGTACTTGTGCTAAAGAGTTACAGTACTACCAAGTTTTGGATTGCGAGGTATTTGTGCAGTTGTTAATGGTGATAGTTTTTGAAGATTCTGTGCGTTTGGGATTATTTTGCACTTAAACCTGAGCTCCTAGGCAAGTGTTCTTCTAGTGGGTTGAGCCTGATTTGATATTTGGGGTTGGGGCAAGTTGCCATTTTGACTCCTAGCTTTAGCAATGACACTGAAAGATTGTTCCTAGGATGAGCAACCGTTTCTTAACAGAGGGCCTTTCTGTCTCTTGATGATGTGTTGAATTTTGTTAATCAGTGGGATAAAGGATAAAGAATAAAGAATGAGTGGTGGCAGGAAGAGGAAGTTGCGTTTAAGCAAGATCTACTCATTCGCATGCTGCAAGGCATCTTTCAGGGGAGATGATTCACAGATTGGCGGAAAAGGTTATTCCAGGGTGGTGTTCTGCAATGAGCCAGATATCTTTGAGGATGGTGTTAAGAATTTTGCAGATAATTCTATCAGATCTACAAAATATACTCTTGCAACTTTCTTTCCCAAATCTTTGTTTGAACAGTTTAGGAGAGTGGCAAACTTCTATTTTTTGGTCACTGGCACCTTGGCCTTCACAAAACTGGCTCCATATACTGCTGTCAGTGCTATTCTTCCACTGATTATAGTTATTGGGGCAACTATGGTGAAAGAAGGCATCGAAGACTGGCGCAGGAAAAAACAGGTCTATATTCTTCTTACTTATTTGTCCTGTTGTGATGAGTTTCTTCTTTTTATGTCATTTTTCTTAACTCTTTGCCTTTTTGTTTAGTTCCTTGGTAATGTTTGGAAGGGATGAGAGGCAGTTACCATAGTTGTTTGTTCATACAATTCCAGCTTTTGCTAAAGGGTTTGATCCTCTAAATTTTTACATTAAACTGCAATTGTTATTTGAGAAGGTCAATTCAGAGAAACCCATATTATGTTTTCTTTGTATTATATCAAACTCTAAAGTGTTATTTTTTAGTCAATGATACCAACATTTAACTTTATCCTCAAATGTGTCTTGGGTTTGCATATGACAAAATAATATCACCCAGTACAGTTCGACATTGTTACCAGACTAAAAGTTTGTTAATTTGATATGGATGCCCATATGATTGAAAACCAAAAAGGAACTTATGTTTTTTTTTTTTTTTTGGGATGCTAAGTTTTGATAGTGCTAAAATGCTTTTCTCTCCGTCAATTTCCTTTCTATTTTCCCCTGAATGTGCCCCTTTCTACACTATTAAAATGGAATTAAAAAAATACATCAATGTAATAAAGCAACAAGATGATAACCAAAAGAGGAGGAAAGGGAAGATAAATGTTTTTGTTGCAGGCTATGACGTAAGTGTAATTTTTGTAGTTGAATACTTCTGCAGGATATAGAGGTGAACAATAGAAGAGTTAAAGTCCATAAAGTTGATGGTACTTTTGAATATACTGCATGGAAGAATCTGAGGGTGGGGAATATAGTGAAGGTAGAGAAAGACGAGTTCTTCCCAGCTGACCTGCTGTTGCTTTCATCCAGTTATGAGGATGCAGTTTGCTATGTTGAGACCATGAACTTGGATGGGGAGACAAATTTAAAGTTGAAGCAAGGGTTAGAGGTAACATCTTCCTTACAGGAGGATCTCCACTTCCAAAAATTTAAAGCTACAGTCAAATGTGAAGACCCCAATGCAAATTTGTATTCATTTGTCGGGAGCATGGAGTTCGAAGAGAAAAATTATGCCCTTTCTCCTCAACAAATTCTTCTCCGTGACTCTAAACTTCGAAATACAGACTATATTTTTGGAGCTGTCATTTTCACTGGTCATGACACTAAGGTTATTCAAAATTCTACTGACCCACCTTCCAAAAGAAGCAGAATCGAGAAGAAGATGGACAGGGTCATCTATTTCTTGTTTTGTATTTTGTTTCTAATGGCATTTGTTGGATCTATTTTCTTTGGCATTGCAACTAAAGATGACTTCCAAAATGGGTCGATGAAAAGATGGTATTTAAGACCAGATGATTCTACTATTTTCTTTGACCCAAAAAGACCAGTTGCTGCTGCTTTATTTCATTGTTTGACAGCCTTAATGTTATATGGATTCTTTATTCCCATCTCTTTGTATGTGTCAATAGAAATGGTCAAAGTCCTTCAGAGTATTTTCATCAATCAAGATATCCAGATGTACTACAAGGAAGCAGACAAACCAGCACGAGCTCGTACTTCAAATTTGAATGAGGAGCTTGGCCAAGTTGATACAATACTTTCTGACAAGACTGGAACTCTGACCTGCAACTCAATGGAGTTCATCAAATGTTCTATTGCTGGGGTAGGATATGGCCGTGGTGCCACAGAGGTTGAGAAGGCCATGGGTAGAAGAAAAGGTTCACCACCAATTCATGAGCATGATATTGAATCAGAAGCAGGCAAGATTAGGGGTTCTCTAGATAAAAAAACACTTATTAAAGGTTTTAACTTTGATGATGAAAGAATAAGAAATGGACAATGGGTTAATCAGCCTCATGCAGATGTTATCCAGAAGTTTTTTCGCCTATTGGCAATCTGTCATACAGCCATTCCAGAAATGAATGAAGAAACAGGAAATGTTTCATATGAGGCTGAATCCCCAGATGAAGCAGCATTTCTGATTGCAGCAAGAGAACTTGGTTTTGAATTCTACAAAAGGGGTCAGACTAGTTTATCTACATTTGAGTTGGATCCAGTTTCTAGCAATAAAGTTGAGAGGTCGGTGGTTTCAAGCTGTCAATTATTTTGTCTATTTAGTAACTCTTGAATTTGACTGCACAGCACCATTTTTTCTTTGCATATCGATATGAAAAGCTTTATTATGGTACTCTTACTCTTTAAGAAGGCAACATGAGATTTGAGAGTAACTTTTCATCTGATGACAGTAAGTACTTTTCAATAAAAAGAGCTTTAAATAGCACCTTTAACTACATGATGCTGGTCTAGTTATCTTCACATGGCCAGTTTACTGTAGTTGTTCATAGAATAGGTGACTTTGTACTTAACTCTTTCACCTGTTTTTTCTGAAGTCTTTGTATTGTTTGCAAATATCTTAAAATAGAAAAGAACATTTAATTTGTGTCCACATCATAGTTTTCTGCATAATCTTTGTTACTATATAATGTTGTTTTCACCTTATTCATGCTACCTAATGTTAATATTCCTAAATTGCTCTGTACCCAACTTAGTTATTGTTTATTAGCTGCTATGTTTCAGGATATCTTCTGTTCATGTTTATCATACAGATTTCCATTAACTAGTTCCTTTTTGCAGGAAATACAAGCTTCTCAATGTTTTAGAATTCAATAGCTCAAGGAAGCGAATGTCAGTGATAGTGGAAAATGAAGAAGGGAAAATTTTGCTTCTCTGCAAAGGTGCCGACAGGTTTGTGATAAACTTGTCTGTAACCTTAAATGGTTTTGAATTCCAAAATTTATCCTGTGAGTCACCTTATTGACCCACCTTGAGTAATGTTTTCCTGCAGCATCATGTTTGAAAGGCTTGCCAAGAATGGGAGGGAGTTTGAAGAGAAAACCAAGGAGCATGTGCACGAGTATGCTGATGCGGGTCTGAGAACCCTTATACTAGCCTATCGTGAACTTGATGCAGAAGAATACAAGGAGTTTGATAATAAATTCTCTAAGGCCAGGAATTTAGTCAGTGCTGATCAGGAGAGACTGATGGAGGAGTTATCAGATAAGATTGAGAAGAACTTAATCCTTCTTGGTGCCACTGCTGTAGAGGACAAGCTCCAAGATGGGGTGAGTTAGAAAAAAAACACATATTTTACTCATGAATATTTGTTCATTGGAGCAGCACTGGAAGTGATGCCTCTCGTACTGTTGCTAGGTTCCTGATTGCATTGACAAGCTTGCCCAAGCTGGAATTAAAATTTGGGTTTTGACTGGGGATAAAATGGAGACTGCAATCAATATTGGGTATTATATTCTGATTATGCCCTTTTAACTATGGTATTTGTTCAAAGAGAGAAAAATAGATGGAAGAGATCCTGAAAACTGTGTGTATGGATTGTAGAATAAGCTGATGACAGTAAATACATGATATGATATGCCTATAAATCACAAGGAAACAAATCAAAATATATATAGAAAAAAAAAAGAATAAATCCCAAGAGACCATATTAGATATTCCAAAATATTCTGAGATAATATTTTTAAATTTTTCTTATATTCATCTGACATAAATCTTCCATTGCAGTTTTGCGTGCAGTTTGCTTAGACAAGGAATGAAGCAGATTATAATTCATTTGGATAGTCCAGAAATTCAAGCACTAGAGAAGGATGGGGACAAGATGGCCATTGCCAAAGTAAAATAAACTTCATACCTTAGTGTTGATTTTATCTATCATGATGTAGCTTGCATTTCTAGTAAAATATTTTAGCGACATGCTACCAAGTTGGATTTCTTCATCATTGCAATACGTTTAATTTTTTAACAGAGCTGATTGAAAATATGATATTAAAAGTTTCAGTAACTGCATTAGCATAACATTTCTCTCTTCTATTTCGGAAGATATAAGAAATTCAATGCATGCCTGTGTACTTTGAGTTGTTATAAATTTTCCATCATTCTTTTCTATTTCCATGTATTTGATTCACCTTAAAACTTGTCGTACTGATGCCGTAGATTTTAAAACTTGTTTGCTGATATTCTTTATGTGATTCATCTTTTAGGCATCAAGGCAAAGTGTCCTCCTTCAGATATCCGAAGGTGTTGCACAACTCGCTTCCTACAGAGGGAGCTCTCAGAAGGCATTTGCACTGATTATTGATGGAAAATCACTTGTTTATGCATTAGAAGACAATATGAAGAACATGTTTCTGGAGCTAGGGATTCGTTGTGCATCTGTTATTTGTTGTCGCTCATCCCCAAAGCAGAAAGCACTGGTATTTTTTCAATGTGTTCTTTGTTTATAATATGCTAATCGTGATTGTGATTTTGGTTAGCTAAGCTAAGCTTTGGGAAATGATAAATCATGTTACTCTCTTAAAGGTCACCAGATTGGTCAAATCTGGAACTGGGAAAACAACATTAGCCATTGGTGATGGAGCTAACGATGTGGGAATGCTTCAAGAAGCAGATATAGGGGTTGGTATAAGTGGTGTTGAAGGAATGCAGGTAACGGAAGCTTCACAAAATATTCTTTCGTTTCTTTTATAGATTTTCTGCATGTGATTTGCTAAACAATATTTTATGTCTTATTCTTCCAATTCCCCAGGCAGTTATGTCTAGCGATATTGCAATTGCACAATTTCGGTATTTGGAACGATTACTTCTGGTGCACGGACATTGGTGTTACCGGAGGATCTCATCTATGGTATGTAGCATGCTTGTATTTAGGTTTAAATTCTTAACATTGTAGGTAGTAGTTCTAGATTATATTCGAAGGCTCTGACATTCTGTCAACTTTTTCATTGGCAGATATGCTACTTTTTCTACAAGAATATCACATTTGGTTTTACTCTATTCTTATATGAGGTTTATGCATCATTCTCTGGACAACCCGCATACAATGACTGGTTTTTGTCTCTCTATAATGTCTTCTTTTCATCACTTCCTGTGGTTGCACTTGGGGTGTTTGACCAGGATGTATCCGCTCGGTACTGTCTCAAGGTCAGTTTCTTCTAGCCTATCATACAAGTCATCTTTGCTAATGAGTGTGAAATTAAAGTTCTCTAGTTCTCTGTCATTAAATAGATTGCATATAGAAGAGCAAAATAAAATACGTAAATCAAAAATCTGCATAGCTCTCGTGATTGCATAATACCTACCTCTTCAGACCTTATTTATTTTGGCTGTTTGGTTTGGTCGTTTTAGTACTATCATATTTACATCACTAAAGAAGCTCATCTCAGCACTGTTGGTTATATATTTGAGCCTTGTCTAGTTTATGAACTTCCGGTATAGGTTCATATTGAACTACGAGAATGTTTGCTGGGACCAAATATCATATACATGAAAATCAACGCAGAAAGTCACATATTAAAGCTTTATCTGCTAGACTTCATCATAAAGCCAGTTTGACTTTCCACTGAATTAGCGAGTCCAATTTATATTTACTCTATTTAATTGATTTAATTTGGATAACAATCAAATTCAGTCCTTAAGGCTGGCCATAGTTTATTAAACCCATCTGTCATATATTAAAGCCTAGGTAAATCCCCCTGGGTAGCATCTGAAAAAAAATACGGTGAGCATTGATTTGATTGACCTGGGATTCCTTTGCTTGTTTCTCTGATGATCATTTGTTGTTAATATGGCAGTTTCCTTTGTTATATCAAGAAGGAGTACAGAATGTTCTGTTCAGCTGGCGTCGAATACTCAGCTGGATGCTTAATGGATTTATCAGTGCCTTAATAATTTTCTTCTTTTGCACTAAAGCGATGGAACTCCAGGCCTTCGATGCAGAAGGGAGAACTGCTGGAAAGGATATACTGGGAGCAACAATGTATACTTGTGTAGTTTGGGTTGTAAACTTGCAAATGGCACTGGCTATAAGTTACTTCACCTTGATCCAACATTTTTTCATCTGGGGTTCCATTTTTTTCTGGTATCTTTTTCTCCTGGTATATGGAGCAATGCCTCCACACTTTTCAACAAATGCGTACAAAGTCTTCATTGAAGCTCTTGCTCCTTCCCCTTCCTATTGGCTTGTGACATTCTTTGTGGTGATCTCAACCCTTATACCATACTTCTCGTATGCAGCAATTCAGATGCGGTTCTTTCCCATGTATCATGAAATAGTACAATGGATAAGGTATGAAGGGAAGATTAAGGACCCTGAGTTTTGTGATATGGTGCGGCAGAGATCATTGCGGCCAACAACCGTGGGTTCAACAGCACGCTTAGCTGCTAAGGCTCACCATTGAAGAGACAGAAATGTTAACGGTAGATAAGATATTTTGACAAATTAACCATCAAAGTATTTAGTTTGTGTATAGCTTCCTGCAAATATGTTTTTTTTGGTCTTTGCCTATGGTCATGGAATTGCTTGCTGGCTCCTCTAAACCATAAGAATGTTGCTTAGATCCACTTCCATGGAGATTGCATGGTGCAAGCACCAATATTTGGCACTGATGCTGGAAAGAAAAATAAAATTGTATATTTGTTTCGGCCATTTGCTGCTACAAAGAATTCATTAATCCACTTGTATCATAGTCTTTACTGTATAGAGACAAACCAATTCTTTGTAGGATTGGATAGAGCTACTTTCTGTTGTAGAAAAACAGAGTTATCCTATAATTGAGAAGTTTAATTTTGTGTAGTAATCTTATAAATCTTCGTCTTATTTCTTTGTATATTTACTAATCTTGGTTCCAATTAAGAATCTATAAATCAGCTCCTTGATGTCAACTCTCACTTGTACCTATAGATATAGGGAATCTTCAAATTAGGATATCTGCCACAGGGTATATAACATAAGAAACTTGGGGTTTTTTTTTTTTTTTTCTGAAGCATGATAACAGTTTTTGACCACTCAACTGTAGTTTTTCTTTGCAGTTTTTTATGAACGTGGGTTTTGAAACCATTTGAAAATTTAATATACATATACCAATATGTATTTCTTATAATCGTTGAAGTGGACAGTTATATTCTCCACCAAGTATAATCCTTTTAAAATAACTCGTCAAATATTTGAAGTAATGAAAGATCTACACAATTCTAATTAACCCATGATAATTAAACACGTGAACAGTAGTGGCGCTTGAGTAAAGGTTGTTGTTCTGGTGTCTCTTAGCTTCGGAGGATTTTGGTGTTCCTTTTAATTGTTAATAAAATTATAACCATTATAGTGACATGATATTCTTAAAAATATCAACCAGCCACAGTTTAAAGCTTACACGCAAGACCTTATAAAAGAATGTGATTGGGACAGTTAGCCAAGGCACATTCTCTTGAGGACCATCATATGCATGTGAACGCGGTCCAAGAAGTTACATACACGTTGAAACTTCAAACACTTTAAACTCCATCCATAGCTTCAAACATAACTTGTGAAACAATTAACAGCTTAAAGGTCTAGTTTGTATCATATGAATCCACAATACCTTTTGCAAGTTTATGAAAACTTCACCATCAATTCAGTTCTCATAAGTATTTGCAAAATTACTAGTTGATTTATGAATGAATGAACGTTTACTGTGTTCGGATTGCTGCTATTTTGGAGGCACTACTAGATGTTCTTTCACACTTTTTCAAGAACAAAACAAAGAAGTAACAACATCAGCATTTGGAGATGAAGGTGAATTGCTTTCAATTGAATGTTTTTCCAAACACACCATTAGAAGTTACCAATTGCTCTCATCCTGGAAAATAAATCAAAGAAAAGAAAAATGAGCTTGAAAAACGGGGACAAAAACCAGCAATTTCTATTCCTTTCCCAAATTTTCATTTTCCCATTGAAATAACAAAATACGGGGCACTAATTCATTGACCTAATCTCATCTTCTACATTTTCTTACTCCTCTATCACCAGTTTCCACGATGTACCATTTAGAACGTGTGTGAAGAATCAAAAACAAAAAAAATGCAGATTAATTTCGATTTTTTTTCTTATTAAAAAAAAACAGCAACAACAAGTATCTGCATTAATTCACGTCTGAAAAAGTGATTATATATATACAGAAGTTAACAGTTAGCAAGGAGAGAAAAGGAAAAGGAAGAAAAAACTGCGTATGAATTATCCTTAATTATGTTTTCCGGGCGGAATCTCCTTCTCAACACCAACAACGAACGTAGCCTAAAAAAGGTCACAGAAAAGAAAAGAAGCAGAAGAGGAAGGTCCTAGGCGACCTTGAGGCCGAGAAACTCGGCCGCGGATTTGGCCATGAGGGCGGCGAACTCGTTGAAGCTGATGACGCCGTCGCCGTTGCTGTCGGCCTCGGCCATCATGGAGGCGAGCTCATGGTAGGAGAGGGGGTGGCCCATCTTGGACATGGAGCCTGCGAGCTCCGCCGCCGTGATGTAGCCGTTGCCGTCGCGGTCGAAGGAGCGGAAAACCTCGAGCAGCTGCTCCTGGTTGATGAGGACTGTCTCATTGATGTCGGGCATGATCGCGTGCACGAGCTCGTCGAACTCGACGTACCCGTTGCCGTTTTCGTCCATGTTGGAGAGCAGCGCGTAGATCTCGTCGCCGGAGGGTTTGATGCCGAGGGAGCGGAGGAGCGCCGCCAGCTCGAGGTGCGTGAGGCTTCCGTCGGAGTCCATGTCGAAGCGGTTGAATATTGCGTTTAGTTGCTTGATTTGGTCGTTTTCCAGCACTGACATGGTCTCTGATGTTTTGTTTTGTTGGTGAAAGAAAAGGAGATAAATTAGGGTTCACCTAAGTAAGGATTTTTCGCCTTTGTCTCTTCAATTTCTTGGATTAAGAGAAGAATGGTAGCTTCCGTGTATGAGAATGATGGCATTCGGAATGGTCCAAAGCTAGATGGAAAGCGCGTGCGAAACGGTTACCAACTAATAACGGTGTGACAATGTTGACGACCACCATGCATGGTTTTTTTTCTTTTTCTACCATCTTTGTGCAAATCCAAATAACTAGCTCCTATATTTAATGCATGTCTGGTTGGAATTGTTATCGACAAAGTTACTATATTGCTAAATTATATTTAGGAAAACATTAATCTAACTAATCTTTTAATAATCAAATCTTTCTTACTTTTACCTCATTAAAATTATTTCAAAATTATATATTTAAATTTAGTTTACAACATTTAATCCTTACAAAGGTATCAGACTATTACTTGATGCCTGTTTCATTATACATGTATTTTATTATTTATATGATTATATACATATTTTTTTTAATTAATTTTATTACTACTATTTTAAATTTTTCTTCTCTTCTCTATCATTTTGATTAAAGATTTTATTTGATTTAATTTAATATTTTGATTTTTAAAATTAGTTTAAACAAAAATTCTTTACTAGAATAATAAGTTTAAAATAATGATATATAATTATAATTTGAAAACTAAACAAAAGAAAGAAAGATAACGCCACATTAAAAAACTGCAACAAAAGTTAAAGGATTAAGATACTCATTATTGAAAATAAAAAATTAAAACCAAAACATACATTTTATCTTTTTAAGTTTTTAAAAACTAAAAATAATAACAATTTTTATTAAATAAATTTTAAATTAATAAATTAAAAACTATTTTTAAAAAGCAATAAATAAACCCAATGTAAAAACTAATTTTTTTACTTAAAATAAAAAACAATTTTCAGCTTTTTCATTTTCAAATTAATAAATTTATTTTTTATTTTAATTTTTTAATTTCATTAATGAGTATCAACATTTTTATTAATAATTATATTAAATCATTCATTTTTATCACATAAATTCATTAAAATCATTTCTCAAATCACTACAAGAAAAAACACATTTAGCCACCGAAATTAGCGACCGAATTTTTTCAATTGCAATTAGCGACCGTTTTAGCGACCGATTTAATTTTGGTCGCAATTAGCGACCGATTTAGCGACCACTTTAATTCGGTCGCAATTAGCGACCGATTCAGTGACCACTTTAATTCGATCGCAATTAGCTGATCGATTTAGCGACCAAAATATGATTTATTTTGCACTTTTTTATATAGCGACCGAAATAGCGACCAATATTTTGCGTCGCAAAATTTCGATCGCTAAATCGATGGTTATTTCATACTAAAATAAAAAAATCATTTAGCGATCGATTTAGCGACCGAATTACAAATTGAAATAGTGACCAGAATTAAAATCGGTCAGCTAATGAGAAAATAGCGACCGAATTGAAATTGATCGCTAATGAATATTATTTTTTTATTATATTTAAATTTATTTTTTTATAAATATACTTTAATTGTTTTAGTATATTTTTTACAATTTATTTTTTAAAAGTAATTTATTTTTTAAAAGTAATTTATTTTTTAAAAATAATTTAATTTTTAAAATATACTTTAAAAATAAACTTTGGTCTCAATATTAACAAAATGAATTGTAATAAATCAAATTTATTAAAAATTTAAATTGTAATAAATTAAGACTAGAGTGATGTTAACTATTCAATACATTGTTTAAGAAAAAGTTTAATAACAAATATTCTTGAATTTATTTTTCAATTGAAAATTTCAATTGAAATTAAATTATATTTTAAAAATTTATATTAAAAAAATTGAAGAAAATAGAGATTTAATTATACTTTTAATAAATTTAACATAATAATAGTTTTGATTTGTATTTTTAAATATTTATTTTAATTTTTTAAAACAGAGAAACTATAATTTTAGTTTCTAAATACTAAATTTAAAGAATTAAATTTATTATTATTTAATCTTTTAATTTTAGTATTAAAAATTTAAATTATATTTTATTAAATTAAAATAATTACAATATATTTTTCTACTTTGAGAATGAAAAATATAATTAAACTAAAACTGAAAATATTATAATACATTTTTGAACTCTTTTTGATTAATTTTTTTTCCTAATTTTTTATAAAGTCAATTTTAATATTTAAAAGTATTTAACATTTTGCTTTCTGAAATGTTTTCAGTATTACCAAATTCCAGCTCTTAATAACCTCTACAACCAAATTCCAGTTATAGAGAAACCGAGTGCCCAAATTCGAGGCACCAAACAATACAAAAAGAATGTAAAGAAATGAAAAAGAAGAAACTATAATGCTCAAACCAGTTTATGCAATTCTACTGTAAGTGTTTCTTCTTCAAAAGAAATCAAGTTGCCTCAAGAAAGATTTTCAAAGAACTTCTCAAAATCGATGCAAATCTTTCTTGAAAAGAGTACTTGAAGTTTGCTTGATTGATTGCTTAAGGATGTGTAAAAGATGATATTCAATGTATGTTAAAAAAGTTCAAGCCAAACTGTTTTTATAGAAGATTTTCAAAATTGTTGGTTTAATTAATCTGTTAAAAGATTCTTTTAATCTGTTAAAAGTGTAGTTTTAATCTGTAAAACTTCTTTTAATCCATTAATACGTTCTTGATTCTTTAACAGATTTGTTTTAAGCTGATACGACAATGTTTATATCAATTAAAACACTTTACAAAAATCTTCTAAGTTGATTTAATCGATTGTTTCAGCGATTCAATCGATTGAAATACTTGCAAAACTTTCTTGTAAAACTTTTCAAGTTATTTTAAGCTGATAAAAATAAGTTTTAATCGATTAAAACGCTGTGTAGAAATTTTTAAGTTGTTTTAATCGATTGAAACGAGATTTAATCGATTAAAAGAGTTTTGATCGGTCATAATTAAATTTTGATCAATCATAATCGATTCTGATCGGTCATAATTACATTCTGATCGATCATCCTGAACCCTTAAGTGGTTTTAATCTATTAAAATCAAGTTGTATCGATTAAAATATTGTAAAAACATTTCACTTGACATTTTAAGTAATTTTAATCGGTTCTATCAAAGTTGTATCGATTAAAAACTTGTTTGAGAAAGCTTTTGTCAAAATACTTTGTTTTTAATTATTAAAAACATTTTTAGAGGCATTTTGCAAAATCTTTTAAGTGAAGAAACCTCATGCAACGAAATCTTTTAATTTTAGTATTAAAAATTTAAATTATATTTTATTAAATTAAAATAATTACAATAAATTTTTCTACTTTGAGAATGAACAATATAATTAAACTCAAAATTGAGAACATTATAATACATTTTTGAACTCTTTTGGATTAATTTTTTTTCCTAATTTTTGATAAAGTTAATTTTAATATGTAAAAGTATTTAACATTTTGAATTCTGAAAGGTTTTCTCTAATAGCAAATTTAAAAACATAATATTCAAAAAAATAGTTAATATAAGTTGTCATTATGATCGATCATAATTTGAAATGATCGATCATAATTGAGAGGATATAATAAGCGGTTCCACTTTAACCAGCTATCTAAAGTGTATGTTAGATAGCGGTTAAGGTTTAACCGCTATTAGAAGTGGTTTTTAATAAGCGGTTCCGAGTGGAACGCGTTATCATATACAACCATATTTTAAGGTTCGATCGATCAGATTTTCAAAATGATCGATCATATTTGCTAATTTTTTTAAATAAGTAATTATAATCGATTAGTTTTCTAAATTATTGATTAGAATTGATTAGTTTTTCAAATAATAGATTAGAATTGATTAATTTCTGAAATATATATTAAAAAATTATAATTAAAAATATAGATTATTTAAGAATATTAACTATTGTAAAGATAAAGTTGAACATGGGAAGAGATGAGGATGATAATATAATGATAGAAGTTCAAAAAATGTAGAATTGAGAAGTTTGAAACAAAAAAAATTAAGAAAATAGAGATTTAATTACACTTTTAATAAATTGAAGATAATACTAGTTTTGATTTTTATTTTTAACTATTTATTTTAATTATTTAAAACAGAGAAACTATAATTTTAGTTTCTAAATACTCAATTTAAAGAATTAAATTCATTATTATTTAATCTTTTAATTTTAGTATTAAAAATTGAAATTATATTTTATTAAATTAAAATAATTACAATAAATTTTTCTACTTTGAGAATGAACAATATAATAAAACTCAAAATTGAGAATATTATAATACATTTTTGAACTCTTTTGGATTAATTTTTTTTCCTAATTTTTGATAAAGTTAATTTTAATATGTAAAAGTATTTAACATTTTGAATTACGAAAGGTTTTCTCTAATAGCAAATTTAAAAACATAATATTCAAAAAAATAGTTAATGTAATTGTCATTATGATCGATCATAATTTGAAATGATCGATCATAATTGAACTATAATAGGTCCACTTTAGCTATCTAAAGTGTATGTTAGATAGCGGTTAAGGTTTAACCGCTATCATATACAACCATATTTTAAGATTGTGAAGTCTCGGGTTGTATTTCGCTTGAGCGACACTATACTCGCTCGAGCGACATCCGATTCAAACATGTGAGGTCTCCCATGTTACATTATCCGGCTAACTTTGATCGACATTTACGCATGTCAACATTCGCTCAAGCGAAAATAACATCGCTCGAGCGACGCGACCTGCACAATATTGACATTCTCGGGTTGTATTTCGCTTGAGCGACACTAGTATCGCTCGAGCGACGCCACCTGCACAAAATTGGCATTCTCGGGTTGTTTTTCGCTTGAGCGACACGATCTCGCTCGAGCGACATCCACATTTTTTGGTTATGATCGATTACATTTTCAAATGATCGATCATATTTGAAAATATATAATAGTGGTTAAGATTTAACCGCTATTAGACGTGCTATATAATAGCGGTTAAGATTTAACCGCTATGAGAAGTGCTATTATAATAGCGGTTAAGATTTAACCGCTATTATATACAACCATATTTTTTACTTTCCTATCTCGCGCCACTTATCCCCAAATAACCCTAACTCTCGCGCCTCACTCACCCATTCCTCTTAACCTTGGCCAGTATCTCCTCCTCACTCCCGGCGAGCCCTAGCCCCCTCACTGCTCCCCCCAAGTCAGCCCTCACCCTAATCGAACCTCCACCAAAGCTCCTCGTCAACCGCACGCCACCACGTGAGCCACCGCTCCATCGCGAATCCCGCGCTTCTCGTGAGCACTGCACCCCAACACTCGTTGTTTGGACCCCCAAACCCCGGTCATCACCACCGCCTCCCTGGCCACCATCGTGGCCATCCCTAAATCTCAACCTAACCTCCACCATCGAGGTCTTTCCACGCCTCGGTTGCCCCAATCGTGCCATTGAGTTCCCGCGAACTAGAGGTGAGTCGGAGGGTCGCGGGTCAAGGGCTTCGGTTCACATTTTGCTGCTATGTTCTATTTCTTTTATGCCTTTTTACTGTGGATTGTTCTCCTTGGTTAAGGATGAATTGTGTGTGGGTCTCGGTTTATTTTCGTATGAATTGTCAAACTGACTACCTCTATTGGTTGAATGGGGTTCCTGTTTGATTCTGGGTCTTATACTTGTTATTTCAGTTTAGTTTTTTTCCTGAATATGTAGTTTTCATGTTGGTTGCGTAATTTACTAGACCTTACCATCCACAAAATGTTTGCCACTCGTTCTTATCTGTATAGAACAGTTTATACACATCCAAAAGTGAAGGTATGAAGTATGTTCATTTTGTTAAGAAGATTATTGAATTTTAGGTAGATGTAGATACCGCCTTTTTTCCTTACCTGTCTACTTAATACCCATGAACTTACCATTCTTGGTTTTTACAGTTTCTAATTCCATTTTGTTTTATATATGTATCTGCGAGAAGAGTGGTGGAGTTACTCCGAAAGAGGAGGATGTAGTTGTTTGTAACGTCAAAATTGATTTGACTAGTGGAAATCATAATCCTCTTGAAAGGTATTCAATGAAGAATAATCATGCTTGCTGAACATAGACATTTAGTTTGTTTTAACTTACTATAATGTTATCCTCATGCATTATTTTTCTCTCTTATGGTGCATGTTTTTGTGGCAGCATCCACTTTTTCAAGGTACATCGCCAAACCTACCTAACTATCTTTCATCAAGATATTTCTTTAATCTTCTTATATATTAATTGGTTTTGCCTGTGTCTATATTGTATTAGTGGATTATATCTTTTTTTTGCACTATTAAACATCTTACCTTATGCAGTTTGACAGTTTCCTTGCTAATAAGTTTTAGTTTAAACTGTTTTATATTACTTCTGTTGGGATATTGGGCTGCAATTGTTCAAAATTATTGAAATATTTAAAGTGGTTTAGTTTGGCCCATTATTGGTGCTTAGTTTGGAATTAAATTATGCTAGCTGTATTGAGTTACCTAGTTTCAATAATGCATTCAGGATTATGAAAGCAATGAGAAATTTACAATACCCGATGACTGTGTAAGCCACTTGCTACATATATCTTACCAAGATATGATAATTAAGGTGTACTCCAAAAAGGCTGAACTGGTTAGTTATCCTGTGCATGTTTAAACTTCTTTCCTTTACCCATTCAGGTTGGATTCACTAATATATTGCTTTGTGCAATCCTATAGGTGCAGACAATTTCAGAGGCTTTTGAAAATTTTCAATTGAAGACATATGGGATCAAAGCACGGACACATTCAACACCACACAAAAGAAGCGACGTAACAAATCGGCTTTATGAAGGGAAATGTATCACTACTATGATACTATTTTTTTTTTGTTCACCTTTATTGTGTCTCACCCTTTCTTGGTATATATGCATTTTCTACAATTGAAATATAGTCTTAAGTCCACAGAAAACAATATTGACACCCTCTTAAGGTTGTGCTAGAGTTACCATATAAAAAAAGACAATTATGTGTATAGCAGTTGTTTAAGTGTAACAGCTTTCATTTAGTAGTACTTGGCAATGAGAAATCTTTTCTCATCATCGTTAGTTGGCAGTTTCAATTTGCAAATGTTTCTCAAATCTTAAGTTTATGACAAATTGGTCCACATTTCATGGATGAGAATGCATCTTAACTACTAACTACTAAGCATTCATTATGTAACACAATTGTGTCCAATTGGAGAAAAAAAGTTGTCTAATGAACTTGATATAATTAAAAATATAAATAAATAAAAATAATTAACTTTGTTATTAATTTAGCGACCAAATTTTTGGTCGCTACAAATTTATTATAATATACAATTCAAATTTAGCGACCGATTTAGTGATCGATTTAAATTATTATTTAAATAATTCAATTAATATATTAGCGATCGATTATATCCGATCGCTATTATTTTTAACTTTGTCTCTCATTTAGCGATCGATTTAGCGACCGATTTTAATTATTATTTAAATAATTATATTAATATATTAGCGACCGAATATATCGATCGCTATTTTTTAAAATATTACCACTGGATTTAGCGACCGATTTATTATATTAATTTCAGTCGCTATTTTGGTCTTCGAACCAAATTATTTAGCGACCACTTTAGCGACCACCTTATCGGTCGCTATTTAGCAACCGAAATGTAAATCGATCGCTAACACATTAGCGACTTGCCCTTTTGCGACCAACCATTTCTGATCGCTAATTTCGGTCGCTAACAGATTAGCTGACCGATTTTTTCGGTCGCTAATACCGCTTTTTCTTGTAGTGAATTTTGTTATTTTTGTATCGTTTATATACTTTTTTTTATATTTGAATAACTTTAGTAAATAAAATTATTAAACAAAATTCTTTTTCAGCTTATTTTTTAAAAATATTTCTTTAAAACTATCTATAAAACTGTTTTTAAAATTAACAAAATTAAATTAAATTAAACCAGGTATTGTGTTTGGGATTTATTATATAGATAGTAATATATTTTTTAAAGCAAATAATTTGGTAAGATTATAAAGTTTTGAATTGTATTATTTATATAGCTAGGTTTTATAACTTTTTTTTCAATTTATCTTCCTCCAGTACTTAATCTTTCTCTCATCATTTAAAAAAAAACTATAAAAAATTACACAAACATTATTTTTCAATTTTTTTAACCAATTGCATTTATACCAAGTAATTGAAACACATGTGCTTTGATGTCTATCCATTTTTATTGTTTTATAAACAATTATTTTACATTTTTTTTCTCTGTTCTTAAATATATATCACCTTGTTTCTCTTTTTATTCATGACATTTCTTTCTCTTTCTAATAAAAAATGATTTTTTTTTATTCTTTTAAATTTTATATATCCATGTCTTATGCATAAAACCTACATACGTACTCCCATTTAGATTTCTTTTTACTAACATTTCTTTAATCTATATAATCACATACATCCAATCTTTATTATATATAAACTATTAGAGAACTTCAGAAAATATCAAAAAATAGTTTTAACAAAAGGTGATTTATTAGTATTATGTAAATTAACCTAATCTATGATGTGGTCATTAATTTGGTGAAAGTCATGATATTCTTCTGAACGAATCTTTAAGAGCAGCATCAGAACCATTTATGTTGCAAGTTTCTGCATAGTTTAAGGAACCAACCAGATCAAGAATTTGATATCTCACAAAATTAGCATCAATGTGATGTTCATTGATTATTGTAGGAGGAACCCCACATCCACATGCTCCTTCCCTCCCCCAGAAGTTCCCAAATCCAAACTCTCCCTTCTCATAAAACTCCTCCATCACCTTCTCAACTTCATCCATGCAACCACTAAAACTGAGTCCTTCACCATCTCTCAGTGCCATCTCTCCTTGAACTCTGAAAGACTGCTCGTGAATTCGGACCAGAACATCTTCATAAGAACCCAGTTCTATCTTCTTCTTCTTCTTCTTCTTCCCTCTATCATCATTTCCCTTCCTTTGACGAAGCTTTTTCTTTGCATATTCCCTTGTTTTCCTGATCACCTTCCAGGGAAGCTTCAGCAACACAAGGACAAGAATTTGAAGCAGCAAGCACTGGCAGCATCATGATATGACCACACAGTCAGAGACAAGCATGTTCCAATCTTCCATGGGTGTGAGAAGGAGGAGATGGGGTGGTGTAGAAGATGACTAAAACAAGGCATGCCTGTTTAAAGAATAGGTTCCTTCTCCCCTGTTCAGGCCTTGGTGAGGATGAAGCAAGCAAGAACACAAATTGATGAGGAAAAGCTAAGATTGTTTGGTTGAAGCCTAAACGCAAACTATAGCTTCTGGATAAAGATTATACAATGTTTTGTGTCTGATATATAATATAAAAAAGATTGTAATTTACATTCACATCAAGCTATGACGTGCCAAGCAATGATGGAGTGCATACATGATATTCGACATTTTCAAAATTTATTGGCAAGGTATTGATTGACCTGGGTTTCACTTTCCATCGAAGTTGTTGCATTTAGCTGATTTTTTTTTAATCTTTTAAAGAAAGTAATTCAAAATTTAATATATTTTTATTTGTTTGAAACTCTAAGTAGGTGGAAGTTAATCAATTACTATAACTATTTTTATTTAACAATAAGAAAGAAATTTTAAACATATATGAATACTATATTTGTTAAATTTAATGAATATTACATTTAAAAATATAAATTATTATATTTTCCATTCATGTATAGAGATGACCTGATCCAAACTCTTTAAACTTCGGAATGTTTGGATCCTATTGACATATATTTTTTAACATATCTAATTGAAAATTTCAATTTGACTTGTAATAGAAACCATACATATGCTTGCTGATTTATTTATAATTTAAATTATTTTTTGGTTTTATGAAAATTTTCTTAATATTTTTATTAGATCAAATATAGATTTTTTTTAAAGCATTTTAATATCAGATAATTATCTAGTATTAGAAAACGTGTCTAACATATGAAATTACAAATATTATTGCATTTTTATAAGTAAAAAAAAGTTATCCATAAATATGTAATATTGAAGTTTTAAAATTTGAAGAAACCTAATTTGAAACATTTATTTATTTATCTGTAGAAAATTATTTTAATTTTTTATTTATAGATTTGGTATTCATAATTATTTTGTTAAGTACATTTTACTTTGGGAGGATGACGAAACTCATACTTTAAGGCTGATTTGTTTTTGTTCTAAATTTGATGGAGTAAAACTAAGTTGATGGGGGTGGGGACGGGATGGATACTGCAATCTCACCTCGGTCCCGTCTTTGCCCGATATAATATTTAAATTTAAATTTTAAAATATTAATATTTAAAAAATATCTTCTTTTCTTTTTTATTATATATAAGGTTTTTTTTTATATTTTACTATTTTAACTTTTCTTCTTTCCACTTTTTAATTCTTTTGTCTTTTTAAATATTTTATATCAATTAGTTAATTATATTATTCTTTTTCTCTTACGTTTCACTTTTTCACATTTTTTTAGTCTCTCTAATTAACTTTGCCCCGATATAATATTTAAACTTAAATTTTAAAATATTAATATTTAAAAAATATCTTCTTTTCTTTTTTATTATATATAAGGTTTTTTTTTATATTTTACTATTTTAACTTTTCTTCTTTCCATTTGTTAATTCTTTTGTCTTTTTAAATATTTTATATCAATTAGTTAATTATATTATTCTTTTTATCTTACGTTTCACTTTTTCACATTTTTTTAGTCTCTCTAATTAATTTTTTTTAATCTTTTCAAATAATTTGATGAAAAAAAAGTTGATTTTTCTTCTTCTTTATCTTTTTTTAAATATTTTACATAAATTTTATTAGTAACTAATATTATTTTATTTATAATTTATCTTTATTAGATTTTATTATATCATATTTTTTTGGATCTTATTATTCTTATTTGTCTTAATAAAATAATTATATTTTAAAATATTAAAAAAATTGAATTTTATTACTTTAAACTAATTAAATAAGAATTAACTTATTAAATATTTTCTTATAGACTATATATTTCATTTTTTTTAATAATAACTTAAAAAAGAATTAACTTATATACGTAATCAAATGTTTCAATATAATAATAATAATAATAATGTTATAAGTATTTTATATCTACTTAAAGAAAAAGTGATTAAATGTTTCTTTTACATATATATTTTAATATAAATATAATAAATTAAAAATATATTCAATTAATAATAATTATAAATTATAAAATTATAAATATTTATTTATGTATAAAAAATTCATAAAAAATATTAAAATTAATTTATTGTAAATATTAGGGGATGTATGAGAAAACAATACCAATGAGACATGAGTCCAACATTGATATATTTTCAACTCAAAACTTTAAAGCATTAAATTATAGATCATACTTCCTTACATGTTGTTCAACTTTTTTATTTTTACAAAATGTGTGACTTAGACTCACACTTATATTTCCTAACACAATATTCATGTTATTGAACCGATTTTGTATGTTAAAATCCTTTTTAAGGTGAGGGGTGAGCAAGCATATTTTCCCTTTATTTCATAAATCAACTTAGTTCTTGCTTTTCTTGAAAATTCAAAAGACTATGGGATAAAGAGACAATTCACAAATCATAATTTAGCTTAATCTTTGGTCTTAAATGATAAGTTGTTTTTTATTATCATCTATAATTTTTTACTAAACTTTCCAACTGAGTTAATTACTTTGATAACATGAGTATAAAAAATATTTCATACATATCAATTCTTAGTACAAAGAACAAAACTGCTTCATAAGAACGAAAAGAATAAGAAGAGTTTGTTACAAGAATCAAGGAAACATGATGCAGTGAATTTCAGGGATATATGCACAACAGAAGAATCACATCTGAAACAACTTGATTTCACAATACAATAGCTTCTTACGTATTCTAACTTGTGTGGTTCAAAAATTCTGAGATATAATCTTGACTACCAAATGCCATCCTACGTAATAATCTTATTTCTGCAGATTGCTGCGTAGAGTCCCCAACTCTCATTCCATTTGAAAGATCACACGTAGCTAAACCATCAAAAGCTCTAACAACCTGACAAACGTGATTATTCCAGAGAAAACAAAAATTCAGAAATTTGTATATGCTACCCAACCAATAACACCATGGAAAACTTTCTGCTTCCCTTTCAGTACCTGTCCCATGCGAGGTCTTCTGGCAGATGAATATCTCACGCAAGCAGCAGCAACTTCAACCATGCAAATCATTTCACTTTCAACGTAGTTTTTTCCTAGATTTGGATCTGTCAAACTCTCAAACTCCTCACTATCAAGGGCCTCACTCAGCAAAGGTCGAGCCTAAAAAACAAGGTAGTTTCTTTAGTCAGGAAGGCTTGCCTTTATGAAAATCGTTGAATGTTCAAGATTGGTTAGGTGAAAATACTGACTTTTCCAAGTACTGTAATCCTGTATCTGGCCTTTCTGTATGCATGCATGTTTTATTAATTTAACTCAAGCACACTAGCTAGATTATGATCTATTGTCAACTAAAGTTTCTTTTCCACAAGTTTAGATAGAAAAGTTAAATTCAGTTACCTCCTTTCTCTTTTGGTGTAGCAGAGTTCACATTTGTTTTATTGTACCATTGTACCCAACAAGGTTAGGATGCAAAGACATGAACCAGATTATGCACACTATAAAACTGAAAGCTCTCAATACAACATTAACTATTCTCTCTAAAATAATTTCTACACTTTGGCATAAAGCCAGATATGATTGCAAGGCATGTACGATGGTTGAGTTCACAATGAAAGTAAGAAATTCCAGACACCTTCCTAAGTATCAGTCTACCAGATTAGAAGATTACTCAAGTAGCTAAAGAGAGATGGCAACAAGTTGGCATATTGTATGCTTACCCATTCAACTAGACTCTCTTCACCTACTGGTTGAGATACATCCACTGGCTTTCTTCCAGTAATGAGCTCCAAAAGCATGACTCCGAAAGAGTATACATCTGACTTCTCAGTCAATTTACCACTTGATACATATTCAGGCGCAACATATCTTTAAGAGGGGAAAGAAAAAATGAATCATTGTTAGTATCTTTCATTTCATGTTAAAATGAGAGTTATTGTTTGAGCATTGTTATGAAATAGAACACGTTACCCACCCAAAAGTTCCCACTATACGTGTGGTTACATGTGAGTTTGCATCAACTGCCAATTTGGCTAGCCCAAAATCTGAGACCTATATAAAACGAAGAAAACATGAGAAACTAGCTTAGAATATCAATGGAACAGATAATATCCAACTTAGAATGAGAAGTGGAATAGCACATACTCGAGCTTCAAAGTTGTAATCTAAAAGAATGTTTGCTGACTTGATATCCCTGTGAATAATCCGAGGATTGCCTGTGCAAAATCTAACATTTAATAGCAGAATTAACAATATTATAAAGTAAGTCATCCAGTTACCAATTCTAGAATCTAGCTATACTAAAATAAAAGAAATTAAAAAAAAAAAAAAAAATCTTTTTTACGTCAATAACTTTTTCTAATATAATTAAGAAGAAACAAGAATGAATTATTTTCTCCAGCGTCCATCTCTGATCCCATTTATGAAAGACGTTTTCAGCCCAATTCATATATAAATTCCCTAATTCAAGAGCTTACAACAACAGCAACACGAAAAACAAATATATTAAGGATTGATAATTACAGTCTTCGTGGAGATAAGCTATTCCTCTGGCTGCTCCAGCCGCAATTTTAACACGGTTTGTCCAGTCCAGCACTGGCATACCTTCCTCTTAATTCAATAAAATATACTTTCAGTAAGCACAGATTAAATTTAATCAAAATATCATGAAAAACAGCCATTGAGCGCTCTGATAGCTTTACCATGAAGATGAAAATAAAGGGTACTGTTGGGGACATAGTCATAGACAAGTAGTCTTTTGCTCTCTGAAATGCAGTATCCCACTAAGGAAACCAAATGACGATGATGGATGCGGCTAATAATTTCCACTTCAGCTTTGAATTCTCTTTCTCCCTGACTTCCTGCAATTTGCAGTTGCTTAACTGCTACCTCTCTCCCATCTGGAAGTGATCCTTTATACACACAACCAAATCCTCCCTCACCCAAAAGATTTTTAGTTGAAAAATTGTTTGTGGCCTTCATTAGTTCTTCATATGACAAGAATGGCCTTGAGTTGCCTAGTCCTGATGGTGTATTACCGCCAGAAGCTCTTTGCATGCGATGAGCTGAAGAACGGATCTTAATAAAGGACAAATCTGGACCAGGCACAAATTTGATTATTTTTATTAGATTATCAGAAAGCACGCAGGGCATGACAAATTGAGAATGTTATATATATAAACTGTCTCAAGTCCTCTACAATACTCATCCGTGGAAAGTAGTAAAAGAAGAATTCTAGTATATTTCACAAGCAACAGAGTAGCAAATCATGAAAACATGGACAAATGTATTAAAGAAACAAAAGTCTGTTTGCTACACCCTAATTGGTTCTTTATGTGTGAGACAACTTTAAGTCCACGATAATACACAAATCTCTCCTTGATCCCTAACAGCTATCAATGTGTTGAAATTAAAGAAATTCTGTGGGGAATTCCATTCCCTGAAGAAACAATAATGCCAGTATTTACAGGCTTACCTGACTCAGATGTTGAGCCAAGTGGGGATGGGAAGTCATAACCACCACTCTTGGAAATCCTTTTCTTTTGCCTCCTCAGACACCAGATAGCAATGCCAATGAAGCCAAACAATACAATTGCTGTCACTACACCAACAAAAGCCACTGCACTGGTGCCACCACTGCTTCGGGGGCCAGAATTTTTAGCTGATGGAGGTGGTGGAGCCAATGCAAAAGTGTGTGATGGACTAGAATGAGAATCTAAAGGACTTGCCCTAGTAGGAGGAGGAGGTGCACTACTACTTACAGGTGTAGTAGATGCTGCCGGAGAAGGAGAATAACTCTGAGGAGGCGGTGGAGAAGAAATTGATGCCGATGGCGAACTTATCGATTGTGGAGGCAGTGATGGTGGTGATGACACTAAAGGTGGTGGTGCAGTAGCCGGAGGTAAGGATTGAGATGGCAATGGTGAGAGTGAAGTTGAATTATGAGGCGCTGTGGGGGAAGATAGTTGTGGTGGCGATGCGGCAGTGAGTGACGCCGGTGATGGTGATGGTGATAACGGGGTTGACATGGTAGCAACTAAACACAACTACGGTGCTGTGAGGTCTGATGTGTCATCTAACATTTGCATAATCAGAAACAAAGGTTGGGATTGACAAGTTTAGACACCACGTGGTGGTGCAGAGCTTGTTGGGGTCACATGATCAAGTTTAGACCTTAAGCGATGCCAAAGGAGGAAACTTAAGATGAAGAAAGTGGCAACTGTCAGTGTCACCAACCGAAACCAATGTCCCAAGACTCCCAACTCAACCGCCATTTGCCCAACTATGATGTTCCACACTGATCTTGTAACCTCTTAACAAACCAAGGTTACACATTGCACTTTTCTGCATAAAACCCTTTCACAAAAAAATACAGATATAAGCAAAGCATGTGAAGTTCACATAGAGTTCTAAATCCTTCAGTGAAAGTATGTGACACTAAGAGAGAACCTAAAATCATCACAAAAGCTCACTTGAGAACCGAAAGTACTCAACCTAATTCTTCACCTACCCATTCCGTGAAACTATGGCGTTTGTACATCACATCGATGAAGTTTCCTCCTTTGTCATTTGTTGACGAATTATTTTCCTCTGCAATTTTTTCTTACTAACGTCCCTTTTACAATTTTCCTTCCTCTTTTAGTTTTTCTGGGTTTTTATTTCTCGAAATTTGTCACCATCAATTATGATCTATGTCCGGTGGTATGCACGTAAGATAAGTTTCCTCGTACTGTATGTAATGCCACTGAATAACACTTCTTAAAACTCAAAAGTGAACTTGAAGCAAGTAATTAATATACTATATTAACAATCTAATTTAAATTTTACTATATTAATATACTATTGTAACTATATTATTTATGAAAAGTTCAATTTTTAAAAAAAATCCTCTTTTTTAATTATGCAACATGTGTTTGGGGATAATTATAATCCCTATTCTAAAATCTTGTTATAATATATTTTGCATTAAAAAGTATGTTTCATGTGGAGATTAATAAAAACGTGATATTATATAATCTAACAACGTTATATTTAAAATAAGGTTTAAATAGTTTTGTGCTCTTCGTAAAGTTGTCAATTTTTTCATATGATCTTTCATAAAAATAATTGTGTTTTAGTTCTAATAAAATATTTATTTTATTATCTACATTTTTATTGATAACTAATAAGTGATAATCTGTATGTGATTTACGATTATGTGTTTAATTAATAAAATTTTATGTTTTACTTTTTGTTCCTAATAATTTTTTAAAAATTATTTATAGTTTATCGCTTTCCTTTATGTAAATATCTTTAAATGATGAGAACTCTAATAAATGAACATGTTAGTGACATTAAAATTGACACGCGTATATTTTTAAACAAATTGTTTTGTTTAAGAAAATAGTTAATTAGTGTGAAACAGTGTCACTTTCTTCTACATAATGTTTGCGTTTTTGTTTTTCAACATTTTTCTCATTGGATGAAGAAATTCGAAAAAGACAAAGAATTCTTGGATAAATTTCGCACTTTGAATTTTAGTATTGAATATATATGAGGACAATGATCAAACATTTGATTCTTCAAGGAAAAATACCAATGATATAGTCATCATATATGTTTCTGTTTAGTCAAAATATAACTAAAGAATTTTTTTCAAATATCTTAGTTGATATAACCTATTTGAACAACTATCATTCCCTTGCTGCTTATATTTCTAATATATTTTTATAAATTTAAACTTTTGATTAAGACATATAATTAAATTTATAAATAACTTTTTTATAAAAATAAAATAAAATAAACTTTTTAAAATTGAAAATGGGAAGCTAAAGAGGAAATGAAGAAGCAGCACAAAGCCCCGTTCAGGCTTGCGTTACACGTAACAGGTAATACCCTCTCTCGGGGTTCTTTATAAAACACCCAAATCGCACATTGTGCTTACTATTTCTCAGTCCTCGTCTCTTACTTTGAAGGAGCTTCCGATTTTTCATTTCGAAGGTCACTTTCTTCTCTCTGCATTTTTATCCAATCGTTTCTTCTATACTTGGATTCATCTTATGCATGTTCTCTTCAACGTATTGTGAGTCAACTTTCATGCTTATTCGGATTTTCTGTAATCTATACTTCAATATTTCGATGCTTCTCAGTATGGATATTGTATGCTCCATTTTTAGTGTGAGAAAGTCATTACATCTTGTTAATCAAGTTGTTTGGTTTGTTATGCATTTTGCATCCTTTTTTTTTTAATTTTTTTGTATTTTTTATTATTATTATTTACTTGTGATAGGTCCAGGATGTTGTCTCTGTGTGTTCAGCTTTATCTAATATACAGTGTTCCAGTTTCATATTTTAAGGAACCTTCATATAACTTATTTGTCAAGTAATGGAGGAATTGATTGGGTGAACTATGATGTATTGTAATAATAGTTCTGTTAGAGTTTAGTGCTTTTCAGAGGATCTGAATTTGACCTTTAATGGAATCTGTCAATGGAACAGCAGCAGTCACTAAATTTGTTTTTCAGGTGAGGGACAGTAATGTCTCACAGCAGCTCTGATGAGGATACTGATATTAGTGAATCTGAAATTAGTGAGTATCGAGATAAAACTTATGAAGAACTTAAGAATGGAGTTCAGAATGTGAAAACCTCGAATGAGACTTTCACTTGTCCGTACTGCCCAAAAAAGAGGAAACAGGATTATTTGTGCAAGGAGCTCCTTCAGCATGCTTCTGGGGTGGGTCAGAGCAGTTCAAATAAGAGAAAAGCAAGAGACAAGGCTAATCATTTGGCTTTAGTGAAGTATTTGGAAAAGGATCTTATGCATGTTGATGTTCCAGGAAAAGATTCTAAATCGAAGGAAGAAAGTGATCCTTCTGTTAATTCTGATGAGCAATTTGTGTGGCCTTGGACTGGAATTGTAGTTAATATTCCAACTAGGCGGACAGAAGATGGACGATGTGTTGGGGAAAGTGGTTCCAGGTTGAGGGATGAGTACAGAAGCAGGGGTTTCAATCCAGTTCGAGTCAGTGCTCTGTGGAATTACCGGGGTCACTCTGGAACTGCTCTTGTGGAATTCAATAAAGACTGGCCAGGCTTACAAAATGCATTGGCATTTGAACGGGCATATGAATTAGATCATCATGGCAAAAAGGATTGGTTTGTTAATTCTGAGCAGAAGTTTGGCCTTTATGCATGGGTTGCTCGAGCAGATGACTACAAAATGAACAATATCTATGGAGAACATCTGCAAACAATGGGTGATGTCAAAACCATTTCTGAGCTTATTGAAGAAGAAACTCGAAGGCAGGATAAACTTGTCTCCAATTTGACTAACATTATTCAGGTCAAGAACCAGCACTTAAAAGAGATCGAAGTGAGATGCCATGAGACTTCACACAAAATAAACTTTGTGATGATGGAAAAAGATAAACTCATTCAAGCTTACAATACTGGTATCCTTTTTTATTGAGCCTTAGGACCTAATATTTAGATACCCCTTGAACCATTGTAGTGGTTGGCACCATAGTATTTATGATTGCTATATTAACTTCTTAAGAATATTGTGCTGGAATACAACTTTATATTTTAGCAATTAATTATTATTTTAAAATGCCGTTGATCTGGTAACATTGTTTTATGCTATGATTGCTTGTCTTCAGAGATAAAGAATATACAGTCAAGTGCCATGGGTAACCTCAAAAAGATTTCAATTGATCATGAAAAGCTTAAATTGCAACTAGAATCTCAGAAAAACGAACTTGAGCTGCGGAAAATCGAATTAGAAAAGCGTGAGGCACATAATGAAAGCGAAAGAAAAAAGCTGGCAGAAGAAATCAAGGAGGTACAGCGTTTTTCTTATTTTGCTCCATCTCCTGTATTATACTATGATTGGAATTCCTGTGAACTAAGATCTTTAAGAAACAATATTTTTGTTTTAGGTAGATTGATTTTTATGGTTGATGTTTAGATTTTTCAGAGCTTTCAATGAAGGACACTGTAGATTGGATGGCTCTGATATCTAGCAGTGATTATCTACTATTAGTAATAACTAAAATTATGAGATCTATTCAGTGGTCGTGTGCCAAAGGCCATGGATTAATGAGATGAAATTTGGGGAAGCGATAGAGGATAAGAGTGATCAATCTAGAGTTGTACGCCATTGATATTCATGCAATGGGTATTCTGTTTTTCCTTCCATTTGTTTACTCCCATTAATCGTTTTCCTTAAGGACCGAGAAAATCAAAATTTTACATAACCTGTGTTTTTCTGCTGTGCTTTTGAAATCATCTGAAATAATATTGTGCGTAAAAGCTTGTGGAAGGCTTTGTTTAACACTGCTGGCATTTTTTGGATTTGCAGAATGCCATGAAAAATAGCTCTCTTCATATGGCTACTCTAGAGCACAAGAAAGCTGATGAAAATGTTATGAAATTGGCAGAAGATCAAAAGGTGTGTCTTATCTATTAGCGTTGTTAATAACCTAACATATGTGTGTGTCAGCACGAGGATGGCACAATAGTGATGCTATTTGAATACATATTTATACAGAGACAAAAAGAACAGCTCCATGCCAAAATCTTCCATCTTCAAAAACAACTTGATAGGAAACAAGAGCTGGAGTTGGAGATTCAGCGATTGAAAGGATCTTTAAATGTGTTGAAGCACATGAAAGAAGATGATGATGCAGACCTTCTGAAGAAGGTAGATACTTTACAAGAGAATTTAAGAGACAAGGAACAATTACTTCAAGATTTAGATGAGTTGAACCGAACACTAATTATTAAAGAGCGTGAGAGTAATGATGAGCTGCAGGAAGCTCGGCATGCATTGGTTAATGTAAGTATACTTTTTCAAATATAACTTCCTTCTTTCAAATTGTGAAAATACCATTTTATTATCTTTTATTTAAATAAGATATTAAATAATTTTTATTATTCTTTAAAATAAAAGAAAAATATTAGGTTTATTTTGAGTTAGAAGTTATAATTGAGATATTATTAATATTTGATATTTTATCATACTTTTACAATAAATATATATATATATATATATATATATATATATATAAAGTTAAGTAAATAAATAAAAGATATACATATGAGATATATTTTATATATAAGGTATAATATATACAAAACTCTACAAATTCTCGTCACAAACTAATTTGCAAAAGCATCTCAATTTGGTCCATTCCTATGTCTTTATTCGTTTAGTTGGCTCATGACTGAGGGTGGTGATATTACTTGCCTGTTTAAAGTATCGAATGAATTGAAACTCACTTGCTCTTCTTATAAGTTCTAAATTTACATGTTTTAGAGCCTTCCACTTTCTTTCTATCTGGTTAATCCTGTTAACTTTTATTATTCATAGCAAGGTAGCAAAGTGATTTGAGTAAAATTAAAATCCCCTTGATTTATTTAATTAAATAGACTCATAATACTTTAATTGTTTTTAATGATTAATTACTTCATTTGATTATGCAGACAACACCTAACTGCGATTGTGTGGGTATTCTTTGCTTATATGTTTCATTACCTTTATCGTGGGTGTTATTTTCTGAAAATATCAAATCTTAAAAGCTTTCTTGGTATTGCTTTTCGAGATTTAATAATAATCTTCTCCCACTGGCAGGGTATTAAAGAATTATCGTTTCGTGGAAATATCCGTTTGAAGAGAATGGGAGAACTTGATACTAAACCATTCATTGAAGCAATGAAGAAAAGATATAATGAGGAGGAAGTTCAGGAGAAAGCTTCAGAACTGTGCTCATTGTGGGAAGAGTATCTAAAGAACCCAGAATGGCATCCATTTAAAGTTATCATGGCTGAAGGGAAAGAAAAGGTGTCTGTTAAACATAGATCTCCAGAAATTATCTTGACGTCTACGTGCTTCATTGCATGTCACTGTTAGGTAAACATTAAATACATGTAGTTGAGAGGTAGTGGTTATAGAGGTAGTAGTTGAGAGGTAGTTGTTGTATTGAATGTATGTAGTTGAAAGGTAGTAGTTGTATTAAATGCATGTAGTTGAGAGGCCATATCCAAAGGGCCTATAAATTGACCATGCATCACTCATTGCAAATACATCAAGTGATAATATACAGAGTGTTTTATTTAGATACTTGTTTGTCTACAAATTGGTATCAGAGCTTGAGAGTTTGAGTGTCTGAGTGCGTTAGAGAGAGTGTTTGAGAGTTAGAGAGTTTGTTTGAGATGGCCAACTTAGCTAACAGCATGCCCCTACCAAAGTTATCAAAAGGCGTAAGCTATGATAACTGGAGCCTACAAATGAAGGCTCTCCTTGGTTCCCAAGAAGTATGGGATGTGGTCGAAAATGGGCACCAAGAACCAGAGAATATTGAAGAGCAGACGATTGCTCATCTTGCTGCATTGAGAGCAACACGAGTAAAGGACAAAACGGCTTTGTACGTACTTTACCGAGCTGTTGATGAGTCCGGCTTTGAGAAGATAGCAAATGCTAAATCTTCAAAAGAAGCGTGGGATATTCTGGAGAAGGCATATAAAGGGGATAATCGCGTGAAGCAAGTCAGGCTTCAAACTCTTAGAGGCGAGCTTGAAAGCATGAGGATGAAAGAGGTCGAAGGGGTTGCCGAGTACATCTCCCGTGTTGAGACCGTAGTGAATCAACTCGGAAGAAATGGAGAGACGCTGCCCACTTACCGAGTGGTGGAGAAAATCTTAAGGTCGTTAACTGACGATTTTGAGAATATCGTTTGTGCAATAGAAGAGTCCAAGGACTTGTCGGTGCTCTCGGTGGAAGAGCTTGCCGGGTCGCTTGAAGCGCATGAGCAGCGAAGAAGGAAGAAGAAAGAAGAGTCCCTTGATCAAGCACTCCAAGCAAAGGCAACCTTAAAGGAGAAGAAGGTTCCTTATGCTCAGAACACTCAAGGCCGAGGTAGTAGAGACAGAGGAGAATATGAAAGAGGCAAGGAGCCAGTTAGTCAACAAAACTGGCGTGGCCGAAGACAAGGTAGAGGTCGTGACGGTAGAGGCCGAGGTGGTCAGCCAAGCAATTCCGGAGTTGAGTGCTTCAAATGTGGGAAGTACTGGCCATTTTGCTAAGGACTCGCTATTCGGTATCAAATGTTATAATTGTGGGAAGGTTGGACATTTCGCAAAGGACTCGCCGATCCGAGAGGAAGAAGGAGACAAACCTCCTCTCTCGAGGACACCGAGGAAGAAGGAGTATTGATGATGTCGAGAAGTTCGGATGTCGAGCTAAGTCCGAGCTGTTCCGACAACTCGGTTTGGTATCTTGATACAGGAGCAAGTAACCACATGTGCGGGGACGAGAACCTTTTTAAGGAGCTCACTAAAGTCGAGGCCGGACACGTGTCATTTGGAGATGCATCAAAGGTGGCAAGTAAAGCGCGAGGTACAATCTGGTACCTGCGAAGAATAGCCGAGTTGGAGAAATCGGAGACGTGTACTATGTACCCGATCTCAAAAGCAACATATTGAGTATGGGTCACCGATGGAGAAAGGCTACTCTGGCTCGATGAAAGACCGAGTATTATACCCGAAGGACAAGTCTGATCGTTTGATTGCCCGAGTAGAAATGAAGAAGAACAGAATGTACAAGTTGAACTTGAAGATAGTCCAAGAGAGGTGTTTGAAACTTGACGTGAAGGATGAAGCAATGATGTGGCACTTTCGATTTGGCCACTTGCATTTTGGCGGACTGACCGAGTTGGTAAAGAAAGAGATGGTGCGAGGACTCCAGTCTATGAAATTTGAAAAGAAATTATGTGAAGAGTGTGTGCTCGGGAAGCATCCGAGGACCTCATTTCCGAGGACGGCCGAGTACCGTGCAAAAGAACAACTCGGATTGATTCACACAGATATTTGTGGACCGATTACCCCTGAGTCCTTCAGTGGGAAAAGGTATTTCATTTCTTTTATAGATGATTTTTCAAGAAAAACCTGGGTATATTTTTTGAAGGAGAAATCCGAGGTGTTTGAGGTGTTCAAGAGATTTAAAGCAATGGTTGAGAAAGAGACTGGCATGCCTATCAAATCTGTTAGGTCTGATCGAGGAGGTGAGTTCATTTCATCCGAACTCATGAAGTATTGCGAGGAGCAAGGGATAAGGAGATTTCTGACAGCACCATACTCACCCCAACAAAACGGAGTTGCCGAGAGGAAGAATCGAACCATTCTTGACATGGTTCGAACAATGTTGAGAAGCAAAAACATGCCAAAGGAGTTCTCAGGCGTAAGCGATGCAATGTGCCATCTATGTGCAAAATAGATGTCCACATGCTAAGCCGAACGAGAAGACACCGCAAGAAGTTTGGAGTGGAAGAAAACCGAGTGTGTCTCACCTTAAAGTGTTTGGTAGCATAGCTTATGGTCATGTTCCAGCTCAACAGAGGACCAAGCTCGAAGATAGAAGCAAAAAATACGTGTTTATTGGGTATGATGAAAAAACCAAGGCGTACAGGTTGTTTAACCCAATAACTAAGAAGGTCATCATGAGCCGAGATGTTCAAATTGATGAAGAAAGTGAGTGGAGTTGGAACAACCCAGAGAAGGAGTCCATAGGAAGTAAAAACTCGGAAGTTGATACACCACATACTGTGAGAGATCATGAGACTTCTGATGAAGAAGATGAACCTCTACATCCCAGAGCGCGAAGTTTACAAGATATATACAACTCCACTGACGAAGTGCATGTTGTATGTCTCTTGGCAGATTCAGAAGACTTAAATTTTGAAGAGGCCGTGCAGGAGAAAAGATGGAAAACTGCAATGGACGAGGAGATCGGGGCAATAGAACGCAACAACACATGGGAGCTGACTGATTTGCCCAAAGGAGCGCGGCCTATCGGCGTAAAATGGGTGTACAAGAAGAAGACAAATGCTCGAAGGAGAAGTTGAGCGATATAAAGCTCGACTCATAGTGAAGGGGTACAAGCGTAAAGAAGGAATAGACTATGACGAAGTATTCGCCCGATGACGAGAATGGAAACAATTAGGTTGCTGATTTCCTTAGCAGCTCAACATAGATGGACAATCTTGCAGATGGACGTGAAGTCAGCATTTCTGAATGGAATCTTGGAGGAGGAAGTATATGTTGAACAGCCACTCGGATACATGCGAAGAGGAGAAGAGAAGAAAGTGCTGAGATTGAAGAAGACACTTTATGGCTTGAAACAAGCTCCACGAGCATGGAATGAAAGAATTGACACTTACTTCAAAAGGAATGGATATGAGCAATGTCCTTATGAACATGCTCTATATATAAAGAAGAAAGGAGAAGATGTGATGTTTGTTGCCCTATATGTTGATGATCTTATCTTCATGGGGAATAATGCCGAGCTAATTGAAGAGTTTAAAGAAGTAATGAAGAAGGAGTTTGAGATGACTGACTTGGGTCTTATGAAGTATTTTCTTGGCTTAGAAGTTGTTCAGGGAAAGGATGACATCTTTGTGTCGCAGGAAAGGTATGCTCGAGGAGATCTTGAAGAAGTTTAAGATGACAAGTTGCAACCCGGTTTCCACCCCTATGGAACCTGGTACAAAACTTTCTAAGTATGCGAGATGGAGACCGAGTTGATGCGAGCAAATACCGAAGTCTGATTGGAAGTCTTAGGTATCTTACAAATACCGCACTGCATTTAATGCTAAGTGTTGGAATAGCAAGTCGATATATGGAGGAGCCAAGGTATACTCATTGGAAGGCACTAAAGAGAATTCTAAGGTATGTGAGAGGAACAAGTGTCACTTGGCCTAATGTATACTAGGACTGGATGATTATCGACTAGTAAAGCTACTCGGATAGTGACTCGGTGTGGAGATGTTGATGACCGAAAAGCACGTCTGGATATGTATTCTTCATGGGAAACACAAGCATTCACCTGGCTTTCAAAAAAGCAGCCCATTGTAACGTTGTCAACTTGTGAAGCCGAGTACGTTGCAAGCATCCTGGAGTGTCTGCAATGCAGTTTGGCTTAGAAACCTTCTAAGCAAGCTGGAGTTGAAGCAAGAAAGAGGGACTGTGATTCGAGTTGATAACAAGTCGGCCATTGAATTGGCAAAGAATCCGGTCAATCATGAGAGAAGCAAACATATTGATGTTCGGTTTCATTTCATCCGAGAACAAGTGAAAGAAGGAAATGTGGAGTTAGAGCACGTCGAAACCCGAACACAAGCCGCAGATATGTTCACGAAGCCACTCGTCAACCACTCGTTCGAGAACAACAAGAAGATGCTTGGAATGAAGGACAAGAAAAGCATTTAAGTTTATGGGGGATTTTGTTAGGTAAACATTAAATGCATGTAGTTGAGAGGTAGTGGTTATAGAGGTAGTAGTTGAGAGGTAGTTGTTGTATTGAATGTATGTAGTTGAAAGGTAGTAATTGTATTAAATGCATGTAGTTGAGAGGCCATATCCAAAGGGCCTATAAATTGACCATGCATCACTCATTGCAAATACATCAAGTGATAATATACAGAGTGTTTTATTTAGATACTTGTTTGTCTACAGTCACACTTAATCAAACATGGTTCACTCTGTTATTAATCTTTATTCCCTCTTATGAGCCTAAAAGTATTTTGACGGTCTTCATACTATAGATTATTTGTCTTTCTGAATCTCTAATTATTTCACCTAGTGTTATCTGAGGTTATTCTGTATATTGATACTTAAACTTTAGGGTGTGTTTGGAAGTTGGGTTTTGGAGGGGAGGGTAAGTTTTTATTTTTGATGAGTATTCTTTTATTTTGATTGTTGTTTAAAACAAAAGGTTAATAGACGCATAAACTTAGTGTCCTAATCTTGTATTCTATCTATTTCTATAAATTACATAACTATTTTTTTTTTTTAAATTGCTCTTCCCTGCCTTCCCCACTGAAACCCAACTATTAAATATACCCTTAATGGAGTAGAGGATGTTTTCTGCTGATTAGAAGAACTGTAGATGGTTATTGATTAATAGGAGCAAAATGACCGGACAACTAGGAGTAGCAGCCAATTTGGTAACGGTTATAAACTTTTAAACAACCTTTTAAGCCATGCCACATGGTGAAACGTTCAAGGTCAGGCCTTTATAACAAGAAAAATGATAAGTTTGTTAGGAACAAGACAATAATAAAGGAAAGAATAAAGGAGAGAAAAATAAACGACACAAGAATTTTAACGTGGTTCGGCTAAAATCTGTATGCCTACGTCCACGACTACACTAGGAAGTATTTTTATTTCTGTGTGTATCTCAAACTTTACATAGGGTTGCTTATATAACAAAATAGAGAACCTCATCTCACAATCCTAATCGATGTGGGACTAAATCAAGCACCATAATACTAACAATTCTCCCACTTGGAGTTTGATTTACGTTACCACCTAGTGTAGTGCCTTCATCATCAATTTGCTCGAAGGCCGGTTGAGGCAATGCAAAGCCTCAACTTAGTTGTTGTAACAGTCTTGGTCAACATATCAGCTGGATTCTCTCGCACCTGGAATCTTCAACAAACTCAAGTCTCCATCATTTATCGGGTTTCGATAAAATGATACTTCAATTCAATGTGCTTACATCTCGGAATGAAGGATTGGATTTTTAGCAAGACAAATAGCACTTTGATCGTCACTAAACAACGGAGAACCATCTTGTTCTCTTCCTAATTCTTTTAGAAGGTTCTTCAACCATATCATCTCCTTCGCCGCTTCCGAGATAGCTACATACTCGCTTCAGTGGTTGAGAGAGAGACCCTTCCTTGAAGTTTAGACTTCCAACCGATAGCTGTACCACCCAATGTAAAAATATAACCTCGTTGTGCTCTTTCTACCGTCAAGATCACCTCCCAAGTCTCGCATCGAAAACCCCTGTAAAATGAGATTACTTCTCTTGAAAGACAAATGCATCTTTGAAGTGCCTTTCAAATATCTGAATATCCACTTCACTCCTTCCCAATGCTCCTTTCCGGGATTTGATAGAAATCGCTCACAACTCCCACTCGCATGTGCTATGTCCGGTCTCGGTGCAAACCATAGCATACATCAAGCTTCCTACTGCAGATGCATATGGCACTTTAGACATGTGACTTTCTTCTTCTTCTGTTTGAGAAGATTGCCTCTTTGAAAACTTTAAGTGAGTTCCCAAAGGTGTATTCCTGGTTTTAGCATTCCCAACATTGAATCTGCTAAGCAATTTTTCTATATATTTTTCTTGAGATAAGTTCAAAATACCTTTATCTCTATCTCTGGAGATTCTCATACCAAGAATTTGCTTGGCTGGACCAAGATCCTTCATTTCAAAGCTCTCCGACAATTGTTTCTTCAACTTGTCAATTTCTGCCATATTAGCTCCAACAATCAACATGTCGTCAACATATAAGGCAAGAATGATATAGCTATCAACATATTTCTTCACATAACAACAGTGATCTTCTTCACATCTCGCAAAATCCCGAGTTTCTCATAAACTCATTAAACTTCTTGTACCATTGTCTCGGCGCTTGTTTTAATCCGTACAAACTTTTATGAAGCTTGTATACAAGATTTTCTCCGCCTTGTACTTCAAAACCTTTTGGTCGTGACATAAAAATTTCCTCTTCAAGATCCCCATGTAAGAATGCAGCTTTGACATCTAACCGCTCCAAATGAAGATTTTCTGCAGCTACTATACTCAAGATAACTCGATGGTAGTCATCTTGACAACAGGAGAGAAAATTTCTGTGAAGTCAATTCCTTGTCTTTGTTGGAACCCTTTCACTACGAGTCTAGCCTTATATCTTTTGCCGCCATCCGGTTCTTCTTTCAACTTATAGACCCACTTGTTTTGCAAAACTTTCTTTCCTTCCGGTAGCTTGGTTAAAGACCATGTTTTATTCTTCTGAAGGGACTTTATCTCATCTTCCATTGCTAGCTCCCACTTAATAGATTCATCTCCCCGCATAGCCTCAGCAAAATGCTCCGGCTCACCAAGCATCAGTCAACAACAAATAATGCAATGAAGGGGAATACCTTTGTGGTGCTACAATTGTTCTGCTAGATCTTCTAACCAAGATTTCAGGAGTTGCCGACTCTACTATTTGTTCAGGTTCTGTCTCAGTGCTCGACATAGGCTCTACTTGTATATTCTCGCCTTCGGTTGACTACATCACTTTCTGAAATTTCTTCTAATGATACTTGCTCTAGTCGTTTATTTACATTTGCAGATTCTCGCAATCTCGTCTCTATAGAACATGTTTTCATTAAAAGTAACATTTCTACTTCGATAATTTTCTTGTTTTGGTCATCCCAAAACCCGTAGCCAAACATGTCAGATCCATAACCAATGAAATAACAACGTTTTGCCTTAGGGTCCAATTTATCTCTACTATTAGAGTCTAACATAACATATGAAGCACAACCAAAAACTTTCGGATGTGAAAGATTTACCTCTTTTCCAGACCATACTTCTTCAGGTAACTTATAGTCTAAAGGAACTGATGGTCCTCTCGTTTATGAGATAGGCCGCTGTGCTTATTGCATCTGCCCAAAATACCTTGGGTAATCCCGACTGGATTCTCATACATCTTGCTCTCTCATTCAAGGTTCTCGTTCATTCTTTCGCCACACCGTTTTGTTCTCGGTGTTCCTGGAACTGTCTTGATCATTCCGATCCCATTCTCTCGAACAAAACTCCTTGAATTGACTCACTGTCATATTCTCCACCATTATCAGACTTCAAACATTTGACCTTTAAACTTGTTTGAGTCTCAACCTCCTTTTTCCACCTTTTAAACACAGTAAAACACATCGATTTATTTTTAAGAAAATAAACCCATACCTTTCTTGTAGAGTCATCAATGAAGGTTACATAATATTGTGAACCTCCAAGGGATTTCACCGAAGCCGGCCCCCAAACATCTCGTATGCACTAGTTCTAGTCTTTCAACTTTAGACGACTTACTTGTTTTGGAGAAGCTAACCTTTTTCTCGCTTTCCAAAGATACAATGTTCGCAAGGTCCAACGTCAACATGCTTCACGTTAGGTATTTTACCTTTTGATATCATGAGCTTCATTCCTTTCTCACTCATATGCCCAAGCCTCCGATGCCATAAGGAGGAATTGTTGCCAACTTCTGCAATCGATATCATATCCTCATCTCGCAATCATGTAGAGAGATCCTTGCTTCTTTCCACGAGCAACAACAAGATTACCTTTCATTACCTTCCAATGTCCATCTCCAAAAGTGGTGTAATGTCCCTCATCATCCAACTGCCCTATAGATATTAAGTTTCTCTTTAAGGTTGGAATATGTCTCGACATTATTCAAAGTCCACACGTTTCCATTAGAGGTTCCGATGTTAATATCACCTCTTCCTATGATATCAAGAGATTTTCCATCTCGCAAGGTAGACCTTCCCAAACTTTCCAGAAACATAGTTAGATAATAGTTCTAAGGAAGGTGTAGTATGAAATGACGCACCTGAGTCCATAATCCATGAGTCAATAGAATTATCTAAACTACATAACAATGGCATCTTCAACTTCATCGATTGCTCGCATTTGCTGATTGATCATCATCTTGCTTCTTGTTGTTGTTGTTGTCCTTCTTTGGAGCCCTACACTCGATTTGAAAAGTGGCCCTTTTTCTCGACAATTCCAACAAGTGATATCATTCCAGACTTTTGCTTGTGATCTCCCTCTGGATTTTGATCTCGCCTCGGCCTTGATTACGACCTTTCTGGCGACTTCTTCCTCTAGTTTCAGCACTCAATGTCGAACCCGAATTAGAACTGAAAGATTCTCATCGAATTTTTCCTGCGAACATCTTCGCTTAAGATCAAGTCACTGGATGTTATCAAGCTTCAACTTGTTATTGCTTGCAGAATTACTTATCTAGCAGTAACAGCTTGCACCCCAACTTTCCGGTAGAGATGATAATAAAATTAATGTTTTCACCTCATCATCAAATATTATCTGCACTGATGTCAACTGCGCAATAATTGCATTAAATTCACTAATATGATTAGTAACCGAGTTACCTTCACCCATTTTGAGGTTGATTAGCCTGCGAATCAAATGCACTTTATTGGCTGCAGAGGGCTTCTCATACATATTTGACAACGCCTGCATCAAATCTACGGTTGTCTTCTCGTTCATGATGTTGAACGCAACATTCTTGGCTAATGTCAGCCGGATCACACCAAGCGTCTCGCCGATCTAACAACTCCCATTCTCGATCGCTCCATGTCGGTTGGCTTCGCCTGTCAAGGGTAGATACAACTTCTTCTGATACGGATAATCTTCCATCTCGCATCTTCCGAACCCGAAGTCACCGCCATCGAACTTCTCGATCCTCACCTTTCCTTCTTCCAATGCCATTGCTCTCACCGCTTTCGAAGAAAGCTCCCACCGCTTCTCTAAACCGAGATTCCCAAGAAAAAAGACCAAATCTTTTCTGATGTGGAAGATCAGACAAAGCTGCAACCACAGAGCATACTAAGAAAACTGGCTCTTGATACCAATTGTTAGGAACAAGACAATAATAAAGGAAAGAATAAAGGAGAGAAAAATAAACGACACAAGAATTTTAACGTGGTTCGGCTAAAATCTGTATGCCTACGTCCACGACTACACTAGGAAGTATTTTTATTTCTGTGTGTATCTCAAACTTTACATAGGGTTGCTTATATAACAAAATAGAGAACCTTATCTCACAATCCTAATCGATGTGGGACTAAATCAAGCACCATAATACTAACAAAGTTGTCAAGCCTTTCTAACAGAAGAGGAACGAACAGATGTCACGAAGAGGTTGGGAAGAGTGATGCTGGAAACCATTACAAGAATTATGGAGTTGGTTATGAATAGGGTCAAGGTGAGAATATGGGGAAGGGAGGAAATATTAGGAAAAAGTTGGACAAGCCGGCTGGCTTGAGGGAGGAGTTGTTCCTGTATTATTTTCTGCATTTATTTTCTTTGTAATTGTTCTCTTTTCTTTATTCTTATTGCAAATCAGTAATCAGTCTCTGATTGTATGGACTGATTCGTTTGAGGTTTTCCATAGTTCAATACAAATATGTCTTTCCTATCAATATCTGTCTTGATGTGCTTGGATTACTCTGCCTTAATTGCTTTACAACACCATCTTTCTAACACTCACTTCACAATTGAGTCAAAATTCATGTGGGTCCCACTAAATATTATATGGTATCCATTCAATAGGAAAAAGAATCACATAAAATTATCCAAATTATGGAGTATTGGAGTGTCGGAAACAATTTAGAGTGTACTGTTAGTATTTCTCTTGATGTTTTAACCTGAAAGAGTAGTACATCTTCAATTTCAATTCTTCTTCTACAGCTTCTAGGACAAATATCATTCTAGTTTAGCATTCAATTGTACACAAGGGCTTCTAGTTCATTTTAAATTTTAATCTACAATTATAGTGAAGTTTTCTCTAATTTATTGGACGAACTCTTACACTTTGTAATCTGGCTTCATGCATTTTTCCTCAGGAAATTATTAGAGATGACGATGAAAAGCTGAATGAGTTGAAAAAAGAATTGGGTGAAGGGGCATATAAAGCAGTGGTTCAAGCATTGTCAGAGATAAATGAACATAATCCTAGTGGGCGATACTTAACCTCAGTAGTATGGAACTATAAAGAGGGAAGGAGAGCAACTCTAAAAGAAGGTATACGACTTCTGTTAAATCAATGGAAGAAGAAGCTTCTAAAAAGAAAGAGAATGGCGTGAAGGTTTGTGGATAACTATATTGGGTTACTGCATGTGTTTTGAACTAAATAGCTTTAGCTAGATCTTAGAAAGAAAAAGGTTTCAAAACCCATCGGTATGCTGCTGAGTTTCTTATAACATTGACTTTATGTTTGGAGATAGAGAATTTATACAAGATAATTCATTTTAAAGGATATGGCACATATATACGCACAATCCACACAAATACAAAGTAACAAGAGATCAAATTAAGTGAATTAGAATAAATAGAAGTGTTTTGAGTCTTGCTTTCTTCCTTCACGTATTCATTCCTTGACAAAATTTATGAAGTCTTTTGTTATGTCATATTAATATGTTATATGTTATTGAGAATAGAAACCACATCTGCTTTAGCCAAAGAGCTCAACAAAATACTTACAAATAGATGGAGTGAGGAGAAAACTAGGAACTCGATTATGTGTGCAACATCAAGAGACGAGTACACAATATACATTTGAGAGATATTGTCTTCATGTTTGAGGATTTCATTGAGATGAAATGAAATAAATTTAAGTTACTGTTTATCAACATGACATGTTTAACATAAAAATACAAAATTGTTTACATGTTTTGAACTCAATTCTTCATTTCAATATTGGGATCATTTTTCATCTATTCACAAAATTTTAAAAAATTGGCTTCAATGAAAAAAAATTAATCTCAATTATATATTTAAATATTGAAATTTGGTTTCTCAATGAACAAAACACATTTTCAGTTCTGGAATTAAATACTAAATTTAAAGAACTAAAATATTTTTTTGAGAAACTAAAAGCAAATTCTATACAAATATACTTCGAAACTATTTCTATCATGCATGAAATGATTTATTCTAAAGTTTTGAGGATTCTTTTGTTAATTTTCTTTAATTAATTAGAAACCACATATTGTACGTACACTGAATAAGTATTTATAAATTTTAAATAAAATATATAAGAAATGAAAATTTCGCCATTATAATATTTTATTTTATTAGTTAAAATTAAATTAAATAGATGAAAACTTTATAATTGAAAATTTATAAATATAAACTGTTTAACTAGCTAAAGTAATAATACGTTTACTCCATAAAAACGATAATATTTTTTCTTAATTATATGTTAAGTTCATAAAATTTATGATTAAACAAATTTTGGGCTAATCAAATCTTAAAAAAATTAGTCTCTTTAATTTAAAAATAATAATTTTAATCCCTAAATATTTAATTTAAGAAATTAAAATTTTCTTTTAAAATTAGTTTCTCAAATTAAATATATATTGGTCAAAACTATAGGTTTTCAAATTTAAAAGATAAAAATAATTTTTAATTTATAGATCATAACTGAAATCATTCCAAAATTGTTAAAAAGGATATAACATCATTTAACCAACTATATAGTTCCAATTTTCATATATATAAATATATGCCTATTTTTTTTGTTAAACAAAGTCAAATATAAGGAATACAGATACACACTAAACATAGGCCAAAAAAACAACTAACAAAAACAAAAAAGTGAATAACTTTGTGATAAGTTAAAAACCACACACTCAACATTGGTGTGAATCATGCCAATTATAATTAATTCAGTGACACTGCTGCCAAACTTGTGTCCATGATCTGAATGAGCTTGTTGGCTATAGCACTTGCATAAACTGAAGAACCATCGCATATCTGCACCACCACAAAAACAATCATATATACTTTTTTTTAACACACAAACATATACATGTACAATTAATAGTCATTCTACACAGACCTTGGTATTGAACAGATAGCTGCAGAAATCGCCAATGTGGCCACCAGCAACATGTTGGAGATCCAGGTTGAGTTGATCAAGAACCTTTGAGACATGCACCAAGCAATCCACTTTCTTCCTTTGAACAAGCTTAATCGTTACCTCGTTGTCAACAATACGCACATCAACCTCGGTGTCTTTGGATTTCCTTTGTATCCAAGAACTTCTTAAGCTTTCATTGTAGGAACCATCATCTGGGTCGATATTGGAGTCACCTTGCCCTTCAGTTTGAACCTTGTGCCTCATCATCACTGCTACCCTTTGTTTCTCGTGCCTTTTCTTCTCCACCAGTAGTTTTAGCTCGTCCACTGTCCTCTTAAGCTCTCTGATATAGTTAATAGCATCTCCCACCACGGATGCTCTATCACTCTTTGGTTTGTTTCCAAAACAAAAGGGGAACAAAATCAATCACTCAGTTGTACTTTCTTTAGATTCAAAGACATTAATTAGTGTTGGGTTTAAAAAACTAAGATTTCTTAAAATTATACAGTTTTTTAAACAATTGAAAGGAGTTAATGTGAAATAGAAAAAGTATTCAAAAGTTGTATAATTTCACAGAATATCAACAGTATAATTTACTCAAAATGGTACCTTGGAGGGGTTTGGGATCAGTTCTTTCAAAGCATCAAATTTACTGCTCAAATCCACTCTCCTTTGTCTCTCAGTGGTAGTACTGGTGAACTGCTTGGTCCTTTTCCCCCCTCTCTTTTTCCCAACATCTTGAGTGAACTCAACTACCCCATTTCCAAAATCTTGGTACGCAATTCCACTGCCTTCTAGGGCACCCCCTCCTCCAAAGGCAAAATCATTTCTCAGAGCTGGGGGAGGTGCTTGAAGGTTGAGATGCAAGAAAGGGTCATAGGAAACAGAGGAGACGTTTGTGCTGTCTGCTGTTCCCATAGGGCCAGAGGGTTTTGGAAGATTGCCGCTTTTGTTTTCAAAGGTCATTGGCAAGTGGAGAAGGTTGAGGAGATCTGGTGTTGGTGTGGAGTAAGGGAATTGGTGATCATGGTGACCCCTCTCAATTGTGGAGGAGTGAGGAGGGAAAGAATAAAGCTCCTCACATGAACCATGGTTGTTCACCATGTGCACAAACTGCGTATTCAAGTTATTGGCATGATTGTATGAGTTTTGATGGGGGTGTGCAATGATTTCCATAGCAACAGCAGAAGCATCTTCTCCACTGGAATATGTGTAAGCTAAGTTTTCCATCCCAAAGGTGTTGTGGGGCTGTGTGCTAGTCACAGACATAACTGCCTCCGATTTTGCAACCATTTGGGAAAAACAGTCTTCTCCTGCCACCATCCCATTGGGATCAAAGCAACTATTTTCTTCGTACATATTTAGACCACACTGTTGATCTTTGCCTCTATAAAGAAAAAGAAATTATTATATGCATAGGAATTAATATAGAGCACAGAAATCAAAAGGGCACCCTACCCTGTCAATAAATTACTGATTTTTAATCTTCCAAAATTAAACAAAAATTGATAGAATTTTTTCTTGACACAAAGTAAATAAAGAGAGTGGTTGTGTGGGGGACGTGGAATTCCCTTGGTGGTTTTGAGGTTACTCAGATTGTGAAGGCTTTTTCAAGTGTACTGAGCAGATGCCATACATGGAAAGGTGTGAGTGTGCCAAATGACCAAAATGGGTCTCATTCTGTTACTTATTCTGCAGATTCCCGTCATGTGGACCCCACCAAATGATCTCCTCCGTATTGTTTCAGATGCAGACCGCACCAGCGTGTTCTTCTCCTGCTATTCTACTCTCAATTGCAAAGATGCTTCAGCTTTTTCATTTGCTAATATCAAATTTATTATTTGATGGAATATATGATATTAATATTGCAATATTGAAAAAAAAAATCACCTTCCTTGCCAATGCCTTATGCATGAGGTACCTACAATGCGACACTGTTTTGCCAATCTGCATAATTTGACCGTGTGATTATGTTCACCAGTACATGGATCATTTAACATTTATTGTGCGTGATTCAGAAAAATGGTGAATATAGATCCATGAAGATCAACTTAACGTGGCACTATGTTAGTTGCACAACTCTTGGAGAAATTCGAAACTTTTCATGAGTTTAACTGTACGCTGTGAGTCCTCTTTGATTAATCATTTTGTCAATTAACACCATTTATTTACGAGGTTATATAGTGTACATTTCTAACTTGGTAATATAACTTCATTATACTGGTCTTAAACCATATTAAATGGGTTTGTTTTGAACGAATTACAGTTTGTAGGAATAAAGGCACAATAACATTGATCTGGGTCCAAAAGGGTTTGTTTCTCTGTGCAAAAATCAGTGCATAACAGACTATTTGTAATGTGCATATTGGTCTTGAATCTTGCAGTAGTAGGCTTAGGTTCACCATCTATTATGCATAGCTTTCTCTTGCATGCATGTTGCTCTCACATCTTCTACACTTACTCTTTACATTTGCTCACATATGTGCTATGGAAGTATAAATATTGCATGACTCAAGAATGGAATGCGGAGATGTGGGTTTCAATTTACAAAATTAGGGTCCATTCCGGAATGATTCTACTTCAGGTTGTTGAATATATCCTAAACTTGTATGCTATGAAAGTTATGAAGTTTTGATAAAGTCAAGTTTTTAATTTCTTGAAAATTTGAAATTGGAAATTTATAACATTTCCATAAAACATTGTTTTTTGGATTTTTGTTTTTCTATACTCGGAACCAAATCAATCTTATTTAATGAAAATAAATAAAGTCTTCACATTTGAATTTTGAAACACAGCAAACAATGAACACACTACGGTTTTACAACAGCAATGTAAGGTTGAACAGCAGAACCTATCCACAAACTTCCATCATGTTCTTCCACCTCACTAACAGAGTTCAACTGTTGTCCATATTCTCCATCCAACACATCAACCACATTCCCTTCTCCATCAAATTTAATCGCCACAGGATCTGTTGTCCACGGAGCTGTCGTTTTAACTTCACCTTCATTTTCCAATCTGTGAATCCTTCCCCTCCCACTGTTAAGTGCCACCCAAAATTCTCCTTTTTGGTTCCTCTTTATGTTATCTGGGGAACGTGGAAGCTCTGCAAAAGTTTCTATGTTGTTGCCACTCAGTGGAATTTTGAGAATTTTCAAAGTGGTTGATTCTGCTAGTAGAATGAAGGACTTGTCCTTGCTAAGGGCCACACCATTGGGAAATGCCAAACCTTTCACCAACACGTTCACCGTTTGGCTACTGGGCACGTATTTCAGCAACCTTCCGGTTCGATCTCCGCTCAGAATTATTGACATGTAAACCCTTTGTCGCGCAAAAACACAATAACCAGTTAGAACACCAAAATCATGGCACCAACATATATTATTATTGGGTATTGTAGATTTTTCTTAGCTATTACTTTCAATATATTAATGTACTGATGTTTCTCATAAAGATAAAAATGAAGAACATTTCATGGCTGAAGAGTGCAGAGAGTATACATTACCTTCTCTGGAATAGGATGCTGCTATCTGTGAAATATACTTCACCAGTTTTGGTGTCAATGTCCAAGGCATTTGTGAACCTGAATGGGACCCCTTCTGCGGAAGTGGCCAACTGTTTTGCCACGCCACCATATGGTCCTACTACCAGAAGCCCAAAGTATGCATCGGCAATGTAGAGATCACAAGTTACAGTGTTGAATTTCAGACCCAATGGTCTTCCACAGATTGATTCCAAGTCTTCGTTTGTTAACCCATCGCATTGTTTCTTGTCCCTTGATAATCGCATAAAATATAAAACAAAAGATTAAGTTATCCATTGATATTACTGTACAATGATTTTGTATATCCTTTTTATGATAATCATCTTCAAAATCATACTTTATAATCAATATCTCTGATATTAATACCATCAACACAAAGAATCAAACTCCAAGTTATCATGATTTGTGTAGGTTATTTAGAAGTTTGGGTTTGTGGTTTTATGTCTGAGTTCGTGCTGGTGAAAATGGAAGAAGAAAATTGTATTCTCTGGTTGTAAACTCTGCTTGTTTTGGAACCATTTCGGAATGATTTTGTGGGAACTTGGTCAGAAGGTGACAATTAAGATCATGGCTTAAATAATTTAATTTCTAAAAAAAAAAAATATATATATATATATATATATATATATATATATATACTACCTTTTTGAATTTTTTTTTCGATTGTTCTAGAATAATTGTTTCATTTTCAGGAGTGTGGTAGATTATTCTGTCAAATCAAATGATAACAACTGTATAAACTAAAATTAAAATATATAAATAAAAATTATAGGGAGAACTAAAAAATTATATTATATGAAAGCTAAACAACTATTGTTTGTACTAGTAATTATAAAAAAAAATCAAACGCTAAACATATAATTTTGTGATATTTATTTTATTTCAAAATTGCCATCTTATTTATAATTTATTTTCATTTTATAATTAACATAAATCAAACCCTATTTAAAAATAGGGTGACACTTTTATAATTAACATTAGAAATAGAGAATAAAAAAAATAGCAAGCACCTAATTTTTATAAATTTGACTCGAACACGTGTTTGATATTTATTATGAGAGTGTTTTTTTTTCATTTTAATTCCTCTAGTGTTGGTTGTTTTTGTTTTTGTGCTGCATTTTTTTGTCCTATAAAATTTTCTGCTTTTCTATTTTAGTTTCTGATAGATTTTACAGTCAAATCTAACAGTACGATCAAATGTATGTCATAACTATAAATGCCATTGTACATTGGATTGAAAATAAAATAGAAATAAATTATACCAAAATGGTTAAAAAAAATCTAACAGTACAATGGTTTAAAAAAAGTCATTTTATTAAAAAAGAAAAAATGAGAGTGAATTTATTATGAGTGGGGGTTAAGAGATCTGAGGTAAAAGCAGAGGAATAATTAAATGGGCCAGTTTATGTAATTTGCGGGCCCATGGCGAGGGTGAAATTGGTTTGTCCAGCCCAAACCGATGATGATTTCTATAATTTGTCTCCAGCTGAAAACGATGGATAACTATCCACAACTAAAAAATTATCTCCTCAAATTAAATTATAGTCACCATCCTTTTATTATATATAATTATTATTTTTTAAAATAAAAAAAAAACCCTAGATCTTTATTTTCCTATGAATTAAATATTGCACCTCAAACTATTTTTTATTTTTTTTAAAAAACTTTGCTAATTTCACTATAATATTATTGTACTTGTGATAAAAACCAATTTTTATTGTTTCTAATAAATATACAATTTTCTTCTATTTATTTAGCCATATTGAAATATCTTAAAGTATTTTTAAGATTATCCATGATTTCATTTTTGTTTGTATGGACCACGTGTATATTTTTCATCGGACTCATCGAACAAAAAACTCGAACTTGAAATCAAATTGATGTCATTTCATTTACCTATTGCTTATAGCACCCCTCTTGTAGACGTACACTCTTTTATGTTTTTGAAAAAAAGAAGAGGAGTTAGTGTATAGGTCAAAATGGAAAATATTAAAATAAATCCAAAATGTGTCATTATAATTTACTCTGTTATATATAATTAAGAAAAAATAATAATATAAAATTATCCAAAAAAAGTTACAATATATAGATTGATGATAATTTAATATTACATTATTGAAAATCTTTATTTTAAATCATATTAACATTTTTCAGTTAACAAATTCAAACACCCATTTTGTTCTATTTCTGACTAATCATCCACTCTATCAATTTTCATAATTATCTGGAACAGCTTGTCACCAGTCTAATTTTCTGTTGAACAGTTTTTTTTTTTTTTTGACAGGTTCAAGTTAATCTGATCTAATTTGGATAATGAGTTATACACTAATGATTAAAAGAAGTAGATTCAAACAGTGAAGGGATAATAGGAATTAATGACATATAACACTTTGATTAAACAGTGAAGAAAAAGTTTAGTTTGTGGTCCAAATCAAGAAAAAGAAAAGTGGTATTATGCCTTAAGAAAGAAAACAAAAGAGATGGTTAAGTATTATCACAAACCAAGATAAATGTGTCTGAACTGAACTGAACTGAACCCTGGTCTCATGGTTTGCACATAGCAACACCCTCATTTGTCTCAGGTTGGAGACAAGACAGTTCCTTCACTCATCCAACCAACAATTAACATCACAGTTTCAGGTTATGAGTTTGACACATTCTAAAGGCGGGACCGTTTCCTAAGGAATAATATTGTTGACAACACACGGCATAACACAGTGTTTTTGTTTTTGTTTTGTTTTTCCTTGATTAATATTATAGTTCAGCTAGGTTTCATGCAGATGCAATAAGTTGAATGAATGCAAAGTATATATAACACTCATAATATATATACCTGCGTGGAGAGGTAACTGCAAAGTCAATCCACTCTTTCTTTGTGTCATGCCACTTAAGGATTCTTCCATCAGAAACTCCCACGTATGGTCCTTTACCACGGCAATCGAAGGCTGCACTTTCAGAACCAAAAACTGAGTGAGGAAGATCAAGCTGGGAATAGGATTTGAGGCCATCTACAATGGAAGCAGCTTCAAAAGAAAGAGCATGGGCCAGGTGGAATAGGAACAGAAGGAAGGGTAGAGTAGACAGGTTCATTGTAAAAGTGAGAGATTTTTTTTTTGCTAAGGGTTTACTTCACATGAATAATTAATTGGAGGTGTATATGTATATATATATATATATTGGAATGCTATGTAATGTATATATGTAGTATCGTACCTGGACTTCCTGGAACATTATGTCAGGTCTAAATCAACATTAACTATAGCCAGTTGGTTGGCGCCATATTTCACTGTCATTTGACCTTGTCCTCTCTCTTTCTGTCTCCAAAATTCAATTCTATTTGAATGGATTCACTTTTTTACTTGTACAAGAAAGAAGATGCAAGATCTAAGAGGATGAAATTAATACGCAGACTAGTTTCTTTCAAAGTAACTTAATCTCTTTTATGCATATATTTATATGATAGAAACATTACAAAAGCAATATGCCACAGTGGTTAATTTTAGTGATATGTGTGTTCACGACTCGGATCTGCATACTGTTACCATTATTAATACACAGTAATGACTTGTAATTTAATGAAATGATAAGATTAAAATTTCGGTGCTATTTTCATGGTTTGTTATTTAAGAATGATTTTGGTGACAGTTAGAAAGCTTTCTTGGAAAATGGTGTTCTTAAATGTGGGAATGAATGCTCTAATTGGAGTTTATTCGAGTTATAAATTTGTACTTGTTAGATTCAACAGAGAAGCACCATTTTTGTGACACAGCACAATGGAATGGATGGGACCTGTGATGTGAGGGTTACTGCTGCAATTGTTTTAGATATAGAAAAGTTTTGGTATTATTTTATAGGGTTTGTTTGTTGGTACTTCCCTTATAATTAATGATTTTATAGTGTAATTATTTTATAGTGTAAAATTTGAGTGTAAAATTTGAGTGGGACATTTTATAATTAATGATTTTCTTTCATAACACAAATTATAGATTAATGTATTTAAATCTTACACATGGTGGCTATACGTCAAGTCAATTTTTGTAAATATGATGAATTTAAAGATGCTCTGCATAACATTTTTTTGCAATTTGGGACCACTTTCTTTCTTTTCATTCATTATATTTTTGTATAATTTCTTATTCTTATAAATTTTGCAAATTTTGTATATAGTTCTCAATAAAAATAAAAATAAATCTTTAAGTTCTTTATTTTTATTTTTGTCCTATCATATACTCACATTCATTGAATGATAACATATATGTTAAATGACACTTAAGTTTAACCATGTTTTTTTGAATTCTTAATAAAAAATTCTAAAAAAATAGACTATGGAAACAATAATAGAAGGAAAATAATTAAAATTAATATAAAAATAAAATTTAAACAAAAACTATAAGAGATAATTTTTTTATTAAAAATTATATTTAAGATCTCTAAATTTATATGGGAAAGGCTATTTAACTTTACATGTTAGTATATATGATTAAAAACTGAGTTTAACAAAAAAAAATATTATATTAGTTTGACTTGATATGCAGTATAAATATTAAGACACGTCACTTAATAAAATGAGTTGTTGCTAGTAAATTTTTGTGCAAGTGTTATTTTTCTCGCTCACCTTATATTCTTAAACTTCTCTTTATGTGAAACCCAACAACCAGTAATAATAGCATAGGTTAGGTTCGATGGGATCGGGTGCGTTTTCATCAAATCTACCTAGCCTTAATGGCAAGAACTGGGATCGTTGGTACGTTCAAATGAAATCACTTCTTGGATACCAAGAAGTCGTGGAAGTCATTGAAGAAGGGTTCTCCATACCTGGGGAGAAGGTCACAAAGGCTAAGAAGAGTCTTTATCAGGAGAACAAAAAAAAAAGATTGTAAAGCCACTTTTCTGATTCATCAGTGTGTGGATGAAGCCCATTTTGAGAAGATTGCAGGAGTTGCAACTTCACATGAGGCATGACAAATACTAGAGAAGTGTAGCGAGGGAACAGAGAAATTAAAGAAGATTAGGTTGCAAACCATGCGGTATCAATATGAACTGATAATATTTGCCGATTTCTTTAATCGAATTGTGACGCACACAAATTTTATGAGGAATTATGGTGAGAAGATAGCAGATCAGATAATTGTAGAGAAAATTTTGAGAACCTTGAACCCTAAGTTCAATCATATTGTCGTGGCAATTGAAGAGTTCAAGAAGATTGATGAGTTGAAGGTTGAAATTGCAAGGTTGCTTAGAAGTCCATGAATAGAGGTTACTCGAGAGGGAAACCGACAAGTGAAACGACTATCAGGTTTTGCAAGCCCAAGCAACCAAGAAGAGTAGCAATTGGTCGAAAGGGAGTTATCGGGATAGTGAAAGAGGAAGAAATTTTAGAGATGGCTCTGGGAGGTTTAGTCAAAATCAAGAACAAGAAAGAAATAATGATGAAGAGGCATAATTGACCAAGAAGCAGAAAGGGGCAGAAAATTGGAGAGGAGACAAACGAAAGATTGACAGGAAGTTAATCAAATGCTTCAACTGTAATCGTATTGGGCATTTCTCCACTGAATGTTGCACAACATAACCAAGGAAGATGGAGAGCAGAGGAAAAATAGTGATCATCAGGCATGTATAGTCAAAGAGGAGCAAGATGAATCTAACTAACAACATGTGGTATTGATGATGATTGCAGGTCCAGGGGGTCTTGATTGCGATAATTGGTACATCGATTCCGAATGTTCAAACCACATGACAGGGCACCGTGAGTGGTTCGAGAAACTTGATAGTAGCAAGAAAAGCACCATACAATTTGCAAATAACATAGTGATTCAGGCTAAAGGAACTGGGAATGCCTTGGTAACAAGACAAGATGAAAAGAAAGTGATGATTATATATGTGTTGTATGTCCCATAAATGAAGAGTAATCTGATAAGTATGGGTCAACTTTTGGAAAACGGGTTTTCTATGAAGATGGTGAATAACTCGCTGGAAGTATTTGATGCATCAGAACGGTTGGCAATTAAAGTTCCACTGGCTCATAATAGAACCTTTAAGGTAAGGTTGAGGACCTTGAAATCACAGTATTTATCTGCCTCAGTAGATGAGTCTTTATTATGGCATTTAAGATTAGGTCATTTAAACTTTAAAGAAATGAGTCTTTTGAAGAAACATGTTGTCATCACACAAAACAAAACTTCAATATCTGTTAAACGGGTGTTCAAGGTAAAGATGAAACCAGATGGGTCAATATCTAAACACAAGGCTAGACTAGTAGCCAAAGGATTCATGCAAAAGAAGGGAGTAGACGATTCTAAAGTCTTTGCCCCTGTGGCACGGTTGGAGACCAGAAGATTGGTTGTTGCTCTGGTCAATATTAGAGGGTGGAAATTGTGACAGTTGGATGTCAAGTCTGTCTTCCTAAATGGATGGTTAGATGAGGATATTTATGTAAGATAACCCCCTGGATTTGAGGTGAAAGAAAGTGAACAAAAAGATGAGTTAAAACAAGCTCCAAGGGCTTGTAATAAAAGAATAGACACATTTCTCAGTAGTGCTAAATTTCAGAAATGCATTGTGAAGCATGGTGTATACGTGAAGACCACAGAGTCAAGTGAAGTCCTCATCATTTGTCTCTATGTTGATGATTTGGTGATAACAGGAAGTAATGAAGATGACATAGAATCAGTTAAGAAAAAGCTGAAACGTGAATTTAAAATGACTGACTTAGGTTTGTTGTCATATTTCCTTGGGTTGGAATTCATTTACACTGAGAAATGAATCATTATACACCAACAAAGGTACATAACAGAGGTATTTAAACAGTTTAATATGTTGGAGTGTAATTCTACTGCAACTCCTGCAGAGGCAAACTTGAAACTTGTAGCAAATGAAGATGAAGAAGCTGTAAATGAAACTTTATTCAGACAGATTGTAGGTTGTTGTTTGAGATTCATATGCCACAATAGACCTAAGATAGCATTTAGTGTTGGTCTGGTGAGCAGGTTCATGAGCAGACTAAAACAGTCTCATATGTTTGCGACAAAATAATATTGAGGTATCTAAAAAGGACTGTGGAGTATGGGTTGTTATTTACTGACAAACTGAAGAGTGAAAATGGTGATATAAGGCCGGTTGCATACACAGATTATGACTGAAATGGTGATCATGTTAACAGGAAAAGTACTATGGGTCAAGTGTTTATGTTGAATGACTCAACAATTAGCTGGAATTCAAGGGAACAGACAGTGGTTGTCTTATCAAGCTGTGAAGCTGAATATATATCAGCTTGCTCTACAGCATGTCAAGCCTCATGGCTACTTTCTCTTCTCACTGAGTTGAAGGTTTGTGATTCACATTCTGCTGTATTAATTATTGACAGCAAGTCTGCTATAGACCTGGCCAAAAATCCAGTATCTCATGGCAGGAGTAAACACATAAAGACAAAATATCATTTTTTGAAAGATCAAGTAAGCAAGGAGGTAATTCAGTTACAGCACTGCAGGATTGAAAATCAATTGGCTGACATCATGATCAAACCATTGAAGATTGAAAGATTTAAGTACTTGAGGATGACGTTAAATGTAGTATGTTTTGAATAATATGCTTAAATGTATTTTGAATCAGAGAGGAGTGTTAGCATATGTGATTAAAAACTGAATTTAGCAGTTCTATTTTTTTTTCTGTTATATTAGTTTGACTTGGTATACAATATAAATATCAAGACACATCACTTAATAAAATGAGTTGCTACTAGTATATATTTGTGTGTGTTATTTTTTTCGTTCACCTTATATTCTCAAAATGTGAAACCCAATTTTACAAACATTCAAACTTATTGATAGTAGGGGATTCAACTTTATCATACAAAAATTTGATCTAAATTATAAACCAATTTATTGACAATGAAATATTTATAATTAGTTTTAAGTTAATTATAATTATCTTGGTTTTTTTTATATATAAATTATTTTAATTATGATTTCAGTTAATTATTATATTTTTTTCATATATTACGGATGTTTACCGATAATATTATGCAATATCTTAAAACATTTCAATCAAATGTAAAATAAAATAGTGAACTTAAGTAAACTTTGTACTCTCATTATATTGATTAACTAAAATCAAATATAATAAAACCTATCTCATTTAAAAAATATAAAACATAACTTTATTCAAAGGCATATAAAATAAAGTTATAAAGGCATATAAAATAAAGTTATAAAGTATTATAAAGATAAAAACAAAATAAATATAAAAGATAAAACATAGACTCTAATATTTAAAAAAAAAAAATTGAAGTCACGTTTTAAAAAATATAACAAAATTTATTAAAAAAAAAATTACTTACCGGCTTTATTTATAAGTTCAAAAATATTTTAAAAATAGTAAAGGTAATTGTGGGAAGGGAAATTATTGGTTAGATTGTAAATTTATAAGTTTAAATTTTGTAGATCTTTATAACATAATATTTGAGGTAAATTAGTTTGCTTTTGTTCTCCAAATTTTAAATCATTTTTTAAGTCTTGCCATTTGAAAATGCTTTATTTTAGTCTCTCTTCCTTCACTATATTGTCAAAATCTTTTTGTTATTTATATTAAAATTTACTTTAATTTTACATTTTTATTATCAAATATCTAATAATATGGTTATTTTGTTTTCAAAATATTCATTTTAAAAAATATTTTAAATTATTGAAGTAAAAAAATAATTTTAAATTTGAGACTACAATATATTTAAGTAAAATTTATAATATTATTATAATTGACAACTTTCATTCACATTATGTCTTGACACATTAAAAAACTTTCTTTTATTGTATTAGATCCTCTTAACAACAAAATATATACCTGTAATACAAATATATCCAAGAATTAAGAAAAAATATATAAAAAATAAAATAAAGCACAATACTATATATTGTTGCGAAAAGATGGACAAAATGAAATATGTTTGATATTTATTGTCCGTAATATTTTGATTATTTGAGGAGTTAATAACTGTGAACACTAGACTATCATGTTCTAAAAGCAAGTTGTTACAATTAAAGACCATAGAATATATATAACATATTCCTATTTTTAAAAATTAATTTTATATATGATTTTAATTATTAAAATCATGTTTACGCTGAATCCTACATCTAAACTGGAATTTTCTATTATTCTCATAAACTGTCGGTAAATTAAAAAAAATATTACAGACTTAAAATATGATAAGAAAAATATAAGAAGAACAAATAAAAATTTATTACTTATTCATTATTTGGTGTTTGGTGTTTCCCGGATAAGAATTCCGATCACATGTTTGTGCTATCATGTCTTATATTTAACCAAACTAATAATTACAGAATAGGATATGAATTATGTCTGAATCACAAAAATATTTAAAAAAATAGTTTGATTTTTAAATTTATAAAATAACAAATCACATAAAAACATAATTTAATCAAGTTATACAAAATTATTATTGTTACTTATGTAACTACTTTTCTCAAAATTATTAAAGTAATTATAAGATTTTTAAATTATAATAATAATTCTTAAAATATTGTAAGTTATAAGTAAATAAGAATAATATGTCGGATGCACACATTTTCAAAGTGATGAATAGATGGGATGCTATATTTGGTTGTTAATAAGAAGTAGTTGCAAGCATTGAATGGTATAATTTTTGAAAGAGAATTCCATAATGAATGCAATCCAACATCTAATGATGACAAGAGCAAGTATGTAAGAAAGTGTTTATTAAGTTTACATTGAAATTCTGAGTTATGTCAGATGTGTCCTTTGGTTTAGTTGGTGGGTGTACAAATAGCAGTGAAATCAAAATCACCATCTTCCCTCTGTTACTAGACAGAGTCATGTTTAGGCCCATTGATTTGAACGTGAGAATGTGAGTCATTATATAAATTTATCTTTTCCTTCAAAATGAATTTCTTGTTCAACGTTGGGGTGATTTTCCTTTAAGCACATTACAGAATGTACAACCAAGAAAATCACCAAAACCTTGAACAACCAAATAGAATATAGCGATCATCATCTTCGTTCGCTAATCACCGACCGTGGAAGAGTTGGAGATTAGTAAATGCCACAGTGAATTGGAGATAAGTTTGGCACTACCTCCAGATTTTTTTAGACCCTGGCGCAGTATTTTATAGTTTAATTAAATTCAATATTTTGCCACATTTCAATAGTTGTAAATGTGAAAATAACGCATCTAAGCATTCGTTTTATCAGAATCATCAATTGGCAAAATAATTTATAATAGGCTTTTCGTTTTTGTTTTAGAGCGAATTAAAACTGAATTCCACGAATCAACATAACCATGAACAAGTCCAGAACCACAACGACTGAATGCAATAATTTTCTTGTACAATAAATGAAATCCATGAGGATAACAATGAGGAATACATCTCTTGGCAGAAAACATGAATGTACACAGTATTTGTAATTAGAACGAGGGACAAATAATCAGAAAAGTCAAAATGTCTTAACCAAATGTCAGGCAGTAGGACCTAAACTTCAGGATGCGCAGCATAGATCAATAGTTGAAAAGAATCAAAAGTCTTTCTATCTGTTGCCCTTTATACCAGCTCCGAAGTCTGTACTCCATTCCGTATAAATACAATCCTCTCAATTTGAGTAAGATTTCAAAACATTAGAATTGTGGCCAAAGGTACAGCCACAGAAAACGATTGAAGCTAACCAAATCATCTGCAAGAAATAAACCGAACAGCATCTCCTTTAATTTAATGAAATTAACTCGTAGCCAACCCTTAAACTAATAATACAGTAGTGTATCATTTATTATTGCACTTTATCTCAACACCTAACAAAGATTAAATTTAAATTCTCTCTTTGTCCACATGCCAGTGTACCATGAGTAAATGACAGCAAAAAATATTATAAGAGTTCAGAACATGCATTGAGAGAGAGAGAGAGAGAGAGAGAGAGAGAGAAGCAAAGACTTTAATCATATTCTGCGCGCAGTTTCCTTTAAATCTTTAGTTGTTACAACGAACCAGTCAAAAAAAAAAACCTTATAAGTTGATCCTAGTTTACAATATAATTAGGGACAAATGAACTCTTTCTAATAAAATAAATTATGGACAGTTTAACATAATCAACATAAACCCCCTAAAAATACAACCATATTCATCGTGTTATGCTGTAAAAAAATTTGTCATCATTTTAAAAATTCACCTTTGCCTATAAAGATTACACTATGCTTTTGCTTCCCTACTCAATCTTCGTGTTCATCTTCATCTGAATCTGCATAAAGAAAATGTGAAGCAATTTACAAGATAAACCATTACGAAAAACTAAATCAATTTCTGATTTTATGATAAGTACATCAAAGTGATTATGTCACAAAGATGTCCAGCATAATATTCTTTTTGTCAACTTTCGTTTTGGCAAACCTCTTTAAACTAAGCAAAAGTCAACTCAATAACATTTTTAATCCAGTGTTCAGATTCAGTTCTTAATATCTCAAAGCTGGAACTTACGACTACAATCATCATATATTCTCATAGCTGTTTTTCTCTTCTAGTTAAATGCAGATACTAGGCATGGCACGGGGAACAAATTTTTCACAAGGTTGCCCAGTTAATGAAAAGTTTACATCCTGCACACAACACATCTTCAACTTACCAGAGCGAACATCTTCACTAACTTTCCCTCTTGCTTGGATTTGTTTAATGAGCATCCGAAATATCAACACCCACCAATAAATATGCATAACAAGCAAGCAGTACAGAAGACTATTGAACAGATAATAATATATTGGACCATCCACTCGGTGCTTTTCCTTATCCAAGGTGAGCAGAACTTCATAACTGACAAAAAGAGAAAAAAGCAATTGAACAGAGGAACGCGATGACATGAACAAAAAACAGTTTTGTATTACTAAAACTGAATAATTAAAATTTCTATGAAGACAAACAAATTTCTTTTATATATCCTACAATAAATATTTACTTAGAAACTTACCCCATTGGACAAATTTTATTAAGACAACTAAAAACTTACCAATGGAAAAGCTCAAATATTTTAGGATGAATTCTGTGTAAAATCTCAGAACACTGAAAACTTATAACCCGAATGACAAACAAGAAAAAATGAAAATGGATGGTACAAAACAGAAAAACACGAAATACATTAATTGAAATATATTTTTTTCAGAATAAAGATCATTTAAAAATCTATACATCCCTGACACAATATCTTTTGGCCATAAAGAATACCTGCATTATATAGAAACTTAAGTCATTTATGTTGAAATTTGAAAATGTTGAAGGGACGGAGTTAAAAAAACAGTTTATTGATTCAGAGGTAAATCTAATGCAATAAGATATGACATTTTGTTTCTCTAACTTACTACTATAGCACTGACATTGCCCAATCAGATTTCCCCACATTCTTTGACCGTCCAAATGAAAATGTAACAATAATTTTGAAAAGTGTTATAGAAATGGACCAGGGCAAGACTAAAAAGAAAGAGAGAATGTACCAGAAAAAATTAGTGTTTTGACTGGTGTTGAGAGAATTACAAGAAAATACACCCAGGTAACTCGAGGATCCTGATCCCTCCGAACTGTCTAAAACCATTTCTGACTCACTCTTTACTTTGGCCTGTATAAAATTTATATATCCTAACTAAACCTCATCTTATTAGTTACCTGTTTCTTTTTGTTTCTTCTCTTAAAAATCCGAGTAATAGGGGAACGTATTCTATCAATACCCCAAAAAAAAGTGGCAACTTATCCTTATGGTGGAAGTGAGGGAAGACACTGCCGACCTCCCAACTATTTTCATGTTCTGGTAAGTTCTAGCACTCAAGGAGCACCATCTTTTGTCCAGTGGCATTTAATCTGGAAAATCTGCAGTTCATAGTCTTCAGTCAACATAAATGGTAAAGGTTGAGACCCTTGTGTAGGGCCAACAACTTTTTTCAACAATGTAACATGAAAAATAGGGAGAATTTTACATTGGGCTGGAAACTCTAATCTGTAAGAAAATGCCCCCACCCTACTTAAAACAGTATAACCACATCTTCTGTGACAGTTGACATGGTGTCTCATCTTATCTGCTAATATATTCTTACAAAACTCTCAAACAGCTCCTGCAGTGGGATATCTTTGTTGAGTCAGCATATCAACTTTCTCGATATTGGAAAGGATTGTTGTTCTTTTCAACAATAGAGGGTCCCGCCCATACAAAAGTCAGAAAACAGGCATTTTGGTTGATGCACTATAATTGGTATCTGTGAAGCACCGACACGGCTCCCCTCATCCGTGTCGAAGTGTCGCGGGACGTTTGCGACACCGCCACCGCCACGACACTTCGCGGAAGCGTGTCCGACTCTTTTTTGCAGTGTCCCCTGCACCAAAAACGTGTCGCGAGGCTGCGATTCATGTGGACACGGCGTGCCCTAATTCCGACGCGGTGTCAGACACGGCTCCGACTCGAGAATAGGTTTTATAAAAAAAAATTGAATTTTTTCTATTTACTTTTATTTTCACGTATCCTTCCTTTCTTCCTTCCTCTCGCACGTATCCTTCCTTTCTTCCTTCCTTCCTCTCGCACCTTTCCATTTCTGCTCCAAAGCTTTCCTTTCATCCAAAAAAGCTTTCTTTTTTTCCTTCCAGTTTTCCTCTGCTGTGTGCTACTGTGCAGTTAATCCGAGAGCACAAACCACACAACGCTCTCTGCCCAATGAACTCCGAAATAACGAAGTAGTTGAAGAGCCACTATTAGCAATGTTAATTTTTAACAACTTTGTCTTGAGAAGATGAATGAACAAATCTTAATTTTTAATTTATATATTTCTCATTTGAATCATATTTCAATTTTTATTCATGTCTAATATATATAAGGTGTCCCGGTGTCCTATATTTTAGAAGTTTGTCGTGTCCGCGTGTCCGTGTCGTGTCGTGTCTCAGTGTCCGTGTCGGAGTCAGAGTCAGAGTCGGTGCTTCATAGATTGGTATTGAACCAAAGCTCAGACCAAGCTAGATGCAGCTGCCATTGTCATGGTTTTACACCTGACAAGTAGCACAAATGTACCTCCAAGTATTGATTGACCTCTTTGGTTAGCCCATCCATTTGTGGATGGCAAGCAACTCATCCGAAGTGAGGTTTCTGACTGTTCGACTAATTCCTTCCAAAACCCGATCATAAAATGTTTATCTTTGTCAATTACTATGATTGAGGGAAAACCATTCTTAAATGAACAGTTCTGCAATGTCCTTAGCTGATAAAGGTGCGTGCAAGTGCAATAAATCCATAAATTTACTTAGCCTATCCACCACAGTAAAAAGTATCCTTGCCACGAGCCTTGGGTAACCTCCCATATTCCACAGTGATGCCAACCCAAACCTTATTGGAATTGGTATGGGTTTGTAGGTGATAATGTGCTTGATTTATATTATCGGCAAACTTCACAAGATACTACATAATTTTTTTATTTCTGACCTCATGCCTTCCCAAAACACAGTCCCCGCCACCCTTCATAAGTTCCAAAAATTCTGAAATGCAATGCTCACCCCCCTTTCACAGTCTGACCTGGGTCTAACCATCCATCTTCAACTTGGATGTCATATAATTGAAATTAACTTTGATCTCTCACAATTCAGCCAACCATTCTAACCCAATACCAATGTTTGCTCCACCTCAATCAAATATGAAGTTTTACTAAATAACAATATCCTACATCTTCAACATGACCCTTTGGCACATTCACATGTACCTTATTTATAACCATCACCTATGCCTCATGATAAGAATGGTATATATCACCTATAAGTTTAACTCTAACACCAAGTCAATAGAGATAAAGTTAAGTTGCCCACTATCAACCAATACCACCACCACCTTGCTTCCCTTTAAACTGCACCATAACTTCAAAGACTTTCGTGTAGTGAACCCAACAATACTATGAAGCAAAAGCTAAGTTTTTAATTGATCTTCTATGTCCATCATATCTTTCCTCTACTGGTTTTTTTCCCCTTCACTCTCCTTCAATATTAAAATTGAGGTTCTAAATTGCAGACCACAACACCTGTTACAGCAGGAATATTGTTGGAGAGTTACCCACAGCTGCAACAGTTTGCATTGCAAGGGAATTTAAATCACATGACTTGTTACAACACATCCACAATAGAGCCGCAACAGGGCCACAACACAATTTCAATATCATTCTATGCCACCATTTTTGTCCTAAAATGGAAACTTCAAACTTCAATCTTCTATTCTAAGTGTTGATGGTCAAATAGTGTCGTCATGTGAAATGTTATGGGTGCAAGGAAGGCATCTCTCATGGTGGAAAAAAGATGAATAAAAGATATATTGATTATTAGAATGATTATAAAAATTTACATTTGGTGGAACTATATAACAATATCACGCTGGAACTGCTGCAATCTGAACTGCAGCAACCACAATACCAACAAATGCAACCGATGTAACTGTAATTCAGAACCATAATGAGGTTGCTTGTTTTTACAAACATGGTTAGGTTCATATTCTTGTAGCAATGAAAAACTCTTCCCCTTTTTGACCTTGCATTTCAGCATGAGTCAACCTCTGAAAATTGCTTTTGTTTCTTGTAGTGCTGTCCCCTTTGAAGACTAATAAGTTTTGGGAAGTCAAATTCCTATTTTCAGCCCTTTAAATTGGCGATTTCCCATTGACATTCATGTGCATGTATAGCTACAACGACAATTATTTGCCCTTCTCTCAAGATTTCTTCCAAGAATGTTACTACATCTGCCATTGCTATATTACTCTTGTCAATGAAGTGTTTTATTCATCTATTACAAAAGACTCTTCCTCTTGCAAAACTTTGATTCTTCTTGATCTTCTCCCTCTACTGGAAATTCACATCAAATTATGTTACTCATCTAGACCTTTCACCGCTCTTGCTAGCCTTTTGAATTGGGTGATGAATTTAGCCATTGTCTATTCTTGTTTCATGTTTAGAAGAGATTCAAAGGGATCACCCATCAAGACTGGTAGGAACTTTGCAATCAAGGAAGTCTAAGTTCTTCCCAAGATTAATTTGATTTCAGGTTTACCAAAGTTGAAACCATGACAGTGCATCTCCTTCAAGAGCAACCATCACTACCTCCATGTTTTCTTCTACACTTATTCCCCTTCCAAAATCCATCCAAAATCATCTTCCCCTCCAAAGATGGAAATGTCAGCTTCCTAGATTTGTCCCCTGTCCAAAATTTGTTTTGCTCACTCCATTTGGACTCCACTCCATCTCCTCTTCCTATCTCACTCCTTGGGTCTCGTATTCTTGAAACTTTTTCGGACATTGAAGAAGGCAACCTCTCCATTAGATAATTCATGCATGAATCTAGCTTCAGATATTACATCTAGTCACTTAGGGAACTGACTCCAGCTCATTGCCATTTTATCCAAAGCCTCCACTCAGAACTCCTTCCATGTACTCCCCATTAAACATGCTACTGCTCCCCACACACAACTCTAGGATTCAAGAGGCTTGATACCAATTGGGAACTACAAAGAAAAGAACACCCAGATAATTCAAGGAACCGTCCCCTCCACTCAATGTCTAAAACTCGAAAACATTATTGGCCATCTCTTTACACCTTTGACCGTTATATATCCTGACTTCAACCTGACCAAGTCAGCAACCAACTCATGCTAACTACTAGCTAACACTTGTCTAGTTAGAGTTACCTAACCAGTTTTTTTATTTCTTCTCTTATAAACCTGAGCAGAGGGACATTTTATATCAAACAGATAACGATCAGAACCCCAGAGAATCTAACCATTAACTAAGAAAATGGCTTTAGAATCTCCCTAAAATAGCACATAAGATTATTTTCTTTTCATTCCTGGTTGATACTACAAGTGATTATAGGTTTAGCCTGAGTAATTTGTATTATAAGATAACATGCATGCTGTGCTTTGACACGGATGGGTACTGTAACTGCTCTACAAATGAATCAGGCACTGAACCATTGTCGTGTTCCCCAATACATAATTCAAATCACTCAAGCATACAAGCATTTAAATTTTCAATGAAGGAACCAGTATGAAGGAAAAGTTAAAAGTTAATCTGTGATCCAGAAATATCAAAGAGATAAAAAGAAGGAAAAACCAAGGGATGGAAATTAAAAATACAAAACAAGTACTTTTGTTTGTTAAGAATGCAAGAAGAAAACTGTATATTTTGATATAAGATGAAAACTTTTTGAATTTGAAGAGCAACAGGGGGCCATCTTCCTCGAGAGTGTATCTCAGTAATTCTTTTTACTCTTAATAAATATATGTAGGTACATCATTTTGTTATTCAACTAGAATTTAGGAAGGCACATAGAAGGCAGGCGAGGACCGCAATATATAACAGAGAGGAGGGAAAAAATGAAAATTGGAAACCAAAATAATATAAACCTGGTACTCCAAAGAATCCAGAATGGGTAGTAAATGAGGCGCAATATGATCCAGGATAAAACAAATAGAATAAAAGCAAAACTGGCCATTGTTTCAGCACCACTGTACTTGGACATTTTCCCTATCTCCAGAAACACATCGCTGGCATCGTGAAGTGCTAAAACAACTGATCCAACACGAGCAAACCTGAATATGTTAATTAAACATAGAAGAGAAACACAATCAAAATCCCAATAGAGATACACTAAAATAAAATAGAACAAGTGTGGGAATTAGTTCCACAATTCTCTCGTGTGTGTATGAGTCAATAAAAAGGTAGTTTAAAATTTTTAAATAGTATTTTACCCTTTGTTATCCCTTAAGACCCAGTAAGTCGATAAAATTCACTAGAAAAAGTAAATGTATGAAACAGATGAAAAAATTACATCTTCTGATAAGGAGCTTGAATTGAAGTAAATTCAGAGAACTCAAATAAACCAAATCAACAAAGGTTATTAAATTGGAGGTAAAAAGAAGCTTGAATGAAAAGATACCTAAAAATGTAAGACAGCACAATGAGAATTACGCTAGCAACATGGTGACTCATGGACACCCCAAAGTCAGAGCGCCTGGTTTCCCAAAATATTAAAGCAAAAATGGAGTATGTGTAAAACCCAGCAGCATACATATACACCGCCTTCAATTTCAACCTGAAATGGCAAACGTTACAAACAAATAAAGGAAAGAAAGAAATGATTGAAGCATTGGAATAAGTGGGAGATTATGCCAAGAAATATAAAAACAAACAAACAATCTTACTTGGTCTTTTGATCTGGCCAGACTTGGGACCCTGGCCCCACCCAAAAGTTTCTTGTATTGGTAAACCAGGGTTCATCATACGTTACATACAAAGCGAGAACCTCAGCGGAAAGATAGTAAACACATTTCCAAGCAGATTCCTTAAATTTCCTAATTTTTTTTCTTCTTTCATCGGTGTGGAGGTCGAGCGTCTCATTCCACTTTCCGAAAATCAATCGTGTACCGAGTTTCTGCGTGCGCGTGTGATGAATAAACAAGCAGAGCAATACAAGGCCAAGACTAACGGTGATTAGAATAGAAGGAGTTGAATAATTGAGTCAATGCGATACGAACCTGGAGCAAGAATCGGTCGAGGAAGAAGCGGATGGAGGGGAAGAAGAGAGCGAAAATGGGGAGAAAGTAGAAATCGTGATAAGCAGGGTAAGATTCATGGTGCCAATCCAAGGAGCGGAAGAAGGAATTCATCGTCATCGTCGTCGTCGTCGTCGTCGCATTGGAATGGAAAACGCGTCCCTGGATTCTTGATTGATCCAATCCCCAACTAAACACCCCCTAATTTTTTGTTTATTGTCATATCATGTGATGATCCCACACATCATATAATATACAATCCAATTTTTCTTTTGGTTGAGTGCAAAACAATACTATTTTCAGTTTCCAAAATACATCACTTTTCCAAATACTTTTCTATTTTTATTTAAAAAAAAAAAGGTTTCAATTTTGTTTGGTTTTTATTTAGTATATTATGCTATCCTCATTAACAAACCAATAAAACAAAAATGTGATGTTGTTTTAAAAAAATATAATAAAGAGAGAATAACAACATTTTTACCAAATTTCATTACTAGATTAATAATTTAAATTTTTTGACATAGTAAAATCTCAGAACATCGTTTTCCATTATTGTTTCCAACCTCTCACATTTCTTGTTATAGAAAGCGACACAACCAAACCAACACACTAGCACTTCTTTCTCAGGTTTCGTACTTATTAGAAACCATATTATTTTCTTCAATTCATTTATGGCAAAAAATTAAAAAAAGGGGTCATGTTTTATCCAGAATAGGAATGTTTTATTCCAAATATAATTTACAAAACCTTTTTTTGGATAAATGCAAGAAGACAAACAATGCTTAAAAACATTAAAAGTTAAAAAAGTGAAGGTGAAAGAATATATTGGATAGAAATTTGATCTTTTTGCATTTCATGTGTAAAGGCATAGAGAAAAGTACTTTAAATACATGATATAAGAGAAACTAAAACATTGGTAAAATTCAACCACATTTTTAATCAATATATATATTTTTCACTTAGACATAACTAAAATTTCATAAAACAAAATTCCCAAACTCTTATAAGACATAAGCTTAATATAATGTATTCTAAAAAATATATATATTTTTTCCTTATTAATCTCTTATTTATTTAAAATGTGCAAGAGACGGGAAGAAAACCAACAATGTTGTGATGATATAATAATATAACAATTAATTGTAAGTAATGTTTGCATTTAGTAATAATTATTACGAAAATGGAAATTGATGAACTATTATTTATTAAGATAAATGTAGTTACTTGTGAATATTTAACGCGAAATAAATGTTCAAATCAATAAGTTTATTTTGTATTTCTAGTGGGGAATTTATAAATAGTAATTCATTTTAATAGAACGATATGTTTTATGGGTTTGGAGTGAAAAGTAAATGAAATTATAAAATTTTATCAAAATATTTTGATTAATTTAATAAGAGAATTTAAAATTCTTTCATTTAATTAAGTTTTTTTTATATTTATTTTATTCAATTTCGATTAAGATATTTTCAATTCATATTAACTAGTTTCAATATGGTTTGATTTAGTTCAATACATTTAAGCATGACTTAAATCTTAAATTAGTGTGACTTGATCCGTCTTATCTTAGTTGGAACCAATTTAATATGCACTAAACATATTTTATCTAATTCTTTTTTATTAGTTTGACCTAATCTATTTGAAATAAGTCAAAATCATCTTAATTTAACATGACTTAACATAATATAATCCTTATTGAATAGGTTCAACCAACTATTTAAAGTAGGTTTGACCTACTTCGATCCAACTTAACTCATTTTTGTTTATTTCGATTCATCTTGATTTCACACTTCCTAATTAGACACATGTTATGTTAGTTTATTCAAATTATCTCATTTAAAACTATCTTATTCGGTTACAACTTTATCAGACTCGTCCAAAAATAATCTGATACTGACTCGACTCTTCTCAATTTATCGAGCCTAACCTAATTTAACTTAGTCTTTTCAATCCAATATAATTTATTTTGATTAAATCCAACTTTACTAATTTGAATTGTCTTAATTTAACATTACTCGATCTAATACATAATCCGTAGTGGTCCAACCCAACTCATATAAATAAGGGTTAAGTATAGTAAGTTAAAACTAATTAATAATAATTAAATTATTTTATCTAAAAAATGAAATTTTAATAAAATTTATATTATCTTATCCAAACAAATCATTTAAAAAATTAAATAATTAAAAATAAAAAAATTCAAATTCAACATATTTAAATTTTCTATAAATTGCAAAATACATTATCGAAATACGAGAATCCATCCACGTATTATTTTTCTTCTTCCACGCAAAATCCAAACGTCTACCTAATAATGATTGAATTATTTAACTAACAAAATTATAAATAAATGTTTTAAATGACTTATTTCATTCATAACTACGCAACTAATATCTTTAGCTTTAGGAGGCCTTAAAAAGATGTTTAGGTTAGAAAATGAATGTTATAAATGACTTTGTAACACAAAGGCAACCTTAAATTTTGGCTAAAAACTTCAACAACACCCTTACGAACCTTCTTCTTGTTATCTTTCATATCATTGAGAGAGGTTTATTGTGTAACATCTTTCACCAATTGGGTGTGGGAGAAAAGTGGTGTTTTCATGTTTTATCTTAAAACCTAATTTTCATTAAATGTATTTTCTTTTGCAATATTATTATTTATGAGTTGTTTGTTTAGTATCTTTGAAAATGTTTTTCAATTCTTTTTAAATTAAAAAACTTATTTGATATATTTTTTAATTGTTTTAGAACTACAAAATGTAAAACTAATAAAAAGTTTTTTAGTTTTTATTAGTGATTGTTCTATAACAATTTTTTTCCGTAAAGTTGTTAAATTCATTTTTTAATTATCTATTTTATTTAAAATTAAAGTTATGAAATAATTTTTTTAACTTAATTTTAAAAAAATATTATAATTATTTTTAAAATATAGACAAATAAAACAAAAACCTTTGTTAGAAGAGTTCGAACAAGATGCGTCATTATCTATAAAGTGTCAAGAGAGTCTTTCGTGGAAGTTGCAATTTTAAATAAAATGCTACTTGCTTAAAGTTTAAGTAAAATGCTAAAAACATTTTTACAAATTTATAATAAGAATCATTAAGAATAAAGATATGTTATTTTATTATTACTATTATTATTATTATAATATTAATATAATGAATAATCTCATAAATAATATATTTTAAAAATATAAAAAATTATTTATTTAAAATTTCTATAAATTTATTTATCTAATTAGATGTCTTCGTTCACATTTTAACAAAGGAAATAAATTTGTCTGAAATAATACATAGTTATTTTTCTCTCTTTCTTTATTTATTTTTTTATTATTTTTTCTTTATTTTTGTTTAGGGTTTTTTTTCTCTTTTTCACTTTTTTTTCTTCTCTCATTTTGTCTTATCCTTCAATTTACATTAAGATTTGATTAAATGGATCTTTTATTATTTATGAAAAATAAAAATATTTAAATGATAAAAAATACTATAATTTAATATGTTATATTTTTAAAAATTTATATGATAAATTTGAGATATTGTAAATATTATTACTATGTTGTAATTATTAAAAAAATTAAATATATTTTAAAGTAATTTTTGTAATAAATTTTTAAAATTACTTAATCTAACTAATTCTCCTAACTCAATCTAATTATAATCAAATTAAATTACTAAGTACAACTACATTTAAAAAGTAAACTAGTTAAATGTTTTAGATTTCACTATTTGCAAATAATTTAAAATATATATATATATATATATATTATTTTTTTATTGTTTGCAAAGTTATATATTTTATATTAAAATTATGTAATGTTTATAAAATCTATTAAATTAATTAAAATAAATTTTATTTTTAAAAAAATAAAGTATTGAATGAGACATTTTTAATGAATAAAAATATACCAGAAATAAAAAAAATAAATATAAAATAAAAATTCACTGCAAAATTAAGAAAAGGATGAGAACAAATTATACAATTTTTACACTAATTTGCCAATGAATTATGTTTAATCTTTTCTAACCAAATTAATTTAACTGACCAAATTGCAAATATTCTTTGAGTAATAAATCCTAATTATTAGTTGTTAATTAAGTTACTATCAACTATATCCATTAGATAAAATACTTTTATAAATATAATAATAGTAATAATAAAATAATTACATATATTTTTTTTCTTTATTACATGAGAGTTTCTATTAATGGTTTCTTTCAAATGGGTTATCAAAATATACTTTTCCAAATCAAAATCAACTTAAGGATGTCAGGATATAAAAGTTTAAGGTAAAATGTATTTCCTTTTGCAAAATATTATTATTTATGGGTTGTTTGTTTAGTATATTTGAAAATGGTTTTCACTTTTTTAATTAAAAAAATTTGTTTGATAACCTCTTTGTTCTTTTTTATTTATTTCCTATACCTTGAAAAAAACAAACTAATGAAAAAAGTGTTTTTATTCTTCTTTTTTTTAATTCTTATGTGGGTTTTTATTTAGTAATTATTCTATATATTTTTTTTAATCAAAAAATTTCCAAAGCCATTATCAAGCTTCAACTTTTTTTATTAGAAATAGTATCATGTACTTTCTTCTAAAATATCTTAAATTAGAGGTATGAAATAATTTAATCTAATTATTAAAAAACCTATGGGTATATTCAGATAAAATTATATATACAACAACTATAGACAAAAATTACCATAAAATTTAACATGAATAGTTTTTAATTTTTTTTTACACCATAAAAAATATAAACTAATTATGGGAGATGAGGGAGAAAAAAAATTCTTTCATAAGTAAAATAATTTTTTTTAATGTTCTCTATTCACCTATCTTCTTACAGGTAAATATACAATTTTTTTTTGTTCTTCTTTGTATATTTTATTATAATATTAAACTTCAATAGGTAATAAATTTTTTATAATTAAATAACTAAAATTAAATTAGGTTATTGTTTTCTATATTTACTAGTACTTTTAATATATATATATATATATATATATATATATATATATATACTATTATTTATTGTTTGCAAAACTATATGTTTTTTTATAAATTTTGGTTAACTTTTATTTTTATAAAATTCCTTAAATTAAAATATGTATATTTTTATCT